ACTTCAGTAGTTTGGCATGCTGTATTAAAATGTATTCGATATTCTAGCCACGTTGTAAAACGTTTACAATTACCACGGCATACAGTGACTTGTGCACTTTGGTCGTCGTCATCAAAGTAATAAAAACATTTTTCAAACATCTAAAAAATGAAACTTTAGTTATTAATAAAATACTAAAATAAAAACAAAATTATTAAAATGGTAAATACCCGTAAATAAATATATAAATAAAAAAAAATTGATAGAAATCAAAAAAAAATAAATAAATGAATGCATCGCTTGGTGTGTTATACGACTGGTTTCGAATTAAAAATTCATCATCAGGTATATCATAGTAAAAATGTAAAACGCAACTGAATATAAAAAATTAAACGAAGGAATAGGTACAAAGAAAAAAAATTATACAAATTGGTCGTTTTACATAGAATATAGAAATAATTTGGAAGAGATAATAATCTCTTCCAAAATTTAAAATGTGTTATTATTAGACATAGATATGTTAAGAACTATGAATTATTTGGTTATTATTTATTTTTTTAATTGTATTGATATAAGATATTATTTTATAAAATCGGTTTGGATATTTGAAATATTATTAAAATTATATTTCTTTATTTCATTGTATTTATGTAATTCTTCTTGTAAATGTTATTTTGGATATTTAATATCTCCAAGTCTGTATTAATATCAAAGTTTATATTATGGTTATTTTCTAAAACATGTTTAACGAAATTCGAATTAAGAGCAGCTTTTTTAAATTTTATTTCAGAAATGTATTCTTTATATCTTATTTGAAAATTTCTATTTGTCTTACCTGTATACAATTAATTACAGATACATTTAAGTTTATATATACCAGCATTTTCAAAAGAAGGGGGATTTTTCGTGAAGTTTTTAGTTCTATTTTTTACATGTTTGAATTAATTATTATAAGTCTTAATAGCGATTTTTACATTATTTATATTATTGTTCAGAATTTTAGCGAATTCGTTTGACATATTATTTTGATATTTCATATTACAATAGTCAGCATTATTTGGTTAGTTGTGTATTATTTTTTCTGGAATACGTTTATGAATTTTTTAATAGTATTTAAATTGAAATTATTTCTATGGGTTATATTACAGATATTATTGAGCTATGAGTTGATAATTATGTTTATTTAATGGAATACGTTCAAGCCTATAGAATATTGAATTAAAAAATTATATTTTTTGAGAATAAGGGTGATTAGAATCATGTGGTTACATAACATCAGTTTGTATAGATTTCCTGTGAATACTAAGATCAAATTTTGTTGATTAAATTATTCATTATGGAAAAAGTAAGATCTAAGAAATTTAATTTATTATTATTTTGTATTTCGAGTGCAAATCGAATCTTTTTATTTATTTTGTTAATTAAATTTTCTGCTTGTATATATTTTGAACCTCTAAATATAATGAAAGTGTCATCACATATCTATGATACCTATGTTTTTATATATGGACTGTATATTTTTTGTTAATAATATTATTGTTTTCATAATTTTGCATGTAAATATTATGTGTAGTTATCATACAAATTTTAAATTATGTACTAAAATCAAATATACTCACAATGTTGTCAGAGTGTTACTGTTTTGATCAATATTAGGCCTTAAAAAAAAAAACCAATTATTTGTGTAAAAAAGAAACGTCTGAATAAATTGATCTTCGCTATGTCTAATATACTTACTTTAGATTCTTAGTTGGCCATAGACCAATTGTTGCTAAAAATTGTTCTTTCCGGGTACGTTTTATCATTATAGACATTTTCACTGAAAAATTAATTCAAATAGTCTCATAAATATGTTTGTTCTTTTTTATGGTAAAATTTTTATTTTTAACTAATCCATTATGTCCGAAGTTTATTTATTATTTTAAATTCATTTTTTTTTTTTTTTTTTGTAATTATGGTTAAAATTAATTTTTAAATAAAAAAACATAAATATAATTTTTTGATTTATGAACCCAATAACGAGATATTTAACATTACCATATGGTAATGCCAGGATAGAAACAGGTCAACATAAGAAATTATGGTAAAATGTTTTGAAAACATTTTTGCATTACGATATGGACACTTGAGGACAAAATGGGTTATAAGCTAAGTACCTACCTTCAGCTATATAGACCGAGCGGCGAGCGATGAATGTGTGTCCCTGTGAAACGGTTTTTATAAACAGTTTTATGAACCGTGATGGTCGTTCCACGTTTTCTTAAGTTCGATGAGTCGTAATAATTAATTTTAGCGATTTTTGCGGCCGATCTTCATCTAGAGAAAGAAAATCCGCCACCATCCTGAGCATAAATTTAGGTAGGTAATAATTTAGTTAGTCCAAAGCAAGCTAGCAGTATGTTATTGAAACTTCCAATACATCGTTATCGATGATTATTAGGTATCCTTCACTATAATATGATGGCCGGACTTATATTTTTAATATTCCACAGATAGCAGGGACAGTGGAGATTTTATTTGCTGTGTTTACAATGATAACATAATTCGCAGGATCGAAGGATCCATATTTCATGGTTATGGCAATTTGTTTATAAACGGTCGGTTCTTAGAAAGAAATATTATCAAAAGGATGTAGAACGAGAGAGAGAAGACGAGTTATAACAACGAGGTGTCCCTGCTTCCATAATAGGGATCGTCCTTAACAAAATTATCTCAACTCCCTATTTCATTTCTTCCTAACCGGTTACCACATTCGGGTTTGCTGAACTGATTACCAGAAAAAGGGATTATTTATCAAAATAGGCATTTAAGTAATTTCCTAAATAATTATACAAAAGTCATAATTTAACCAGATTGTATGAATTAGTTTTTCAAACAGTCGATTTGTATAATTCTAGATCGATTCTTTCTAATAAACTATGTATACATTATATTTATTTAAAATATATTAGGTATACCAAAACCCACTTGACCATTGGAAATTATATTTCATTTTGTTTCTCGAAAAATTAGGGTTTAGCAATAATGTACAATTTATAGATTTGATTCAGTCGTCGACTAATTGTTTTTGTGCGTTTTCCTCGTGTCCCTTAATAACGGAAGTCGGTAATACCAACTTGGTAACTACCCTTCTTGGGAATGTATAGGTAGGTACGTTGATTTGGTATAGTTGTTTAATACAAGATCGGAAGGTACGTGTGAAATACATGTATTATGTATAATCGATAGGTACAATTGTCTCACGGGGAGAAAAAAATTGAACGCCTCGAGGTGACAATCAATTAAGAACATTGTAACTCGCGGCCGGCCGCAGGGTAATATTATTTTTAACTGTATTTTCATTGACCAGAAGGAATACATTTAGGTGCATACGGTTGATCATCGTCTTACCCGCACGCCTAATTAATAACGCGAAAACGGCGGTGGACCTAACATGCCCTAAAGTTTTATCCCCGATACCGGTAACACTGACGGGCAGGCGCCTTGGTGGTAGAGCCAATGCGAACGCCGCTATCTCCTGACTCCTCCGCCTGTCAGTGTGCATGGGCACATTCTGTCTCCCGATTGTCAAGTCGCAGGCTTCTTGGACGGACGTCGCCGGACGCGGGACTCCATCGGCCGACGAACTCGCCGCACGACACTCGACCTTTGTAATCGTCGTCGGCTCGAACAACGGTTCCCGTCACGGCCGGCGCTCAGGTCCCGCACAATTGCTAGCTCGTAGGTAAATAATAACATTATTAACGTCACCGACAGCATCCTCCGTAATCGTAGTGGTAGCGATATTTGTGGCTCGTAAATAATCGTAGTAACGCCGTCTTACGCGGACGTTGGCCCCGCGTACCGCCGTACGCGATACAATCCCGTCTTCCGGCGTGCGGGTTACGGCGTTCTCGCGTCGTCGAAACGGCAGTAATGTCGTTGTCGTGTATCGACTACTGTTCTTGTCCGCCGTTTCCGTTGTGTTTACCCCGCGTGACGGCCATCGGGCCCGGCCAAGACGGCACGTCCGCATCGCCAAAGTCTTAATAGCCGCGATTTTCCGATCGGGACGCGCGCCTCGATGGTTGCACCGTAAATCGTCAACGTTATCCGTTCGTTTTACACGTTATTTAGATAACAGTCCATCCCTTCATTAGGTTTTTATTGTGTAGTTAATAGACGGCGGAACGTACTGCGCGCCAGAGATTGTTTTATTGGTACATGCGATTTTCTGTTGGTACACTCTTGGTTTCGTATATTAAATCACGTTTTTTTTTTTTTTCTTTTCTGTAAATCCACAACCTATTAATATAGTCGTTTTCTTCATCACTCTTGGTGAATAATATTTCCGAATTAACATAACGTGACGCGATAGTCAAATTCAAATTCTATGAATTTTCTCCTAAGGTTAAATTACGTAAGCACGCGTTTATAGTTTTAAAAAAGTAAATATTAAATACCTACACTACGGGTTCAAGTAAGAACTTGATTTACATTTTTTTACGTTTTATAATTTTTGTAAAAATATAAGGTATTACTTTTAAATTGAGTACCTATTTCCATGTGGTGGTGACAGTATATTATGCATGATGCAAAAGGAAAGCACAGAAAGAGTAAAGAAAATATTCAGCTACTGGGAAGAAGCGGACTTAGGAAGCTATAAAGAGAAACTAAAAGAGGATGTTATGGTACCAGCTAGGTATATTCAATTTAAAAGAATCTACTTAGGATAGAGACATGTGTAGATGTTTTGTAAGAGCTACAAAGATTCTTAATGAGCCGTAGAGTAAAATAAAAACAAAATACAACACATTGTTTCATTTATTGTCCATAGTTTTTAGTAGAGGTATTGGGAAACCAAAAAAAACTGAGAGTAGTTAAGAGGAATTTGCCCACAGCTTCACCAAAAAATCAATGATAACTGGATGACTGGAGTTATATCCAACTAGGATATTCTGTTCTCATCCTCAGATATATATCTAAATACTGTTTTATATATACTATGGTAATCAATATATTTAATAGATACTTATATGTTTAAATACATTTTTCAGAAAAAAGTCAGCAAGTCAACAATGAAAGAACGTTCCCGGAAACAGAAATTTTTAAAAAATTTTGGCCTATCACCAAACAAGAATTCTAAGTATATATATATATATATATGTATATATTCTATTATATAATAAAGCATAATTTAGTTATTTTTAACACAAATTATTATTTTTTTTTTTTTTTAAGCGGTAATATTGATGAAGAACCTGACGCTGACATTGTGAGTATGCTATTTAATTTGAGTACAATATTTTAATTTTTATAATAACTTACATTTTGACTTTTAGGTATGCGAGAGATTATGTTTTTATTACTTTGATGATGATGCAAAAGTTACTATATGCCGTGGCTGTTGTAAACGTTTTACAACGTGGCTAGATTATCGAAAACATTTTAATCTCTCATGCCATACTACTGAAACTAATTACAAACTGAATACATACAATGAAGTTTATAAAAAATACAAACTAAGAAAAGCTAAGTCTAAGAAAAGAATTAATGATCGTTTGAGTGCAGCTCAGCTCATGGACCTTGAAACTTTAAATACACGGAAAACAAGAAAAAGGTAGGCTTTAATGAGATATAGTAAAAATAATAATAATAATAGGTATAGTACTAAATATGTGTGTTTTGTTATTTTTTTTTAGGTGCTACACAAATACTAGGGTAGTCCATATTTCAAAATCTTCTTTATCAGATTCTGGTTCTTCTAATTCAGAAAAACCTGCCAAAACAACAATAAAGAAAGAAGCTATTGAAAACTGTGTTAGTAGTGATGACAGTGTAGATGAAAGAAAACAAAAAACAAAAGATGGCAAGACTGTTCAAATAACAAACATTCCAAATAGTTCAACAACTAATATTCCAGATCTACCTCATGAAGATCCGGCAGTGTCTACCATAAAAGCAGAATGGAATGCTGATGACATGTCACAGGGTTCTTCAGACGATCAGTCCTCCAGTTCTGTCAATTGCCTATCTGATTATTCTCTCCAAGAAAATAAAACCGTCAAATATCAATATGTTTGCGTTATCTGTGATGAACAATTCTCAAGCAAATGTTTGCTTACTATGCATCAAGTGCAGCACATCAAAACAGACCGCAGTAGTTATGGAGTTTTTATGGCTGCATTAGCACGGTCTGCTTGAGTTTTGTTTTACCATAACACCAATTGAGTTATACTACAAAATAAAATTTTATCCTATATACTAAATTATCGAATCCTATTTATGTACACACACATAATTATAATACAATTGTTGTTTAGGGTAAATAAAATACAATTTTAAGTTAACCATAAGAAAACAAGTATTATCCACGTTTTTTTTTTCGTTTTGTTTTATATTAAATTTCATATCACCATGTGACTAAATGTCTTTCATTCAATTATAATTATTACTTTTATTATATTCCTGATTATTTTATGTTTGATTTAAAATATTTTTAATTTATAGTTTTACTATAAGGATTCAGATAAAAAAAGTGTTACGCTTTATATTAAAAACAAATGTAATTTGAAATAGCATATTTTTTAAAATTATAAATAATATCTTAAGATTGTTCTTAAATGACAATACATTTGATGATACTTGATGTTGAGGTATTTTTAAAGTATACGTGTTTTTTTTTTTTTTTTATTGAATACCTATCATATTTAAATTTAAGAAAAGTATTTTTTTTTCACGTGTACCTTACCAGAATAAATGTGAAGGTTTTTCTTGGTCAATTAGTGTACATTATGCTTCATTATTTGTTTTTTAAAATATAATATATTTTAAGATAATTGTTTTATACTTTCACAATGTACTTTACCAGAAATAAACGAGACATTTTTTCTTGGTCAAGAAGTGTTTTTCATGTATAATAATTTTAAATATGATTGCCTTGATGTATTTGCTTGTCATTATGGTTTAATAATAATATAAGTTTTATTTGTGAGCCAAAATTGTTCAACCTCTACTTCTCGTATTTATGAATTAATTACTGTAAATCAATAAAATCTTTTTCTTAAAATGCAATATGCCTTTGCAAATAAGTATAATGTATTTTAACATTTTTTTTTTTTCATTGCGAAAACTCATTTGTGAAAATAATAGTAAAAATTATTAAATAATAAACTTTGATGTGGATTTTTCTTGTTTGGTTTAGTTTTAAACGTTTATTTTTTAATTTGAACAAATAAAGTTGACCTTGTATTCTAATTGTAGACATAGAAGTAGTAAACAATAAAAAAATAGATTAAAAAAAAAATATAGATCAATGTTGATATTTTTTTTAGCAATATAAAGTTAAAACATGAATAATTCATTAGTCTAAAGTCCACAAATCAGACACATGATTAGATAATGGTACAGAAAATGACGTGGGTTTTTCAAATGTCAAGCTCACAGTCTGAAATTCTGTCTTGCATTCTTCATTAATCATCTGTAAAGAAAATTGTATACATTATTAGTTAATCATGACAATGTATTGTATTTTAAAATAAAAAAAATATTTTATTTATTAATTTGATGATTTAAAAAAAAAAAAAATGGAAAGAAGAATAAAGCCATGGGATGGATATTAAATTTCAACATCATTTTTAGATTCTGAATAGAGCGAAGAAACATACAAAGAAGTTTTTTTTTGTGGACAACTTTTCAACTAGCAATTTTGCTCAGATTCACAATGATGGCACTATTTTTAAAAGGAAATTTGACCAAGGAGGTACTTTAGAGAAGTCGCTTCAATTTTCTCAGCAAATTCGAAAAAAAAAAACATGAAAATTGATACTATATTGAACAAATATTTAAAAACATTGTTATTTATAGAGTAAATTTTAAAATTTTATTCTTAGTCAAGTCTCCAAAAACTTTGGTAATCATTTGAAAAGTACCTATTAAAAAAATTATTTGAGTCGGTAAGTCATGCTTAGACAAACATTCAGTTTTATTTAATAGATTTACATACATTTTTTTTAAAATATACTATAATATAGTATTTATTATTTAACATGGATGTGAATGCTAATTAATTTTGAAAAGAAAACTATTTAATACCATTTACTTATATACAGGTTCATCAATCCTTGATAAGACATTCAATAATACAGAAAAAATGTTTTACTTTTTTTGAAACAAATGGCTATTACATTACCGTTATTTCTTGTTATCCTTATTAACCACTTATGATTTTCAAATAGTAACTGTTGTTACAAATTACATAACTAGAGTATCGTAATTTGTTTAGTATGTGACCTACAGAGTGGAAATTGTGATTAGTATGTGATTTACCTGTATTACAAAGTTTAATATGTTAGCTGTCAAAACAAGAACCTTCACTGCTGTTGTCGATAATACAGAGTGTCCTACAAAGATATACCCATTGCAATATTTTTGAGATAAATAATCAAATGCTGTTTTTTTTATTATTACTTGCAGGGATAAAGGTTACACATGTTTATATTTGAATTAAATTATTTTGTTTTGATAAAAAACTAAAATAATAAGTTTTAATTTATTATTTTCAAAAACTGTTGAAGATATCCATTTTATAGTTTATTCTTCCAATAATTTTAATGCTTCAACTTTTTATTTTCATTAAATTCATGATTTTTTAAAGTTCAGAGAAAATTACCTATAACTAAACAGCAGCCTGTAGTCACATTCTCTAATTGATTATTATTATGGCTAATTAACTGTTCACTTTTTTCTTTGAACTTTAAAAAATTATTAAAAATCACAAATTTAATGAATATAAAGAAGAAGAAGAAGAATTGATTCTATTAAGTCTATCTTCAAATTTTTCAACCATCATAAAATAAAGTTATCTCTTAAAGTTTTTTATCAAAACATAGAATAATATAAATATGTTATAAATAACATAAATTTGTGTAGGGGCGTATGTTGTTCATTATATGAAAAAATCATTATTGAAAGGGAAAGGAAATATAACTGAGGAAAACTTCTGCTAGGTGACCTTCGTTGTGAAAATACCTTTGCATAATCCAATTGTAACAGAGATCAAGCATCTAGACAATACACCAACATCAAAAAGAAATTATGTTAGCAGACTAGAAGGACCTTGAGTATTCGGATTATGTAGTAAAATTCAGTTGGTCACATAATAAATTAATACCCATAAATAAAATGGTTACAATGATAACTTTAAACTATAACATCAATATGTTATAGTTTAAATAAATATTGGTGTAGAAATTAATTTTAACTAACCCATTTTCTATTCATGGAATTTTTAATAAAGGTTACTATTTAAAATTCAAAAGTGAGTAATAGTTTCAGCCCCTAAAAATAAGACCGACGAAAAATAATGGTAATGCAACATTTTAAAGTTGCTTGTTTCTTAAATTTTTCAAAATAAATTTTATAGTTTCTGAGATAATAAGTATCTTATTGAAGATTTATTACCCTGTACATGGGAACATATATTTTTTAAAACTTTTAAATAAAAATGAAATTTTACATATTCTGATGGATTTAGTTTTTTAATAATCTTACACTTTCGTATGAGTCATCTAATAGTTCACTCATATCCCATTCGACTTGGGGCATCTTTTTAGATAAAAAGTTTACTGACTCGCTGATTTTTGGAAGAAAATGTTGTTTTAAAGATACCAATTCCCACAATGAGCTGTTTAATGCATTTGATTTTAATGGATCTTTTTCTTCAAATACATAAGGATCTGAACCAACTTCTAAAATATAAATAAATAAAACTGTTATGGTTACATTTACATGATAATAATTGTTCTAAGGACAAATATTTTTTAAACTTACCGACAGAATCATTATGAATTAAAACTTTTAATGGTGGATGTCTAATTAGTAAATTTCCTATAAAAGCTACCATAATTTGTGTATCAGTAGGTGGTGCAATCAAAGAAAGTCGAGCCATACGTTTGACAAAGGCAGCCACTAACAATTCAGGTAAATGACTACATCAAATACATAGTTATTAAAAGTATTTTTGTTTAATCAATATGTATAGACATTAATATTTACGTTGAACGAAGAAATATATCAGCTAGATAAAATAATCTTGTTTTATATCGATAATTAAACATCTCTGTTGTAAAAAAGTTATAAAGTTTTCCATAAATGTTTGGACATTCTCTAAAAACAAAGTGTGAAATTAAGAAAATAATTACTATTGTAATAGTTCAAATTAATATAATTGAACTATACTATTATGTAGAACATTTTTTTTTTTAAATAGAAATAACAAATAAAGAAGAATCATTTTGCATAATAATATAATTTCATTATATCCATTAGAGTTTGAACAATATTGATTGAAATCCACTTACAAATTATAATCCTTAACTAAAATAAAAATTCCCTGAAGTCCTAATACAGCGATGGGTCCCGCTAAAAAAATAAAATCAGTTAGACATTGTATCTATTTAAATATAAACAAAATTAAGTGCAATTTTTAAATGTTTATACATACGTGTATCCATTGATTCCATAAGGAGATCAGCTGTAATAACAGGATTATTTAAATTTACCAGGATTTTTTCAATTAACAGCGTTAACATTTCACGTCTTATTTTGGAATTTGATATTATGAATGGTTTCATGCCATCCCAAACTGTAGTTACCCATGATTTTAATTGTTCTGAATTATATTTAAATTGAGGTCGTTCTTGTAACAAAATCAAAAATATTATTAAATTATAGTCAATACCTAGTGCAAGATAATTAGGTACAGGACATTTGGTTGCAAAGATAATTCATCGAATGACTTGGTCACATATTTTAATAATATTTTAACAATAATTTATAATTTTATTAAGAAAATAGTTAACAAAAGTTAAAAAACAATTCAATGTACAACTTTTGAATAGTATTAAACTCTTTTTAGTATTATAACAAATTATTATATTAAAGGTGTTTAAAAGTCGTGAGATAAATGGTCTTTATTTATTTTGCTACTCATAAAGATTTTAATATTGGTATCAATATACATACTATTACTGTGGAATAATAATTTGTCATCTTCTTTTTTTACAGTATGAATTTTAATCAATCCTAAAATATTCAAAAACATGTAAACATTTGTTTTATCTTTATCCAATATTTGAACAATTGATGCAAAACATTCCCATGAGTAATAACAAAAATCCAAATATTCAACATATTTGGTCAACATTTGTTGAAATTGTGACCACTGAATGTCAGTAGATTTAAGCATAGCCGTGTAAATTGTCTACAAAGTAGGTATTCATTATAGTAAAGTAATTAATTACAAAAAAATAATATGAATTTCTAAATAACTATTACCTTCAATTGATTAATAGGAAAGTAATACTTCTTTTTTATTATTTCTCCTGTTGGATTTTTATTTTCCCGTTGAAATTGTTCAAATAATTTTTTGAATTTGGTTACAGTCGTCATGATACCTATAGAATAAACATTTGCATATTATAAATATTTTTTTAAAATTTAACTTTGTGTTAGGTATTTACTAACAAAAATAATTAAAAACTATTATTATTAAAAAAATTAGTTATAAAATATATATCGAAATTTGAAAATTAGATTAATAGATTAATGTTATCATTTATCAATTGTGATTATAACCAATAAAAACATCACATGTCTCTAAGTCCAAAGGCTGGGAAGTAGGAGTTACCAATTCATCAATAATTGATAATTGTATTAACCCAAATAATTTCCAAATAATAACAGTAATATAGATTAAGTAAGAATCAAATTAAATAAGAAGTTTAAAAAAATTCGAATTATTTTCGAATGATTAGTTATTTAGTTGTTAAATCAATTTCTAACCAACTAAAATAGTTGAATTGTCTTTCTATGTAGCTATTATTTTATTGATCTGTATGTACATGTTTTAATTATATTTTTCATAAATGCTCATTAAAACTTTATCTTGTTAATTCAAACGTAATGCAATTTTTATCTACAATTTAAGTTATACGATAATAATTAATTTTGCTGATTTGGACATACTACTTGCCAATATGATTTTTCAAAAGAATCACTTTCAAAATATTCTACTGAATTTTCGCATCTTTCAAAATATTTTACTGAATTTTCGCACCTTTCAAATTTTATCCCTATATATATAAGCTAAATTAAATTTTGCAAACCATGTATCCACACTCACGATTATTGTGCTCAAGTAATTATACAGGTGAAATGATTTTTATACCTTTTATTTGTTTTTGTGTTTGGATATATTGAATTTATATAGTTTATTATGATTTTTTTATGCAGGGAAATTGACTGAATTTTGGTTTAACTGTAATAGATGTGTACATCAGGTGAATGTAAAAAAAATCCCGAAAACACCTTTGATATGTGGTCAACCAACAGAAGAAACTCATCCTCATATTTTGAGAAAAGGTGAAGTGAGTATTCTAGTATGAAAAAATGTATTTGTTGATACGTAGTTAAATTTGGTTTAATGTATGTAATCATTTCTAGATTATTCCCGGTATACAAAAAGAAGAATTTATAACTAGAAGACTTAAATTAATGGAATCCGTGCTTAGCACAAGAAAAGATTTTTATCATGTTATTGTCATACCGTCAGCCATCAGACAATACATGTCTGACCATATACCTTATCCGTTCAGACAAAATACAGATTTCTTATATTTTAGTGGATGTCAAGAAACAGACTGTGCTTTGGTTTTGTGTGGTAATTCTATTGAGAACTTTACGTCGACTCTGTTTCTTAAGACTTACGACCCTCAATCGGAGCTGTGGAATGGACCTAGTACAAGTATGCGATTGTAATAAATTAGACTTCTGTTTTTAATTTTATATCTAAATCTAATAATTATTTATAGGAGCCGAGTTTGCTCCATCAATCTTTGGTGTTGATGATGGGAGAACTTTACCACAACTATCAGAATTTTTAATGACAGAACTCAAAAAACATGCAAATTGCGTACTATGGTACAATCAAAAGCAAAAAGTCCAAAGTGCTGTTGACAAGGTTGTTAATAATGTTGCTGCAGAAAATTCAATTTATGTGAGTTAGTTTAAATCATTCCTTAGTTCTGTTTATTTATCATTTACTTATGAAGCAAGTAGTAATTTGGTTAGGCCTTCTAAACAAATTATTACCAAATTAATCATAAATAATTTTTTTACAGCTTGATGATACGTTAGACAACCATTCACACAAACTTCGCTTGTATAAATCACCAGCTGAACAGAGTTTAATGAGACAAAGTTGTCAAATAGCATCTAGATCATTTATTAAAACAATGGCATCGACTAAACCTGGTTCAACTGAACATGAACTATATGCGAGATTAGACTATGAATGTCGAATGAACGGAGCTGAATATCTCGCATATCCACCAGTAGTTGCTGCTGGAAATAATGCTAATACTTTGCATTACATTGACAACAAACAAAAAATCAAGGATGGAGATTTAATTCTCGTTGATGCAGGTAAAGTCAAACAAATAAATAAATATAACAAATATTGCATTATTTCTTTATATACAATGATTTTAATTAAGGCTTAATTTTACATGCCATAAAACCTTAAGTAATATACATCTACTATACAATTTTATTTTACAATTTTGTTTTAAAATTATGCTCTTTAAAATAGTACATAGCTGATCGGCAACTATGTCTGTCATATTGTGTATGTTATTTCGTTATTAGTTAATTTTTTTAAATACATAAACTTTAACTTTTGGAAAAATGAATCCATACATAGTGAATTCTATGATGTGTGCGTATTATTTACACAAACAATTAAGACAAAATAAAAAAAGACGTAGAAGATATCATGTCCACCCAGTTATTGTAGATCGGCCAATTGAAGGTGAATTCTGTACGCTGTTTTCAAAATTACGAAAACATGAGTTAAAATTGTTTGATTACTTCGAATGTCTATTAAAGTTTTGACGAGCTGCCAGCAAAACTAGAAGATTATCGATGTTCATTGTAAAATTATAATATAATATAATTATATAATACAAATTAAAAAACCTAATAACTTAAACTTGCGTACGGGCTCACTATTGGTCGCTTGATCAGCGTCAAACTAAACGCCAGTATTTACCGATATGGTTCCGTTGGTCGACCGACGTATGCGTGACAGACGAGCTCGACCGACGGTCCTCGTCAGTGCGATGTAGCTGTACGTGCGTATCAACTGTTCAGTGCTGCGCTGAATTTGTTCATATGCATTCATTGATATATCTACGCTCGACAGACGTCAGTGCTGACCGTCGGTCGTGCACTAATTCCAGCCTAAACCTCTCTTATAATCTCTTATTGTCATTAGTTGTCTTATCTTGTTTCTCCAAACTCGTATTCTGTATTCATTTATATTTATCCTTAGTCCCTTTCTTTCAAGTGCTACTCTCTATTTCTCAAGCTTATTGTTAACTTATTCCAGATTTTCGCCTATTAAATTTATATCATCTGCAAACTTCATGCACCATGACACCTCCACGCACTGATTGTGCTTGCACTGATCCAAAATGAGATAATCCGCCAAAGTTTTGTTTAGAACAATTCTTATTGTTTGACAGAATTTTGAACTGGTTGTTAATCTGACACAACCCCATTTGTCACCCCTTACAGCATATAGAAGTATCGTGGGAATATACTGATTCTCTTCCACAAGTAAAGAAACTTATTAGCTTCATAATTATTTACCAAATAAAAACTAAACGGAAATGTTAAACACCTATAAATAGCTCATAAATTTCCAGAATGTTTTAAATATTTTCCTCATCTCTACTACATTTAATCTCTGTTCTAATTTGTTTTGTCTACTGCCTAACACTCTAAACCATATAACATAGCCAGACTCGCTACACTTTTGAAGAACAACTTCGCTGAATCCATAAAATACCTGACGCTTCTCTTTACTATCTAACTACACTTAATCCTATGTGTTTCACATCTCTATGAAAGCCAGCCACCATTCTTTTTTACAAAAGATCCTAGATAATTAAAACTCTCAACCACATTTGTCGCCTCTGCTTATAAGTAGTATTATGATTTTTTTCAGCAAGGAGAATGGTATTGTCAACTATAAAGTGAATTCCTCCACCTTATAGAAACAATACCATATATTTATTAATATCATTACCCACTTGGGCTTTCCGCTAGTAAGAGCTCGGGGCCCTTAGGTTCACTTAATTCGTAGCATCATATGTTTCCCTGTAGCTATATTGTTTAAGTAGGAAAAAAAAAAAACAATTATATTTTTTTGCTTAATTTAAGCCTTGTAGACCTTCCATGGCTTTCACAACGTCTCTCCACATACCTTCTTTCTAAAAAGATCATGTACAAAAAAAAAATGAAATTACTATATAAATAACATTTTCAGGTTTTTATTTATGATATGTTTATAATACATTTTTAACCAGAAAAATATTGTATTGATAAATATTGAATAATTAACAAAATTAAATATGAATTTCAAAACAAACTACAATAAAACTTTGTTAATTATGCTAATACAAACTCATTTAGTAAACAATTTGGTATAATATTTAATTTATTAATTTTTGTTCACTCTCCAGAAAATTTCCTATAGGTACTAGTATTATTATTATTTCAAAATCCTACTTTTGTAGGTTCATAGATTTAATTTGCTTGTTTCTATAAATTATATTAAATTAAATTCTATAAATTATTTAAAAAATACCAAGTATAATAATATGCAAATTACAATTTCAGTTAGGTTGTAATTTTAATTCGTTAGGTACCTATTTTTAATTTTTTTTTTTCAGAAAGTTCAAAAAGTTTTATTTTTAAATAGCCACTAGGTACATATTATGCTCGTTACAAATAACGGTTTCAATGATAAACAAAGACACTGTAGTTTGTTATTTGTATTTAGGATGTGAATATCATGGATACTCTAGTGATATATCTCGAACATGGCCAGCAAATGGATTTTTTTCTGATGCTCAGAAAACATTATATGAAGCTACACTATGTGTTCAAAAAGAATTGATTGACATGTGTCAAGCACGTCCATCACTAGACACATTATATGAAGCCATGTGTTTTAAATTAGGAAAAGCCTTGACAGAAGCACACGTATTCAAGAAAAACGTTAACCCTTCAGAATTAAATGTGGTAACTATTGGGTTACATTTTTAATTGTCTTTATTATTTATCTTGTTTTAATTTATAGCATGAATATTAAAATGTTTAGTTAGCTCGTGTATTATGCCCGCATCATGTCAGTCATTATTTGGGGATGGATGTACATGATATTGGTACAGTTAAAAAAAATATTAAGACTGAACCCGGGTTTATCATTACAATTGAGCCAGGTTAGTTTGAAAAATCTTGTAATGTTTATAAAATATATGTTATTTTTTGAATAATGATTGTATTTATTTCAGGTGTTTATGTGAGTAAAAATAATGTAAAAGTTCACAAAGAATTTCTTGGTTTAGGTATACGAATAGAAGATGACGTTTTGGTGACTGAAAACAGCATTGAAGTGTTAAGTAAAGATTGTCCAAAAGAAATAGTAGACATTGAAAAAATAATATCAAACAAACTAAATTAAGTTACCCCACTTAGTTTGTATACGAATTACTTTTAGTTTTATGAAAATTACGAATTTTTTAGTAAATTTGGCTGTGTCTTGTTAAAAATAATATTATGTAATATTTTATCACACTTGTTGAACTACTAGTGTTAGATATTGATTTTAAAAACCATTTACTTAAGTATTATGTTTAAGTGTTTATGAAATTTTTCTGTTAATAATATATATTTCCTAAACTATATTTTTTTTCCGATATTGTTTTATTTTTCATAGTTACACAAATATTGAAGGTTTGGAAGTTTTTGAATATTATTGAAATTTGTTTATAAATAACTATCCCTTCATATGGCTTTGCCCTTACACATTACATAGTGTTGAATACAAATTCATTTCAGAGGTCTACCCTGGTTATTTAATTCTAGTTAGGGTTGCAAAATATTTTTTTTTATTTAAATTTATTTTTAATGTTTTAAATTATTTTTAACATAATTTAAAAATTATTTTTTAAATATGTTAAAAAATTGTTCTTATTGTTTAAAATGCATAAACCAAATTTTATTTTAATGTAATATAATAAATTATTATTAATCTCTTATGTAGAAGTTGTGTTTATATTGAATATTTACACATTTAGATTTTTTTAATTCTGTTTGATTCAAACATTAATATGTAATTTATATGATTTTTAATTTTTAGAAATAAACAATAGTTACTTAAAAATAGTTGTACAGTGAAAAGTCTTGGAGCTTAGACACATTTTTTAGTTAATTAGTGATAAGTTTTAGTTATACAAAGGAGTACTGATACTATAGCGTGCACTTGAAGTACTTTTTATACATGTATTAATGATTAATTTATACACTACAAGCTACAGCGAGAACTATACAGTGTAACAAATAAAATGTTATAATTCAATTATTAATAATAATATAGGTAATTATTATACATATTACATAAACTTATACTTTATTATTATATTGACTTATGTGTAATATGTACAATGGGATGCACAAGAGTTTTCAATGGGAGGGGATGTAGAAAATACTAATTGTAAAATCGTCTTCTTTACCCAACTTGACTGTGGAAATTGGTAATATGGGTGGGGGAAGGGACATAACCTTTAACTTCTCCCTGCGTACACCGCTGAATATGTATATTGTATATACATTTGATATAATATTGTGCCACTGATGACACTAAAAATGTTTAAAACAAGACCATATGTTAAAAATACTTTGCAACATTGATTCTAGTATGTATTTGTATTCACATCTGCAAATCATATTTGTGAAAATATGAGATTTTTAATGCTTAATAAATCGCTCAAACCAAAACTTGTCTATCTACTCGTATACTTTCTAACGCTATATACCAATTGAGTCTCAATACCTGAATGGGGAAAAAATAATATATTTATTGGATCCAAGGATTATTTTGAGTAAAATATAAAATTAACCATAATATACGAATATGCAGACGACTAAGTGATATTATTTATATTATCCTTAGGACTTTTGTCAGATAATTTTGTTATTATTACCGGGAATTATAGATTTTATTTCTACTGTCCCTAGTATAATAATCGCCATCTACCGATATCAATATATTATACATTTTAGTTTACAAAGTACACCGAGCACCATGGGGGAAGAAAATGTACAATGCGAAACATATATCAAAATTAGAAGTTCTCATATTATTAATACAAGAAATGATATAGTAAATATATACAAAAATAAAGAAAAAGAAATTTGAGAAAAAATGCAGCTGTTGCAATCAAAGAAAATAATACAATTTAAAAATATACAATGTTTATCACATACATTTTTACCATATGAAAAATATAATTTTATCACCTATATTTATTTATTTATACACAAGTAACATTTAAATTATTCATATTATAATACATTTTTACCGATATAAAAAATGTAATAATGATATTTTTTTTCTAAAGTTTAACGGGATTCAATTAGTATTAAAACACGGACTCAATTAGTATATATTACTAATTGAAATTTCAAGGGTCTTAATTAGTATATACTTATTTAAAAATGACCCGGGACTCATTTCATCCTAAAAGATTTTGTTGGAACACTTGTCTGTAAAAATGTTTGTAAAAAATCCTTGAATAATAGTATTTTTGAAATAAATCCAAAATGTGTTAGAAAAAAGTATAAAAATTTACATTTTTAAACTTTTAAAGAGGAGACCATCGGTTTATACTTGGGACACTAATAATTCTAACTAAATAAAAATCTGTTTACAACTCATTTTTTACATCATATTTGGACTCTCGGGTTATAGATCTGTATTAAATCAATTGAAAAGTATCGCCAAACGAATGACATGTATTACCTGTACCTACCCAGTGTAGCTTTAAAACTTTATAGTATAATAGGTAAGTATTGATTTTACCAATAGTTTAAGCCTTTTAAAAACAATTTTTCCAAAAATATTTAAGCATTATTTTTAAAAAAATACTCGATACCTACAGAAACCTGAACTTTTTGAAGTTTTCCTTATGTAATTTTTTTACTATCTTATTGTACACGCGAAAATAAACATTTTGAAAAAAAAAAAAACAAAAAACGATTATAGGTGACTAAACTAGAATCGTTTTAAATAATTGTAACAGTAACAGTCCACTTTCAAAACTGATCAGCTTGTAGGTGATTCACAATAGTGTCTACCTACGTTGTTATCTGTGGCTAGTATGGTATTGTTCATTCATTAATAACTGAGCGATTATTTCGTTGTGTTCGGGGGACCAATCTTATAAATTGCCGGTAATCAATAATTTCTCGAATGGTACTTCCCCGAATATGGGGAAAATAATAATAAAACAAAAAAACAAATGTTTATAAGCTCTAACCTGAGCGCCGCGTTTTAAAATATTTTTCCGGGTTACAGACAAATCCAGTATAGTGGAGGAACATCAAATACCTATCTTTGCCTATCATACAACAATTCTCTCAACCATTATCTAAAGACATACATGTACTTACTTATATGATGTATCATTATCTACCTAATAAAGGAACTTGTATGATAATTATATAAAAATTAATGAGAATAATAGTTACTTCAGGTAACTTACGTGCATCTTTAGTAAAACCTGATTTATAATGCAGATCCAGAGATCAAAATACAAAATTGAAAATGAAAATGATTAAAATCATCAATAATTTATTTAGTTTCGTCATTCCTATACTTACCGTAGGTAGTTTATAATTAGGTAATTGAAATAATAATTGTACAATTTTTACTCACAAGTGTTGAGGCATAGGCAACTAATTAACGCTCGTAACCCAACGTCTCACGACCGCTCTCCCTCCAGTTAATTTTGGTGATATCCCAATAGGATTGTCATACAAAGAAGAATCTGACAATAAAAAAAAAAATTCGAATTGTTTCGGTTTTATGTCCTCTGGCATTATAAATACTACATTATAAATACAAGTGAAGGAATAGATTGCGCAAATAAAAAACCCAATATAGTAATTTCGGTAAAGGGTAAAGGATATTTTTTGAAAGTTATTCAGCAAATCAAAAGTTCTTTACAGCTGCATGGACTAAATTGCTGTTAAATATTTTGCTTTAAAACTGAAAATAAAGAAAGGTTTCAGTTCATTTGGTATTTTTTCACTAAACCGAACTTAACACTCGATAATAATTTCAAAGCACCATCGAATTGTACGTTTAAAAAAAAGTTAATACTATCCTTTTTCTTCCATATCCTTCATTTGTTTATCTAGTAGCTATACCATAAACATGCAGATATCTCTAATTCTGATAATCAACCATGTTTAAACTAACAATGAAATAGAGAGCATTTTCCAACTATATGTATGAAAATCAAGATTCGATGTATGCCTATTAAATATTGATCCGGAATAAGTGTCAAACTTTGGAAATATTATGAACATTTGATAACACAATGTTCTTTAATGTCTGTGGGAAGAAAAACAGAATCAAACATATTCAATGTCTTACAGTCTTCGTAGATAAACGCTGGTTTTGAGATTTCAAAGATTTGCCCTGTATTATTTGTATTAATGACACGCGTTTTTTTTTTTATTCTAGCGAAGTGAGTACCTACTCCTACCGTGAACATTCCAAACAAAATTTTGTTTACGATTTTATCAGACCGGTTTTAATATATCAGGTATAGTTCGTTTGTCGATTGAATGATATTTATTGACAAAACACCTAATAAATAATATTATAATAATCATCAGGGACCTATGCAATAACCATTAGGAAACAAACATTCCATTCGGTCAATATAAGTAGCACAAAACGCTACGCTTCCAATGTCGCGTATTTTTCATGAACGTAATATTATTATTACGCGTTTGAATCGAATACAAGGTGATCGCACATCCTTGAATATAATTAACACAATGAGTATACAAATACGGGGTAAGCAGCAGGAGCAGCAGTAGGTACACGTATGTACATAATACGTATGGTAGGTCGCGTACCTACCGTGTTTTAAAATCGCTCCATGCCTCCATATTATACATGTTCTCAAGTAAACGATAGAATGAAAATTGTTCTCACAGTTAAAACAAACAATATTAAACAATGACTGAATATCCTCAACCTTGTTTTTTAAAAAACAAAATTATATTGTTAGTTGTTACTGATTCTGCTAATTGGACTAGTTCAACATACCTATTTCATATTAAAAATACCGAGGAAAAATTAAGCATATATATTAAACGAGCGTCAATTTTGTTTGTTTAATGTTTTAAGCAGTTGCGGATTTAAGGGGACTTAGTGAGATCCGATTTAAATCACTGACCTAACGTCTAGGTTAATGTAATGTGGGTATTTTTTTCTTAGAGTTGTAAATTGAAAATAATAAAGGAACAACATTAAAAAAAATAAAAAATGTTTAAATGTCTTTTTGATGCCAGTTTCGATATTTATAAATTTATAAACAACAGACTCTATAACTAGGCATCTATGTATTATAAAAACTGCAAACCCTGGAAAAAAAATACTACATCCACTAATTGTTTTAGTATAAGTTTCTATAGTCCTATAGAGGTATAAACGTAGAAATAATGGTCCGATTTTTTTCAATTTTGTTTGTTGGTTTGTAATTCAAATACAAATATTCGTAGAGATTTGACATTTTTACAGAAAACTTATATTGGCAATTTTTGGAGATGGTACAATTTTAAAAATATTCTGAACAATCGTTGTGCTATTTATAGGTTTTTTAATTTTTTTTTACGTAGTTTTTATTTGGTAGATATACTAGATAGAATAGATAAAATTGTTTTACCAAATAGAAATGCTTAAAAATTTTACAGGATGTTTATTATAAGTCGTACTTAATGCCTGGTGGTGAACAATTTTAATGAAAACCGTAAATATTACGGCATTTCAAAACATGTGTATAGTATAAAACTGAACTTCGCTCAGAATCGTATTTCGTTAGCAACGGTTTATCGTTACTTAAACAGATTTAAATTAAATAAAATGTTGTACCCTACATTTCCAAATTCCCAGCGGATCCCGAAACGGTGAGGGTATCGTGGAACGAATTCCACAAGAATTGTGCCGCCGGAGCTGCTCCGGGATCGGCGCACGTATCGTCTTCCGCCCGGTCGGTTCTCGCGGAATATTACCGCCGTTGCATCGGCCGCCCCCCGAGAAACGGTCGATGATGGACGACAAATCCGCCGGAGACCGTAGTCCCGCTGACCGTCAAAGCGTGAAAAAACCGCGGACATTACGTCGCACCCGTCGCATCGCTCGGCCATCTGCAGGGCACGGCCGAAATTGTAACATTACCAGACGGAAGCGCCGTACGGGGCCCGTTCGTCCGATCGATTTACGCGTGGAATTTCCGTCACCTACCCCCGACCACGGCTGTGATTGGTGGTAGACAAGGCCCCGGAGGCGTTGCGGTAAACGGTCGCACGCACGCCAGCGCTGCGATTGGCGAGGTCCTGTGCAAATTATAATGTTTTAAAATGTTTACATAGGTATCCCATAAAGGCGCGAGGCCCCAGACCCGAATCCAGAAGTGCGAGGCGTACTTTCTGCACACCCGTCGCGCCGGCACTGCGCGCCCGGACCGCGTGTCCGTTGCCGTTCGGTTGGCGCGGAGCAGGTACGCGTTCGCCGACCCCGCCGACTCACGGACACTCGCGCGATAATTTCACGGTCTGGAAGCCGCGGGTCGCGAATCCGGCGGGGGACGTGAAATGCTACAAACGAACGAGCGCGTGCCGGCGATCCGGCGACAGTGCCGCTGGTGGCTGACCCTTCGCACTCGGAGGCCCGTTGATTCCGCGATACCCGAAAAAACGGCCAACCGTACGGCGATCGAGTCACGTTTATATCGCTGCGCGGCGATTCGTCGTTTCCGGGACAAGGCGTCGTGTATACGCGACCTTCAACGCGATCGCCGTTCGCGTGGTCGATTGGGCTTTGGACGGGAAACCAACGGTTCGTTATTGAATTGTGGCATTCGAGTTTGTTTGAGCGGCCGGGACGTCGAGAGGGGGCCGTTGCAGCATAGTCATCACGGACTTTGCGGATCAAAACGGCGGAAAAACCTATATATAGACCGCTGGGGAATCTGTATCCGGGAGAACAAGCTCACTCTACGGCGTGCAACGGTTCTTCTTCTTCTTGGGTTAATTGGCCGCTAGGACCATCCCGTCTCACAACCAATTCTCCAGGCATCTCTATTCATCGCCAAATCCTTCCAGTTTGCTCCGCCTCCTAAGTCTTCTATATCTCTCTTAACTAAATCTTCCCATCTCAATTTTGGTCTTCCCAAAGGCCTTTTTCCTACTGGATTCTGTTCTAAAACCATTCTTAGTAAAGAGTTCTGGCTTCGCATTGCATGTCCTGCCCACCGCAACCTTTTTTTCTTGATCGTCTCTGCTATGTTATTTTCATTAAAAATTTCTTGTAGCTCTATATTTTTCCTTCTTCTCCACTCTCCTGTGATGTTACGGCGTGCAACGGTTACATACCGGAATATGCGGTGTTGGGTTACGAATTGGGCCATTCCATCGCGGATCTGAACGCTCTGTATCGCGCAGAGCGCGTATCGTGGAGCAATTGATTAGTTCCGGCGCGGCCGGGTAATGGACACGAGAGTCGGGACTAGTGCAGCAATTATTTCCGCACTCTTACGCAGGAATTATGGGGCCGGAGCATTCTTCCGCGAGACTCGAGCGGTTCTTGTAAATGTGTTCGGAAGACGCGGAAGTTTACCCAGAGAAAAACGAAAATTCGGACGTCCACGACCGATAACAAAGTACAAAACGCCGTTGAATCTGTTTGACGCGTCGTTCGCGGGCATTTAACACCCGGACACCAAACTATTCTCGGTTTATATACTTGTATTTCTTATACTTTGTATCTGATACGCGAATAAATACGAGTATAATATTAGAAAAAATAACTAAGACTGCGGAACATAAGGTTCCACAAAATCAACACAAGTCCGAAAAGCTCTTTCGGCTTTCTTTTTTAAGGTTTTTAGGTTAGAATGTTTACGAAAACGTAAAAATCATTGCGTTTTAAAACACGTTTGACCGAACCTCGTTTAGAATCGTATTTCGTTAAGGCACTATAAACATGTTCTATAGTGCCCTAATTTCGTCAGCGGTGATTTGCTTACATATAATATATTATTTAAATAACCATGTATCCTACTTCTCCAACTTCCATAGGCGTGCGCACGGGGTATGCAGGGTATGCAGAGGATATGAATAAAATCTCGTTTCATAATATGGCGACAATGAGATACGGACTTGTTTTGAAATTAACTATAGGCAGGCGCGGAACGGTTCACAATTTTTGAAGAAAGTATTATTTGAATCCGTGTTATTTTTAGTGCAAGTATTTACTATTTTTATTTACCCCAAAATGACGATGTTTGCGATAACACGATGTCCAAGTATCTAATAATACTGAAAATATAGTGAATACTCTCCGACGATGGCGCTGTCTCTAATCGTCCAATCGGAATATTAACAGCGATAAACAGATCTTTACAGTGCGGTTGTTATTAAGTTACTTTTTCTTACGTTTAATTTTTTTTTCTATGAGTATTTACCACATATTATAATATAATAAATGTATAGTAAAGAGTAATAGGCTAACCATAGACATGAAATTGCATTTATAAATTATACATTTGACGCTGCTTATATAAGACTCACGGGACACGGATATAAGGTACAGTCGCTTGTTAGACTTATAATATCGCCTGGAACGGTCCGGACGTATTCAAATACATGAAAAAAAAAAAATTCGTTTATAAAACTCGCTACTTAGTTTATAAGATTCAAATTTCGTAAGAAAAATCGTAGAAAATAAACGTTATTAATAAAACGTACAAATAAAATTTAAAAAAACCCAACTAAAATCACAAATGTATTTAATACATAAATAATATAAATATAAATTGTTTATATGTATACAAAATTAAAATATGAAATACATTCTATTTGATTTAATTTGTAATAATTAATAATAATATGTAAAAGTAGCAAAATAAATTTATTAATTTATTAAAATGTTAGTTTGTTTTTTTTTCACTTCCACAAGATTCATCCGGTTATAAGACTCACATTGTGCTGGTCCCAATGTGAGTCTTATAAGTGGCATCGACTGTATGTAAGGAAAGAGAAGGCTTGAATTGTAAACAATTATGTATTATATAATTTTAATAAAAATATGTTTTTTTTTTTACAGTAATAAAAAAAGACGAACAATATGTTAATTATTTTCGAAAAAGAAGTAGTAACCATAATACGTTTATAACGCAATGCCATGAACATTCATTTTAGGGGTATTTATATCCTGGGGGGCGCATTTTATTAACCATTTATCCACACGCCTATGCCAACTTTTCACCTACAACAGTAGCACACCCATCAGCAGTATCGGCCCTTTAATATTTGAGCGAATTAACTTATTATCAAATTTAAAGAGAAGAATATTATCGGTGTTTTCGTGCGTTGGGTTTTTGGTTATATTAATCTTTAAGCGGTCCATGGGTGTGTGAAATATCACAATTTAAAAACGCTTATATCTCGCTTAAAAACTGAAATATCGAAAAAAAAAAAAAAAAAAAAAAAAAAAAAACTAACGCATAACACAGATAGGTATCTAATTGTCTTACCTTGATAATAGGTCGATTCATTCTAATATTAAAACTAGAAGCACACAATTTTGATCCTGTTGGACGCAAATTTGTACGTTTGTAAAACAAAAATAACAAATGTATTTGTAGAGTTCTCTTGATATAAGAAAACTAGTTTACATTTTGCACACAAACCGATCCACGTATAATACAATATAATATAATATTGACATTTAAAAGGCATAATATTATAATTTTTTAGTTTGTGTACCTACTCTACATTGTGCATCTGTATATGATTAATAGAAACTATTGTTTTTCAAATTTACACTAACACGATATAAAATTATATATACCTAATATGTATCTTTTGTCAAAAGATATAATCGGTTTGAATGTTAAAAAAATCAACTATAATCAATTCATTAAAGTCATGACAAAATAATAAGGCATGATCGCATATTTTACGTACACACGACCCGCTCAATTATTTCTCTGCTTCATCTATCATCGTATAAGTTCGCCGTTTCTTATTGAATACTGATTAAAATTAGCATTGTAAATATCGTATGTAGGTAGTAGTGAAAAACTACGACACAGACCGGGCGTGTAGGAGATGCGCGTACACCGAACGAAAACGCGACGCTCCGTGATCATACCTACCTATATCTAAATTTTTTCACGGGCATTGGGTATAGTTATATTCCTAACTATAAAATATAATAATAATAATAATAATAATAATAATAATATTAACTAACTGTTTAAACATTTCCGCCGTAATATTAAATATATATATATATTATTTGAATTTTAGACGTAGACCGAATAAATAGCATTACCTATTACGAATCGGGCGTGGGTGTCTATAGTATAAAAACTAAAAAGCTGCGCGTCGATAATTGTCTACCTAAATCCATATTTGATTTTTTTTTTCACGCGCATAATTAATTTGCATTTGTTTCGGCGCGGTTGCCCGGATAAAATTGTATGCTCAAACTATTTCGCCAGTCGTCGCGTTACTTTATTATAATACCGATGCGAAACAATGTTAAAATAATCGCGATGCGATTGTAATTTATACAGGGTGATTCTTTTATCACCTATAGAACCTGCGATTATCTATACTCGGTGATTTTGAGTACAGCATTTGATTTTCTTTGGGGTTTTTTTTTTATTCAAACGTATTATGTTGTAGAGTCTTTTAACAGGACGCCCACACCCGCAGTATATACTGTCTTCGTCTTACAATGCTCACGACAGAGCAAATTTGCGTTCAGCAGGACGAATTTCGTGCCGATGGTTTTTATTATGCAGTAAAGTATATAGTAATGTAAAGTGGCCTATTATCAACGTCAAAGGTAAGAACATTATTCGTGTTCTTACGTCGGTGTTTTCGGTATTTTAATTTTTAAGCGTGATACACGGATATTTTAAAAGCATTTTAAAATCTCACTGATATCTCACTGATAGGAAATGATAATGCTCTTACTTTTAAGTTTGGTAATAGGTCAATTCACATAAATATTTCGAAACTAACGGCACAGAAATTGTCATAATGAACTAAAATTTGCTGTCGTACGTTTGTAAGGCGGAGACAATAAATACATAGCGTCCTGTTAAATGGTCGTATATTTACGATATTTTCAAAATTTTACCCTTTTATTCCATATACCATACACACCATTGTTATCAGTTTTGAATTTTTGAACAGCATACCGCATTTTTCAACGAATATTTTTTATATGAAAAATATACCGCCACCATCATAATAAACATATAAACTGTTTTGTCTGCAATGTTGAAAAAAAAATGAATTGCTATTTTAAAAATCAAAAGTCGATAATATTATGTATTTATACGGCGAAGTTATTATAAGGAACAATAAAGATAACACGTTGAAAATATTGTAAAGAAAATTATAAGATCGTCATACGATTTTGTATATAACATAATGTTTATAGAAAAAAACACATCATATTTTTACTTCAAATCTTCGTAGATAATCGCAGGTTCGCGATAAAAGAATCACCCGGTATATTTTAAACACACAATATGTATTACATTATTCATATTATACAACGAATGAATTTTAACTGCAGTTTAAATTAAAAAGTTAATTGAAAAATCATAATTTTGAGTGTTTTATTTGGAAATTTAATCGAATAAGCGTTTGAATTTAATCGGTTGAAAATAATACCAATTAGAATTTATAAAGGTATTTATATATATTTTATAAATAGTGGAAATACTTAATATTTTTAATGTTTAAAAACAAAATAAACATAATTTGTTTTAACTGATGAACCCAGTAAACATTTTTATTAATAAATAATAAAGTAAAAATAAAATTATTAAAATAGTTAATACTCGTAAATAAATATATAAATTAAAAATTAATTATTTAATAAATGCGTCGCCTGGAATATATTAATAAGTGAATACAATTGCTATTAATACGATCGGTTTCGAATTAAAAATTCATCATCAGGTATATCACAGTCAAAATGTAAACCGTGATTGAATATTAACAATTTTACACTGATCATAATACTCCAGGCGACGCATTATTAATTAATTTATTGTTTATTTTTTGTATATATATTTTTATTTAAATATTTATTTACTGTACATTTTTTTTGTTACATTTATTGACTTTTAACTCAACAAGTTAAATTTCTTAGTACGGAGTTACGGCCGTTTTCATGGACTAATATTATGACGTTTTAGAACAAATAATCAGACAAATCTGTAGGATTTTTGTTTGATGGATTTAAATTTTGAAAACGTATTGCAATTCTTTAGGTTTCCTATTACTAGGTTACGTTGAGATTATTTTTTAAAATCTGAATACTCTTTAGGTACGTAAAAGTCAAAATATTTTAAGTACATTTTGATAATGTTTTTAAAAATACAATCAATTTTTTTTAGACGGGTTAAAAGTCTATCCCTTTTTAACCTAACGTCTTTTTGGTTCTAATTTTATATACACGCTGTGAGTCAAAAATTCCACGTGGATTTTAAAATCTATCAAAAAAACTAGATTTTATATCACGTCTGGTAAATAATAGTACAGTATACTCAGTATAGACTCTATCCAGTGGCGGATCCTGACCATAATTTTTTTTTTTAAGGGCGGGAAAAATCATTTATAACAATGAAACTTTGTAGATATTATCAAATAATTTGGCACTACACGTTACTATAAGTTCATTTCAGATCTCTCTCGACATTGAGAACAGCCAAATTCGAGAAACAGTTCTGTAGCATACTGGTTCGTAACCAATTTTCGATACGACTCATAGAAGAAAACAACCTTTTACAAGTTCTTTCATGGTTTTTTATCACTATTATACAAATGGTTACACTGAACAACACGAATTTTTGTATTAAATAATTATTTAATGTATTAAGATTATGGATATAGTCTATACCATACATCTAGATTATTAGATTTTATCTCAAACACGGTAATAAAACCTGATATTTAGTATTTTATATTTAGGAGGGTAATAAAAATATGTATGGTACTGATCCCCATAATGGTACTTATGAACTGTAGAAACTCGATAGTACGGTTATTGATTTATTCTTATCGTTTTCTATGTGAGACTACAATATGCCACCTATGACAAGGAATAAAACTATTGTTTAATTTTGTCTTTTAAAAAATAACATTAATATATTAAGGTACAAGGTATTTGTTGATTATATTTTGTAAATTTATGATGATTTAATAATAAAAACAAAAAAAGTTACATTTTTACCTACCTATGAAACGTAAACATTTTTTTCTTTAAATTTACTATTACGCGTTACCTCATAGACGCGAGGTGAGGAAAGCTCAGTTCATTTATTTATGTATCTATATGATTCTTCCATAAACAATACAACTCAGCATTATAATTTTAATTTATTTGATTAATAATTACGGATGTTCCACTAGCAATATTAGTATATAAGTTATTAAGTTGATAAATAATTTATTGTTTACAGTTTTGCACAACTAAATCCTTTGTTTTATCAATCAAACGTAAGTCTTAATAATGCCATCTAGTAAAGATCTGGATCGTTAAGTGACACACAACTGGGGTGAATGATCTAATATTTGTCTTCACAACAGTTGTATTGCTGAGATTATATAGCATCTCTATATTACTATTATGCTCTATGATGCCACCACGGTCACACCATAGAGTAGTACAACTCTACGGTTGTATAACTACATTATGAGTCACCTTCGACCATCTGTAAGCACTGATAATCCATTAATAACTTATTTATTGATTAGAGTAAGATTTCTGGTAGAAAATTTGTCCACAGACAGAAAAAAAAAATGCTATTTTAACCGGTTACCGACGGATCGGTGAAAACAAATAGTGTGGACTGGCCTTAATATAACTGTCGAAGTTTATTCGAACTGTTTATTAAAATAATAAGTTAGAATAGCCTACTTCCTACTAGAAAAGTACTAGTATAGCAAAATTCCCGGTTTCTAAATGTATTCCAAGCAATAAACTATAGTTCAATATAAAATATTTTGAATGAATTTGGTAACCTAACATATACAGTATGATTATGTGTGGAAACTTTATTATAAATTTAAATAAATACATAAATTTAAAATCTTAATTCGTAAATAGTTGATGGGACATTTAAAAAAAATTTTAAGTAATTTTTTTACTCATATTTCGGTGTTTATATTTTAATATTGGATAGCATGAATGCATGTTTAGTACTCATATTTAAATAAATGTAATGACAATGGTAATAATGTTACGAGAAATAAGTATGTATCTCATCTCTCCTTGTCAACCAAATCAACAACCGTAACTATATGTACTGGTTACTACGGACGATCACAACGGGGGGGGATATAAGGTGTCTAAATTTTAGAAACCTAAAACGTTTGCTTAGAAACCTAATAAACATATATTTAGAAAATCTAAAATTATATTATTATGTCGTATGCAATAAATTGTTGTATATATATATATATATTATTAAGTAGTGGTAAAGCTGTATATAATTGTGCACGCATTAGTCCGTATGTTCTTTGTCTTTAATACAATTGCGAACTTTAGAATGCGGTTTTCGGTTTGTTTGGCCATACAGATTAAAGGATAAGGCCCCCGTTGATTTTCAGTTCAAACGCCCTGGAAAAATAAAAAAATAAGTGTTTGTTTATGTGATAAAAGGATTATGGTTTAGACAACAGTTTAGCTACACGTCGGGGAGCATTCGCTATAGGCGCCACAGGAAAGGGTGCTAGGGGTCTTTATCATCTCCAAGTTTAAAATCAGCACTCCCAAAAAAACTAAATAAACTTTTTCATAGTAAATATTGTATCCATGTATTTCATAATCGATGAGCAGAACAAAATACAGATTTCCCACAGACAATGCATGTGTGTATTGTGTGTATGCAAAATAATGATAAAACGGTAATTACAAATTTGTAAATACAATATTGTAAACGAAATGTGACGTAAGAGTCGTGTAAAAGAGAGTATCGGGGCATAGACCCGTGGGTCTTTGATGTATCCACTGTAGTTTTAACGCCCTAAAGTCGATGGTTTAGTCGCGCCTATGGATTACGCTTTGCCAGTAAATCCGCCAATTTGTATCGGTTTACTATGTTTTTGTTATGTACGAGATGTATTAATAGGTAATATTTTTATGTATAAAAGGACAGGCCTTTTTGTGTTACAATTTTGTGACGACACTATATTTAACTTTTTTCGTAGAGTTGTTCCAAATACTTTACTGAGTGTCACCACATTGGCTGTTTGTATCAAATTCAACCCCTCAGGGTTTTAACAAGGGGTTTTAGGAATTTTTAGTTTGAATATTAAATTGTTTGTTTACTTTTGTTTATTTATGGGTCACCTTGGTGATACGGATGGAAAAACAAAAGTTAAAACAAAACAAACAAACAAAAACTACACACGGGTGAAGCCGGGTAATTCAGCCAGTATAATTTATCATTACCAAAATAATTTGCGGCGACGATAATTTGTTTACAATTTTTTTTCTTTGCTTCTATTATCTCGTGACCTACCGAGTGTCAGGAACGGATCCACGGATCCGAGATGGAGGCCTGCCCCCCCCCCCCGCCCACCAAACATATCATTTCTCCGATTTTTTTTTTATAATTCTATAAATCGTGATGTTATTACATTCCAATCACTGATACGTACGAAAAAATAATACACAACAATATGTATTATATTACGTTTTAATCGTATTTGCGTTGTAAACAAATTGTTGCCCCCGCTAGATCTTTGCTCTGGACGCCGAGCGCAAGTATCGTTTGTCACGAAAATCGGAATATATTCGCGCGAAAACGGGGAAAAAAAAAAAAAAAAATTAATTCTAGCAAACAGACGGGAAACGGAATAACAACCGTAGCGTATCGTGCGTAGCGGAATGTCGAAAACCGGTCGTCTTCGCAGCTGCAGCGCGGCGTTATTTTCCCCTCACAGCCGAGCCGACGGTACAAAATCGCGGTATCGGGTGTGTACGGGTTTTTTTTTTCGATGGTGGTGGAACGTGCGGCCGCGAGACCTTCTTACATTATAATATTATATTAATCGCGTATTTATTTCACACAACACACACACACACAACACACACACACACACACACACACGCGCGCGCGCGCACACGCACACACGTATGGTGCGCGTACAACATTATGATACATTGTAACATGTATTGTGTACGGATTTCGTACACGGGCGCGCGCAAGCGCCGCGAGTGCGTGCGCGTGTGCGCGTATTATTTTTGTTGCGTTTCTCAATGACCCGATCGCCGCCACCGCCGCCGCCGCTACGACGACGCCGCGGCCGCGGCCGCCACTAAAAACCGGTGCGCCCGCGCGTGTCCGTCCAAGTCGGGTCTCTGTTACGTTACGTGCCGCACGCGCTCTTCGAACTTTGCGTTTTGCGTCGTCGTCCCGCGTGCAGTGTGTGCGTCAACCGCGAAGTGCGTCTCGCGCCCCGTGAGCTTTTAACGCGGTCCGAGTGTCCGCGGCGCGATCGACACACAACGGCACGCCGTTCACGCCGGAGAGGTTTTCACCGCGCCATCGTAATAATATCGAAACCATCCGATTGTCGCGATACCATAGGTACACGTTTGCAAACACAACGGTTCGCATTTCGCGCGTTTTGGCGATGCGGGCTTACCGCTGTGACCGGCGTCCGCCCGCGTCGTTCGCTCGTTGTCGGGCGCCCTGCGGCACCGCCGAAACGTTTCGTTTACGCACCCGGCCGGCGCGCGCTGCACGGTGTCTGCGTGATCCGCAGTGACCGATCGGCCCGGCAAACGGGAGTTCCCGACGCCCGCGTATCGGTTTGCTGATTTTGCCGGTTGTCGAAAACCGCGTTCTCGGTCACTAACCGAACGGCCGGCGACGTTGCCGCGTTCTGTTACGACGGCAAACGATACCGCGAAAACGGTTCGTTCGTCCGCGTAACAGTACAATGCAGTACGCGCAGTAGCCCCGGGTCGCTGAAAACCGCATCGCCAAAACGCGTCTATTATTAAAATTATCGCGGGCCGCGCCATTGTCGTGCGCGTGTGCGCGGTAAGTTTTTTGCGTTTCGAACGGCACCCGTTGCGGAGCTCCCCGGTGCGCGAATCCGCTTGACGACGACGGCCGGTACCCCGAACACAACCGATTTGGTAATACCCGGCCGGACGGGGTGCGCCGCAAGCCGCAGACGACGGCAGAACCCGGTGCGGGGTGCCGAAAATACGTATCGCACTATTTTAGTAACTGCACAGCGGGCCAGAATCCTCTAACCTCCCCGCCCCCCCCCCACGAAAACCAGGTAGAAATTATTATCGCCCGAAACCGTCATTTTGACGTTTATAGAACTTTAATATTTAAATCGTTTTCGAGAGGTTGGGAGGTGTATTTTATTTTTCAATACGAGAGCAATATTTTTTCAGCGACCTATCGATTTATTTGTCATCGACCGACGCATACACAACTATAATAACACTGTGATGACGAAAATCTATTACTGTCTGCAGAATCCTTATTAGCACATTTTCGATTGCGTTTGGGTCTGTCTCGATATCCGGTCAAGCATTTATTTATAACGTCTGTTTTAACGAAACATGATGAACAATATTAATTTATGCATTGTAACATAGGTAACCTATTAAAACAATAACACGTGATATCGTTTTTTTTTTCTGATTCGTTTTCGCCTATTTTTAACAATATCTGACCCGCCGTGTGCTACGCCGGGCGATATATTTTTGCCATTGTAAATGAACCAGTGAGATTATCAGCCATAGCCCATGAGTAATATACGAAGATTTTACGAGAAAATCATATAAATTAAGCTTTTTTCCAGTCACCGTATTTAGTATCATTATATTGTACACGACCTATAATGATGTCGCACATGATATTCTCAAAACTTTACACTTATTTCGCGTTAGATGTTTTCAAATACAGTGACGCAGATAATTTTTTATGAAATCAAAAGTCGATAACATGTGTTTGTGGTATATATATATATGTACACGGAATTAGGGTGACGATTTAAAAATATTGTAAATATAATATTACAATTTGTAAACTATATTTTATAGAATTACCGGGGGGGGGGGGGACGGAGACGGAAATTAAATTTACCCATAATTATCGCACATCAGATAACCATATAATATAATCGCGGGTTCGTGATAAATGAATCACTCTGTACTCTATTTACCTACGTATCGTTGTGCCGCCGTCGTTGTCGTATTCATTGAAATTAATATAATAATTACTGTTACTATATTAAGTGTTAAATATTATTATTAATAATACTGTTGTAGTATTTAGGCAACGTGTTTTTGTTTCGTTTGCACGGTGCTAAATGCGCCGAGTATAATACGAATAACAATATATAAGCCAGCCACGTTAACATTATATTATTGTACTTAGAGTTCTCGTAATCTGTCGACAGATTTTTCTTAAAAATCGATTAGAAAAATACATTCACGAAGTTTAATGACAAATAGGTACCTAGATGTAAAAAATATTATCCGCTCAATTATGGATATTACTCTGCGATAATGCTTACATATTATAATATTGTATATTTTGACGGTAACGCGGGAAACTATTAAAAATAGATTAGATAATGATGTTATTATTGTATCTCGTCTCCTACGACTGTACGAGTATTTCTGTTTAACGTTTTAAAAGTATACATATTATTAATGCATTTTCATTTTTCGAATAGGAAAATAATTCTCCGATAAAAAATATCAGAGAATACCTACCGTAGAGGTGCGCACACGTGGTTATGCAGGCGTTATGCCGCTGCTTGTGCACAGTCTGCAGCTTCAGGTTGTTGCCCGAAATCGTTCGATATACTTACTTGCCATTAAACTTTGGTTATTTTCACATTCGGCATTCATTTAATTCAAACTGTAGTACATTATGATTTATGATCTACCGTGTTTAAACTTAGCCGTAGTTTGCGCATTTTATTTTGGTGAGGAGGCCAAATTATTATATTCAATTGTATTTCAGGACTCGATTTTTCTAATTGCATAACCTGTGGTTAAAGTCTGCGCATTTCTACGTTACCTACTATTATAGGTAGGTAGTTAAAAAATAGTAATATTAAAGTGTTGTGCACCATATGTATTGAGCTCTGTGTTTGTATACAGCACGCGGTTATACACACTCGCGATTCGAATAAAAAACTTATATACCTACATGACGTTATTAAATTCGATAGAAGAGCCTATATATATATACGAAAATCGTATCGTTTTAATAAAAAAAAAAAGAAAAAGAAAACGTACTTCAACTGTTCAATGTAGGTTTCATAGAATAAAATTACGAAAATAACTTGAAATTTATTTTACAGTGTCGCATCGTAGACTTTTTTTTTTTTGGGGGGGGGGCTGTTCAGTTACATATCACATTACAAAAATAATATAATAGTTGTAAAATAAATTTAAACAATTTTTTTAAAAAGGCGCATTTTCTCAAAAAATTTGAACGAATTTGAATGAGCGACTAAGCGATAATATTATTAGTTAATCACATAGTGACCCCCTTGAACTGAATACAATTATTTGTTCGCTTACCATGTCTCGTAATATACCGCCAATGTAATTACCTGTATTTATTTAAAAAAACAATATATTCATGTCAATTGTTAGACTACAAAAATCGTCCTTTTTTTTTTAAGTGTATTTTTTTTTCTTTTAGTAATATCGTGTATGTATAGTTGATGCAATATTCTCAAAAGGCTAAACCGATCGACCGCAACGGCAGTAGAAAAAAAATAAATATAACCTTTTTCATAATAGTATCGAATTTGTGTTGAAAAAAACGAAAATCCCAAGACCAACATATTGCACCTACTGATGTTTGTGCGCCCGTCAGTTTTGAGTGGTTTCGGGTGGTCTCCCGGGATAAGCCATTTTTTTTCTTCGCGAAAACTGCTGATCTTGCGTGTGCCGAGCTGTGCGTCCAACGAGCTCGAAATATATTTTTGCTACCGTCGCCGGGTATTGAACATGCATGTAGGTACGCAATATGTCCGCAGCTGAAATTGTGTTTATTTGCCGGGGTGAAACCACTTGCTCGGTTATCACATTATCAGCTTGCAGGGCTTTCCTTGGCGTGTCACCGTATAGTTAACCGCGACCGCCGTCGAATGTTACGTACGTGTTTACCGACAACAGGTATTTGACAAATAATTGAGTGTTGAAAAATAATTGCGAATTTCGTTTTTCGCGTCCGATGTCGGTTTAGATTTTTCCGTGTTGCGTGTTTGACGGTTTTTCGGAAAACGTTTTGAAAAATTGTCTTTACTACCCGCAGGTTTTTCGTTATTGTTATTTTATTTGATTACTTTGATTTCGTGTCCTTGATTTCCTGTGGCACACATCGCGCAGCGAACGTTCCTTGAACTAAATTCGCACACCGAACTCACACGTATCTCATACACCCGTCGGCGATAGACTTTCTTTCGTCCGTGTGCGACACAGTGACTCAACGCGACGAAAAATGAACTTAACTTGTTAAGTTAAAATAGTCAAAATGTTAAATTTTAACTAGGTTAAAAAAAATGTCGGCAAAAAGTTTTTTAAAAAATTAACCTTTTAATTTATTTTTAACTTTTTTACTGAGTACTTGTTTAAAACATACCGTTATTACATATAGTATAAAACGTGCGATAATATTATTTCTCTGTACATTTGTAATTTTTAATTTGAAAATTTGCATTATTTGAGGATTTGAGGATACAATGTTAAGACACGGACTACTAATGTGCATACTATGCACATAACTTACGCGAGTATTGTGGCTGGGGCACGGGACAACGGAATTCATAAGGTTTTTTTATCATTATCAACACGAGTCGATCCGGTGTTGAATACTGGATTGGTGTAACTATTACACTTAAACGCTACGGATGTTTTATCGCGAGCGCGAATTTTATGTTCTATTACCTGTTGCGCGTGCCTGGCGTATTATCAATTAAACATTTGGCGACCGGGGTGAATCATAATACTTGTAGGTACGTGTGTACTTGCGACAAACATCCTTATTTTGATATTTATGTCATTTGTATACGGGACGGCACGCGTAACCAGGTGTTGTTGGTTGGATCGTCGAGCAAAATAACTTTCAATAATAATATTGTAATAACACGTGTAACGCGTACTTATACATAACTATACGTTCCTACGACACGGATTTTCTTCCGTCGTCGTGACGTCTTCGTTGTGTCGGACTAGATGTATTATTATAGTGATGATACAATTCGCTATCGTACGTTTAACTCGTTTTTTACTTGAAATCATTGAACAATTTTTGTTGTTTTTTTTTCAGACTACCTCATAATATAATATTTTCGTTTATTATTCGTTTCACTTGTCGATGGGATCGGAATACAGCTCTGCTCTTGCAGTAATGCAATAAAACGGCTGTTGCAAGTAGGAACGACGAACATTCGATCATAGCCGTCGTCGTCGTCGTCGCCGTCTGCACAATGGCCAAAACGGTAGACAATTGGCCTGGAAAGCCTCAGGAGACTGAATCGTTCCTGTTAGGCGAAAATCGCACAGCGCAACCAGGACTAGTCAGACAGAATCGTCGGCAATCCGGTAAGAGCACATAAACATTGTCGTTTTAGAATAATAATTATAGCTAGACCTCTGGTTCAGAAATTATCAGTTGTATTTACCCACAAGTTACGAGGAAAGTCGATGAAAAACAATTAAATGAATTGAATCGAGTCAAACGCACTAACAAAAAAAAGAATTCGGTTAAAAATTAACGACAGGAAAATTTTAAATGTGAACATTTTTTAACTTGACTAATTTTAAAAATTGTTTGGTTTTTTTTTTTGCTAAATACTTATGTTTATGTTAAACATATTGAAATTGGTAATAATAAATCCACTATTTCACTTTTTTAGATACCTACTGTTAAGTTTGGCTCAATTAGAATGTACCTAAATTCAAACAAGGGAAAAAACAGATTCGCCTGTAAGCCATTGTATTAGTTTAGCTGAATCTTTATAAAAATTAATAGTGAAAAGTTTCCTATGACAAAAATTTAATTTGAGAAATCCTGAACATAATTGTTCAAAATTCTTGTGGAAAAATTTGTGTTATTTTATATTTTAAACGTAATGAAGGAGCTATTAATATTGTACCAAGAAATATTTCAAAAATACTTCAAATTTGTATTTTGTACCTTAAAAGATGCGGGTTTTCCATCCGATGGCACTTTATTTGCAACAGTTTTCCAGATTTTCAACAAAAATAAATGACCATATATTGGTTTTATTTTTGTTGATTTTTGGATTATCTACTTTATAGCCATTAAGCTTCAAAGGAAAACACGACTAACACTACGATAATTTTACTTGCAGTTTACTGAGCTCCGTTCAGAGTAGTTGTTTGTTTGCAATAATTCATTGTTATAAAATACAAATCAGTATAATACTTTATAGGTACCTTTTAAAAATCCCACCTATAACAGTGGTCATTCGTGGTGCCAAATATGCCAGGATTCTTAAAATTTTCATTGTCATAATTTCTTACTTCAGTTGGGCTGTCTCAATACACAATTATTACTCAGAATTTTCATAACGTTTTTTTTAAAGTAAAAAATATATTTTAAGTGTATATCCTATACATCGTTTATGAAGAGTGCCTATTTTGTATTGCGAATTGACTCGGCATCGTCCCAACTTGTCGACTAGCCTACTACCATGAATGGCGATTATGACGTATTATTTATAAACGATGAATTTATTAGAAATCGAATATAATATTATCGTGTGGCGTAAATAATTTTATTAGGTACAAATTTTTTGATTTATTAATATTCTAATCGTGTATAGGTGCCCAGCTGACGCATATTGTTGTATTATACGAAGCAAATAATAATCTTGTAACTACACTCGCGAGAGTAATGTACATGCCGATTTTAGGTGTATATGCACACTTATTGCACCTATATTTTATCGAAATCTTATGATAATTATGTATGTTTTCGAGACATCGATTCTCATTCAAAACATTTGTGTGTTTGGCATCGCACACATAATGTCAAGGATAAACTAATAAGTCACGCGTTTATTTTACTCGCATTAACTATATAATAATAATAATACAATATATTGTATCGTATATATTGATTTAGTGACGTTTAAATATTGAATGTTTTTCCATTGTCATATTATCGTGTAGTTAAGTAGGAACTTTTTAAATTAAATTTTCCATTAGCTTAACGAGTAGCCGATGAATTATGTCCCGGAACTCGAAGGATCGACTATCATTATTACATAGGTGTTTAGGGACATTACAATGTTATAGTAACAAGATACGACAGTGAATAAAATATAGGTACGTCTCTCACTTCCTGAGCGTTTATGATTGATTAATTTCCTCCGTTTAACAGTATCTACCTACGTATATTATAGGTATTAAGTATGAGGTATATACTTACTTTTAAAATGTTCACGTTAGTTGGACCCTCGGGCAAACCGGTCGAACTATATAATCATAATAATACACCTATTTGTAAATTATTGTGTTAATAGCGCTTCCAGAAATAATAAATCATAGCTTTCGATTTTTGAACGTAATATAATAATACTATACGAACGCAGGTTAAAAACTGTATCAGAAAACAATCAGGAATCGACGATGCTGGATAGAATTCACCTACAGTTTTCCCTCCAAAGGTAAAAAAATTTTCCCATCAAAAAAATTACTACGAAGTACGAATAGATTTTCGCAAGAAAAAATCTAAATTATTACAATTTTTTAATACACAAATACGTCCTACACTGTGTTGACATCAAAATTTAGATATTATCGTTCTTAGTATATAATACACAAAGATACAGAATTCCCTTTTGCAAAATGTATTCTAAAATTTTCCCGCGCAGAGGAAAATTCCCCTCAATTTAAAATCACTATCAGAAGTTCTTCATCATGCAATAATTATCACCTAATACCTACTACCCTAGGAAAATTGTTCAGATAAATACTAGTCTATATTGACTTCATACCCTTATTCGGTTCAATTCTATTTACTTAATTCGAAACTGGGTGTCAGATTTCGGGCGTCATTACATATTGAAGTTTGTTGTAGTGTGTAGGAGTATATTATACAACACAGTGATTCACTAATCATTTTTATAGGTACTATGATGGATTGGCGGGGTGTTAAAAATTATCTGGATACCATAGATGGTGTTTGAAATATTGAAAATATTTGTTGTCTTTATTGAAATAAGGGATCTAACACGATATTGTATAATGTGGCAATTCGGTTATTTTAGTTTTTAGAATATTATCTATGTAATGAATCAATTTGAAGTTAGTTATTGTTTTTAATAGTAAATATTATTATGTCTGCAGTTTTCAATATTTTGTTTACATGTGTAACCTTGTCATTGTTAAAACGTGTATTATTATTCCGATCTAAGGTAGCTGGCACATATTTATCGAACATAATATACAGCTGACAAATAAGTTAATAAAAGGACGAATTTTCCTTTTAAATTGACCTACATTGAATACATAACTATTTGGGGACTTTTATTTCAGTAACCTCGATGTCTCCGTGTTAAATAATGATTATCAGCCGTGAAACATGATCGATAGTATTTCAAGAATCTGCTTGTAATGGTAGCATGAATTCGTTGTTATCCGTATTTGTCTCGCTTTATTCATTCATTTGGTGGATTATCAGTTTAGATTTGATATATGATGGTATTATATACGGACGTCTCTTCACCGGAACAATTTTCAATCGATCTATATCCGTGACGTCACGTGTATCTATACATGCTTCTATGATACTATTGTGCAACATCAGTACTATAATAATATTGATGACATTTTTAATTATGCTTTTGTTTAATTTTGTGTTATAAGTTAAGAATTATATAATTGCACTATTTTTAATAAAATGCATAAATAATTTGTAGAAAAATTTAGAAAACGACAAAATCATATATTATATTGTTATCAATATTATTATAGCGTTGACAACACAGAATATTATTACGCGTTATATTCTAAGACCGCGGTATTACAGAAACATGCATAAATAATAGTGACGTCACGGATATGGATCAGACGAATAATTTTTCCGGCGAAGAGACGTTCATATATTACATCGAATTTGTAAAATGACTTAAGTGGAGCTCAATATATTGAAATTTAAACGTATATATGCTTACGTTTCTTGAAGAAACATATTTCATACAAAGTTTTAACTAATATAGTCTAAGTGAGTACTCATTCTACTCGTAGGCAAATTGAAAAATTATAGTGTAATTGAGTTTGATTTTTAATTTAAATGAGTAGATACAAACAAAATATTTGTATATTTACTAACCTGATAATATTGTTTTTAAAAACCTATACGCAAGCACATCATTCAGAGTTTAAAAACAGGTGAAATCTGATATTATCATAAACATTAATTTATGTCTTAACGCCAAGGAGATATTATATTTAGGTGCAACAGTATACATGTCATGGATTTATTTGAAATTAAATCACTAATTTTACTAGAAACCGTAGATCAGTATATACAATTAATTCGTCTTTCTCTTTTTAAAATTGTATGTAAAACATAATCAGATACTAGGGAGCACTAAAAATATATTTTAAATTTTGATGATTTTTAAAATCATACAGAACATTTGTTGGCACTTTTCTTTCGTGAAATAGAACACTTAATCCATCCGATTTTCTAGAAATAGTATTACATTTTATAGAAGTAAATATTTTCGAAATTCTCAACAGTTTAATTGAAAATTTAAAAAAGTTGTAACGTTACACGAAAAAACTTGGGTACCTAAAATTGTTTCAAAATACATTATTGTTGTTATTTTTATTATTTCTATTTTCGCTTTTGACTCACCAGTTATTATTTAACTATTGCTTGAAGTAATTTAAGATACAATTTGCAAACGATATCATTTTGATAAAGGTAATATTCTTGAAATCAAATTGAAAACGATTTATATTTTATTCGTAAAATAAATAATAAAATAACACAACAATACATTTTATGAAAATTAAGTTTTCAATGAAACCATCAATTAAGTTGTCTAACCTTACCCTTATATTTTGTACATGGTTGATGGTACTCAATTAAGTACGAGTTCTATAATTAGTATAATTGACAATAGATTATTAAAAATAATTACGATTATTAACAATGATTATAAATTGTCTGTGTGTAAAATGTATAATATCAAATTATTATTAATGCGTAATACGCATTAATGATTATTTTTTAAATAATATATGTACTATATACATATTACTCAAAACCCAGCCTTAGTAAATCAGGATTATTTTAATCAACAATTTAATTTTAATTTTATAATCAGTTTGAATTGAAGTTCCTAAACAAGTAGCAATCGACAATATACATAAAGTAATACATATATTATACATTTTTTTGTACACGTTTTCAAGGACGAAATTTCTGGAATTTATTATTTTATTTTTAAATTTTATATTTAATTTAAATTTAATTTTTAAAAAAATCGTAAAATAATGTTAAATTAAATTGTTGAAAATGTTCAAATGAATACATATGAATTTTAAATTGTGTAATTATTTAATAGATAGGTAGGTATAATCATTTAAATTGTTGTACCTGCATTTTTATTCTTTCGAGCGAATATAAATATGCATATATAGGTATATAAAATATTTTTTCAATGTGAAATGAAAGTTTTATTGTTTTGTAATAATATATATTAATCACGAAAATATTAAAACGCCCTTAAGGTGTAATAAAAGTATTCTATTGACGCGACCGTTAAATTCTACAATATCGACCATGAACAATAACAATACGACTTTGCTTAAAAATACATCTTATACTATAGCTGTAGGTATTTGATTATCTGCAGACACTTGGAGCGGAACCAATACTAGTTTATACCACGGTATAGGTTAGTGGATTTGTACTTATGTGCTTACTTATCCTTGACATTGGTATGGTAATATTATGGCAATAAAGAGGTTATCGTCGTCGGAGATCAATGAAAACAAAAAAAACCACATACTTAATTTAACGTTTACTTTATTTTTTTTTTTTTCGTAATTTTGCAATTTTGGCGCGTTTCTATATAATTAGAATATTATACTCACTTTAACTCGCCAGAAATTACTTATATAAAGATAGGTATACTTACAACCGTTGTTAATTTATTCGACCTTATCCATATATTTTATATATTGTGCAGTGGATGATGAATATAATATTACAGATTTGTGTACAATAATGTCCATAATACGCGCAATGATAAAAAAAAAAAAAAACAAGTTGCAGTGATTTATGATATTAAAATTATCGTACAAAATATATATATATAATACATTTACTCATAACTTAGGTACTATATAAATATAGTTGTACGATATTATCGAATTGGATATAATATTATTGTACCTTAAGTGGACGATATGCAGGCATTTACTGTCTCAGTCTAACTGACGGACAACAAAGAAAAATAATCACGTTACGTAGAACGTAAATTGTGGTATTTGAGTTGAAATTAGAGTTTAAACACAAATAACGAAGAGGAGAATATTTTCGAGAGCTATATATATATACCTATTGCAATATTTCTTGAGATAATAAAGATAATTAAATTCTGTTGTTTTATATATATACCCTATAAGGACTATAAATATTTATATTTAAATTCAATTTTTATGTTTCGGTGAAAAAATTAAAAAAATTGCTTTTTGTTTTATTATTTTTGAGAAAATTTGAAGTTAGTCATCTTAAAGAGTTTATTATTCTTCTGAAAATGTTGACTTTTTATTTTCATTAAATCCGTGATTATCAATCATTTTTTTAAAGCTCAGAGAAAAATACCTATTTATAAGTATGCAGCAGGCTGCAATCGCATTCACTAATTGATTATTATTACTCATTATTATGGCTAATTGACTGTACACTTCCCTTCTCTGATAATAAATTACCATTTTATGTACGTTCGATAGTAAATCGAATATTTAAAAAATTGTAAAACACATTAGGTAATCCATTTAGCTTTCTAGGTTATATTTAAATATTATAAAGTAAAAACAATTATAGTAGGTACACCTACAAACCTACATCAGTATGTGTGACAATGCAATGCAGAAGGTACCAGGAGTATATTTTAAATTTAATGTTCGATAGGTATCCTTAATTTAATACTGAACAGTAAATTTCTTTTCGAAATCATTATCTAAATGACTATTATTATAATTTATAGGCGTTCACTAAAAAGATTTGTTTAAAATATCTATTTTTGAAAACCGTTTAAACTAAAAAAAAAAGTTGTAAAAAAGATCATCATTAAAAAACGTCTGAAACGCTGATTTAACGTTTTTTTTTTTTTTATCAACCCCGGTTGAAAGAAATAAAGAGCGACAAACACTTTATAGATAAAGCTTTTTATAAGTAGGGATGGGGAATGTGTGAATAATAATTATAATATTATGTTTATTAATACCGCAGGCAACGACGACGTGTCTGTAATAATTAGACACTATAATACAAACGAACAAAGAACAAATATATCAAACAATAAAAATGAAAAAAAAAAACATATAAGTGTCTACATTCTACATAAAATTTCCAGTTGCCGATTTAGGTATGCATATATTGTACAATTATAATACATTTTACATGTATACGGTACCAACCATAGTTAATACGATCGGTATTTCGAGTATTAGTCCGAGACGTCCGGTAAAGATATGATAATATAATTAATACTTTAATTAATAATTAATTAAACCGGACAAGGTTGAATTACTAAGCTGTAGAGGGATCAGATTTGGTGGTAATTGGACGACCGCGCAATAATAATATTATTATAATGATAGAATATAGTAACGATCGTAAAATATTTTTTACTATATTTTTCACTAAGAACAACAGCTGAACGGGTGGCAACAAAATTATTGGTACACATCGCGAGATTGTATACCTAACACGCAAGGTACGATGTTCCGCGAGCATTTATAATATAAAAATATACGTATTGTGTGGACAAGACCGTAAGAATCGGAAATTTTCGTTGAAAAATAAAAAAAAATAAAATAACAAACGATAAATATTAATTGAAATGTAATTAGATAAGGAAAAAGAGCTAATACTGGGGACGGGTGTGGCTGCTGTAGTAGATGGGTAGTTGGAAAGGTGGGATACATAGAGATGGAACACATAAAATTATTTTGTTTATACCTGTAACCAACGAAAACTATTGCTAACGAAAAATGATCTGGAGCGAAGTTCGGTTATACCTACATGTTTTGAAAAGCCTTAATATTGACCTGTATAAAAATAAAATATACTACATTAAATTTAATATGTTTTGGCCACTAAGTATGACTTATAATGAATCTCCTGGGAATTTTACAGCATTTCTTTTTAGTCTAATAATTTTATTCACAGAGTAATCAAAATAAAAATTATGTAAAAAACTTGTAAAATTAAAATGTCTATAATAGGTCAAAAATGGCTGGATAATTTTTAAAATTTTACCACGTCTATAAGAGACAAATATAACAGTTATGTCAAAATTTAAAGTTTCTACGAACATTTTTAACTGAATTACATTAAAAAAACAATATTTAAAATAATAAAATAACTACTTCGTAAATTTTCCCGCTCTTTCTACGTATTTTTCAGTTTTGCTTAATTATCTAAAAATTCTATACAAAGAAAATCAAAAAATGATTCCTTTACATACCAACTAGATTAAAAATGCAACATTGGTAGGCTATTAGTTGTAAGTGGTAAGTTGGAAAACTATATGGGAGGTAATTTATGTTTGTATACCTACCACATACTTATAGTCCATATCAGTTTATAAATCATTGCACCTAACAATAAAATTCGAATCTATGATGAGTGGTTACAAATGATGGTGTTTTTTTTCTTTCTAAGCTAGAACTTAGTATAATTATGAAATGATTTACGATTTTTTGCGATAGTTCCGTCAGAATTTGAACTTTAAATGTTTATGAAATAAACATTGTGACTATTTAAGATGGATTTTCGATATTTAACAAAAATGATTTATGACTTTAAAATACCACCCTAGTTAGATTTCAGAAAATATGCTATCATTATTCAAGTAAATCGGTAGAAAAGTTGTTCACAGGAAAACAAAAGGCCGTTATATTTTTTCTGTAATACTTACATTTCTTACATTTTCCCGTTTTTCCCATTTATCGGGAAAACTCTTGAGAAAATTAAAAAAAAACCACAATTAGAGTACCACTTCATGAATATTCTGTCTCAGAAAAAGTGCTATACTTTATACTTCGGAGCTAGATTCTGGTAAAATTTTTGTATACAGTAAGAAAAAAAAAATAAACATCTTTGTAATATACTCTTCGCTACAATTAAAATCTAAAAAATGGCTATTCATTCGTCTACCACCTTTTTTTTTATCACCCGGGGAGAAGTGATTACCTATAAGTATTTAGACGGCAATGTCACGATATGACATCACTAATGACGTGATAATGTGGTAACTACCATGGGACGTACACTATAATTATTATAGAGTGTCTACAAATTAAAAAAGGGTGAGATGATTCATCTATTGTTTCCCCCTCCTGGGAATTTGTATTTAAAAAATGTGGGGTTATTTGAAAAAAAGTGTTCAATTCTTAAAGTTTAAACGATTTCGATAATGACAGAAAACAGAAAAAAAAAATACATTAATTTAAATTCGCTTAAAATCCTCCGAAAAAAAATCACCCTGTACCTACATTCATAACACTATGTAACCAACGTAACTATGTATTACTCACTATAATAATATTTAGTATGTATTACGCTCAGATATACACTTACAATATACGCCCAGAATCGAAAAATCGTTGTATTAATTTATGTATATTAATATAAAATGTAAAACATCACATGGCCAAGATTGTCCGTCGTCGCCGTCAAAACAAGTCGTTCCGCGAAAACACGAAACACCTTTAGCGTGCGCGCGTTTTTCTGGTCCGACCGGCGCTGCGCCCCCGCAGTCGCGTGTTAAGAGATGGTCGCGGACGGACCCGGTTGTCCTTGGCCGGGAAGTCACGATTTTACCGGGGTGATCACACACACACACACACACACACACACACACACACACACACACACACACGCATATACACTTGTAAGTCGTATATACAGAGTGTTCCACGGAGATGATCTGATAAACGTAATAACTTTTGTTCTGGTCAATATTTGTAAATTTTCGTTTTTTTCTAATAATTACTAGAGCATCGCGTTATTGAAACAAGTGATAACAAGTTAAAATTTTTAGAAACATATTTTTTTTTTATAAAATCCAAGATCAAACAAAAGATACAAAATCGCCATTTTATATTGGCGTTACGAATGTTTACTAACGAGCCGTTAATTCTTTTAAACATTTTTTTAGAGTTTGGACAAATTGATATATTATTTAGTAATACCTTTTATTATTTTTTTTTATTTAATAAAAATAATATAATATAAGTTTACAAACTTAACAATAATAGTATTAGGGACGACAGGTAATATAATAAATAACACGAATAACGTGAAGGGAGGACCGTCCATTAATAGAACCTCATACCTTATACCCAATAAAAACAATTTAAATTACCGAAAACTTTAAAATTTTAGTAAAATGGGTATATTGGATTTTAAAAATTATATATATAACAGACGAATCAGTGCTATAGGCTGCAAAAAATTACGGTTAATGAATATATATATATATTTATTAACCGTGGCAAAAAATTGCATTTGTCAGAACTCCGCGAGACTACTCTGAATAGTATAGTATATATTATGTACACACATCACACGTGGTGTGCGTTTTTTTTCTCCGCCATTTTTGATTTATTTGCGTTTTTTTTTCTCGTTTTATATAAGAAAACAGGATCCGCCGACAAAAACGACGCTCAACGAATATCACGACAATGTGGGCCGCTACGAATTTAAGCGCTGAGCGATAATAATTTTTTTTTTTTTCTAATTTCCTATCTACGTGGGCAATATTTTAGTACTGGACGTAGTAATATAGGTAGTGTGCCGGATGAAGCGATAATAATGTTATACCTGCAACCTGTCTACCTACCGAATAAAGTACAGTCATCATCATGTTGACACCCGTGATCACCGAGATTTTCATTTTTTTTTTTCTTCTTCGAGTATATTGCCGCACATTGCACAGTATTTTGTAGGTACTTATTATCGTGTTGGGTTAATATTATTTTGGAAACGTGTACTTTTTCTTTTCGTTTCACAATCGATTTAGGTATATACTCACGTATTATCTACCTACTTACTCGCGAAAAGTGATGTGTTTATATTCACTTTTTAAAAATTTCTCCCGCGTCCAAAAAAACGACGATTTCCCTTTATATTTGTTTATTTTTCGAATCCTAATATGTAATGTTAAAATCAAATAAACAGTACATATACATACTATATTGGGATATAATACGGGAATCGATAATTACTAAGTAAAAAAAAATTTGGAGAAGCAAAAGTTAAAAAAAAATACTTGAAAGATAAAAAATGGAAAGCAATATTAAATAAATTTAATTTTCTTACGTTTAGCCTTAAATCGGCCAATAAAAAAGTTAATTTCCTTTAATTTCCAGTTATATACACTATAAAAATTGTAAAAGATTGTAAAATTCATCATTAGCGAAAATTCTGTAATCGTTTAACTATATAGAAATTATTATTTATTATGTACGCTATCATTTTTTATGATGTGCTAAACTCTTGTAAAACTTATATTATAGACGTTAAGAGGTTTGTGAAGGGCGCGCTATTATTTTAATTAGTGGCATTACTTCAGTACCCATAAGTCTTAACTCTTAAGTATACTAAAATACATAAGTACGCAAATATATTTCCTTATATTGTTACGCTGAATAACATTTTTATCCCTGGAGAATTTTTATGTTTTCCTATAGTTAAATAATCAGCTCAAACTAAAACGTATATAATTTCGCGATAGTAAAAATGTTTTCATCATTGAAGTATGCTAAATGTGTAATCAAATAAATAATACGATTCTGAGCGAAATTCGGTTAAACTTGTTTTTAAATGCCGTGATTTGTACGATTTTTCTTAAAATTGTAACTTTAAACCCGTATAAAAAAAAACTACTGAATTACACTAAATTCTTTCGTTTAACCACTCAGTACGACTTATAATGAACCTCATGTAAAATTATCAAGTATTTCAGATCGGCCAAAACTATTTTGTCTACTTTAAATCAAAAATGAAAACTAAAAAAGCTCGAAAATGTCGAATGCCTTTAAATGCTCAAAAATGATCTTGAAAATTGTACTACGTCTAGAAAAGATCAGTTTAAGAATTTTATGAAAAAATCAGGCCTCTACGATTAATTTTTTTATCATATTACAACAAAAAAATAAATTAGAAAATATTGAAACTGTTATTTTCGAAAACTTTTCAATTTTTCTTACGTTTTTCCCAAGTTTTTTCTAGTTATTCATAAAACTTCAAAGGAAATTAAAAACCGACTACCCGTGCATCGTCTTAACAAAAATTTTTTTCTGAAATATAGCTATACCCAAATTTCGAAGCAAGATATCTGTTAGAAAAAGAAAATCGAAAACATCGAAAATAATACAATTTTTACTGTCATACATTTGTTCGTTTTTCCGTTTTTATACATTTTTTCCGGGTTTTCCAAATTATTAAATGAAAAATACTTGAATAATTGAAAAAGGATCTACCTGATTACACGATTTGGATTCAAAACGCTACTAAATAGTTCTCATGTGATTTTTTAACTGCGGAAAGATGTCTGGTAGAAAAGTTGTAACAGATAGAAAAAAAATCACGCACACATCATAGTACAACCCCTACAGTTCTGCATTCCTTCCTCCACTCAGAATCTAAAATATATACTCGTATTCAAAGAAATAATATGGTTTCAATAGGTAGTTAACACACACGTTTTAATTAAATATTTGTATTACTGTATTTTTATATTACTAACCATCATTCAGTATATTTTATTTTATTTTTTTAAATTTTATTTTCAACAATACGGGCTGAGCCCAATTACAGAATTAACAATAACATAATATAAAGTATGAAAACAACAAAAAACCTGTATAATCGTGTATAATATATGATACGTTTATCGGATATACGTGTACATAGTTATTATGTAATATAAAAATTCGAATTTATAACGAATAATAAACTTACGAAAAAATATCGATTGACGACTACCCGTGCGGAATATCCCACTATTTTCAATATCAATAATAATACTAATAATACATTATTTGTTTTTTAACTAATATCATTTGACTAACAGCTGTATACATGACGAATACAAAATGTAAGGCAATATTTTTTTTTCAAACTGTAAAGAGACTGTTGTGTGGTAACATATTATTGCTACGACATTTTGACATGGATTCCTTAAAATGTATTACATAACGCATAAATTGTATTTGCAACAAGTGTCGACCAGTGGTAAATATTCGAATGGTCTCGTGAAAATAACTTAAGAATTTTGTTTATTATAATTTATTTATTTTTTTTTATTTTTTTTTTTTTTACTAGATTTTAATATACCATGAGGCAAGTTTAAATATTGAAAAAATGTAGACATTATATTCATACACTATATACTTATCCATCAAATATAAAATGTATAATAAATTCGATGAGTAAAAGTAGATTGGTAAACAATATTTAATAGATTCGTGAGATGGTGCCGAAACGCAGAGTCAATTTGAAGTTTTTAAAATGCTTGCGTTTGGTTTTTAGGCACCTAGGCGTACAAGGTATTCTTGGATAATTGCCGATGATAAGTATAATTTCTATAGAGCGGTTTTTTTTTTAGAAGAACTTGGCGGATTTTTTCGGTTACGTGTATGTGTTCACGGTTCTACCCGTAGTTTATCAGAAGTTAAGTAGCAGTGGTTACTGGTTAGCTATAATTGTATCTATTATACCGGTCAGTCAAATATTTTTTTTTGTTTATCAACTTTTTCATCGGGATTTTGTTTTGATTGTTTTCATTATTTAAAGAAAGTTTTTTACGATTTATAATAACAAGTATATAAAAGAGAAATAAGTTCTCAATGATCAGAAATGTTAAAGTTACGTTAGGCGTTTGGTTACAATGATTGGCTATAATGACTAATTTTAACTAGTTCCTTGAATATCATTATAAACGGTTTCTACTGTATTTCCATTTATTCGCCCATTTTAGATTCTGAGGGGAGCGTGGAAGCTTATGGTTTTACAAAGATGTTGATTAAAATTTTTTTTTTTACCTGTAACATCTTTTCTACCAGAAGACTTGCTTGGATTTTTAAGTTTAGCATTTTTTCTCAAAGAAAGTCGGTGTTGGAAGGTACTATAAGGAGGTCATTTTTTTGATTTTCTCAGAAGTTTTCTCATTAAATTTAAAAATCTGAAAAACAGAGGAAAAACGTATGAAAACTGCAAAAATCGGTACAACATTAACAAAAATTATTAGAGAAAATATACAAAGCTTATTAACTATTTTACTATAAAATGACATACATATTGTTGACAAAGTATCAATATCAACTGAACTTCGTTCAGAATCGTTTTTTCATAAGCAATGGTTAATTGCTGCTTGTAGGTATACATAAAATTATCTATAGCAGTGGATGTACCCGTTTCAATTATCCTAGGACGTCGTTTTTTAAATCTAGTTTTTTTTTTTTTTACGAATTTATGGATGAAATTTTCTGTACAATTATTTTCTTATTACGCCATTATCTTGTAAATTCGTTTTATGTTTGAATAAACAAATCTTTAGTTTTTTCGTTTTTAAAACATATTATACAATCGTTATATTTTCATGATTTAACAGTATCCAATGGTATATCATCGTTGAGACTTGAGACTAAAACAAATTGCATCGTATCATTTTCAAAATACATTAAGATGAAAATTCATATTTAATGTAAGACTGTTCTGTAGAATCGGTTTTTGAATGCGATAATTATCGGGTGTTTAAGTGTAAAATAATTATTGTGCACCGAGTTGAGTAAAGCGATACGAATATCCAACATCTGGTCTTTATATTTAATGAAATATAAATAATAGGTAATGATCTAATTGTTATTTTTTTTAATTGTTTTTTACAATTATTCTTATTGACCGTTATTTTTTAAATTAATATTAGATCATGCTGTTTTATTTTACTACGTAAGCTGCCTTTATTGTTTTAGATTCTGAGCAAAGCGAAATCAGGTTATCTGATTGGCGTGGTACTTAAGAGAGATCAATTTTGATTTTCTCAGTAGTTTTGATAATAAATTGGAAAACCGGGAATATTTACAAAATTTATTATCTTCAAATCGTTACGGCCTTTCAAATTATATATAACCGAACTTCACTCAGAATCGTGTTTTGTTAACAATAGTTAATTGCTGTGTACTGCAAATATATATTCAATTCACTCACTACCTTCCCAACTTCTCACTTACAACAGGAGCTCACACAACGTGTGAAGTATGTTCGTTTGCTTTTTGTAATGGTATTAAAACAATTTTTAACATTTCATCTAATATACTCGTATTATAAATCAAGAATTTTAATTTAGTAGAAATAAATATTCAAATTTAAAAACTATATATTAACAGCATTTTCAGTAATTTAAAAACTTTCTCGTTCAGATTTGGATTTAAAATCGATTGTACATATAACATTTGATTTAAACTCTTGAGTATTTTGTTATATTGTTATTTTATTTATTATTCATATTATTTGTATGCCGAACAGGCAACAGGAAAATAATAATTTAACTGTTTTATCAGGCATGGTTGTTTAGTTAACTTAGAGCTAACTAACCAGAGTGAATCCAAGTTTCTAACATATTCTACTGGTTAACGATAAGCAATGTCTTCATTTTAGATTCAGATTTTTGGTTTTAAAGTGTTTTAAATTTTGAGTGGAACGGTGGATCTATTGGTTTTACTATGATCCATGTTTGTTTTTTTAGATTCGGTAAGTAGCTATTATTTTAGATTCTGAGCGAAGTGAGAAATGTATTTGTGTTACAATAATGTTTATTTTTAATACTATGTACAAAATTTCTATCGGAAATCTTGCTCCAATTTCCAAGTGTAGCACTTTTTCTGAAATTAAATTTTATCTAGTTGGTACTATAGGAGGTCACTTATTAATTTTCAATAGATAATAATGATTTCTTAATGATTGGGAAACACCGGGAAAATTACGTAGAAAGAACGGCTAAATTTATGAAAATAATGCTTTTATTATTTTAAAATATTGAGCCATTTTTGAGCTATTTATAGATATTTTAATTTTGCGAATTTTTTACGCACATTTTTTTTGGTAGGTATAAAATTATTTGACCAATCTGAATTACTTGAAAATTGATTTGTAGGTTCATTATAAATTGTATATAAATAACTTAGTGGTAAAAGAAAAACATAAGTTTAATGTAATATTTTTTTTATGGTTGTTTCAAGATGAAATTTTAAAGAAAACCGTTAAAGCACGGCATTTTAAAACAAGTTTTACCAAACATCGTTCAGCCATAGATTTATCGTTGGGTACAGCGTACAGATAAAAATTAAATAACTCGTGTTCTATATACCTTTTCAAATTTCCATATATTTTGTTTTCTCTTTAAATTATGATTAATCCATAAAACGTATAACATAATTCCAGGAAAACACTAATACAGTATACCTAGCCCTTATAATTGCAGGACAACTTTTAATCACACGCACTTTACTTTACTGTGGAGATTTATTTTAAATAAGTAGAATATATTTTGTTTAGTTTAATAAATAATAATAATATTTTGGACGACACTATCAAGTAGAGAATATACTTATTTTAAGTAAGCATTATTCAGAAATTTCAAAGCCTTATTACGAAGAGCCGTATAGAGCCGTTTAATTGTTTATTTCCATTTTCCTCAAGCGATTTAAGATTATCTACAGGCATTCGCGAACGATTATTGTGACATTATTCGCTTTCAACAGTAAGTTGTCGTTTTGTTTATGTGCAGTAACGATAATATGAGACGGAACAACAAGATAATTTTACGGTTACATTTAACGAGTTTCTTTTTAGAAAACGTGATGACAACTTTGACATGTTTAATAATAATAAGTAGCATTAAAGTGTACCTAATATTACGTTTGTACATTTATTTTAAAACAGTGAAATATGAATAATTACGATGACAAACGATTTTGTTTTAAAACGTTTCGTTGGCCTTAAATATTTTGATATTTTGATACAGATTATAAAAAATATTATTACTTATATTATAATATTGATTTATCAGTAGATTATATTATTGGTACTTACCACCTATTCGCCATATAGTATTTTCAATGTATTTAATTTCAAACGATGGCCTTTTGAGCATACTTGCGGCATTGAATTAGCAAGAGTTAACGGCTTTTCCAATTATGCGGCAATACGAAATTAATTTATCGTCCCTAAGTTTTTGGCTGTTTAACTGCATGATGATTTATCATCATTAGCTATTTAATAATAAAATGTGTAAAACCTTAAATTTAACGTTGTCGTCCCCGTATAATATTATTTATCGGGCGTTAAAATAATGGTTAGAACCTATATATATATACCTACATACACATTCATAATTCACTTTCTTCCAAGTAAAAAAAATAATTTTTATACTGAAAAGATTGTATTGAATCAAAAAGTTTTAATTTTCTTTGTTATCCGTCACGTGTAATAAAAACAATATATTACGAATAAAATGTTGGTAGGTATACGGATAAATACAGCCCCGATTTAACTTTATCGTGAATTATAAATTATACAAATTAATATTGAAATATAAATCAAATCGAATAGAAAAAATAAATTAAATTTCAAAAGTTGCGCTATAAATAATTATATAATCACAATTTATTAACCGACTTATGATTAGTTAATAAGCATTCACGGATAAATATAATATATTATGTATATGTAATTATGACAGGAACACACGTTGATTAAAAAACGCGTATATAAAATACTCAGTAATGCTGTCCAGTGCTCGTATTAGATATAACTAAACAATTATCTAGAGAAAGATAGAAGATGAATAATTATAATTTATCTAGATAAAGATAAAAGAGAAAAAACATTTGTATGCTTAAAGCTGATAGGGCAAATGTATTGATTTTCTAGGCTCAGTTAAGCCAAATTGTGTACAAATTTATAAAAGTTAATTTAATCTTCTTACGTGCTAACTCGTTAAGTTAAACTGTTTAAATTAAAGTTAATTAAATTTAACCTAGTGTTATATATTTGTAAACTTTTTTTTTTGAGGTAGGTATAGTATATTTGAATTTAGTTTGATAACTGTAGAGAACTATTGAAGTTAATATAATAATAAAATTGATAAATCATAGAAGAATAAACAGCCAAAGTTAAATGCATGAAATAAACTTAACAGCATGTATAGGTAACTATTATTTATTAATTTTATTATATCTATCTATTTTACTATGTATAATTAATGATACCACTATCTTATGAATAAATATAAAACATTATCGTTTGAATAGTAATTTTAGTTTTTCAATATTTTTCAAAAAAAAAAAATGAAAAAGTATCTAGATAAATTTACTTAAAAAGTAAAATATTTATCTAAATAATTACGAACACTGGTGTTTCTAGATTTCATATACAAACTGAAAAATCTATGTAACTAAAATAAAATAAAAACATTTTTTTTTTTTAAATAGACTCTTATATCTATAGGTTATTATGCATTTCGGACTAGATATCTAATGAATATTATTAATTATTGTGAAATTGACAGTATTTATCGGATGATCAATTGTATTTCGCATGCCTATATTAATTAAGTATTAATTATTATATATAGTAATAATTAAAAAATTAACAATAAATTCCTGAATAAAGTTCAATTTGTTCAATTTACGAATAAAATAATACAATTATTTGTACATATTTTTTCTTGAGACGTTCTCGAATCAATCGAAAAGCGTCTTATTAAATAAAAAAAACTATTCGAAAGTTGATAAACTGTTAATTGGTTTTCATCAAATTTTGTATCGATTTGAGAATACCCCCTCCCCTCTTTCCCAAATAATTATTCTAACGCAATGTAATAACAATTATGAAATTATAAGTCGATTTTTTAACAAATTTATTAATCATACACAACAAGTTTAAAGGTTTAAACTAATGTTATTATTTTATAATTCAAAATTAGGAAAGTTTAAAATGTATATTATTGATGTTATATTATCTTGTATACCTGGGCAAAATTTATACCTTGTATGCAATGATTAGTATTTATACCAAGTTATAATCATCGTCTATAACTATTAACTATAATATATGTTCTACAGTAATCAGTTTTTACTACTTGTTTATTACTTTTTTTTTATTATATATTATAAATTATCATAATAAGAAAATTGCATATTGTGTTTTACAACATATGTTGAAAAATAGTCATTAAACTGTCTGCGCGTAATGTAATATAATATAATATAATGCTTACGTTTGTTAATATTAAAAAAATATTATATTTAACAAATGTTTAAAACTGTTCTCAAAAAGGAAAATATAAATATTGTGTTCGATTTTTCTCCTGATTTGGGGGGAGGGGACATTAACTGCAATAATTGAACAACACCATTGTATTGATTTTTACACTTTCAACTTTATTTTGTTTTTTAATTTATTTTCCGATTTAATGCTAACTGGACAACGCAATACATGGCCTATAAAAATTGGCAATAACAATTAATATAAACTGTAAAGCTTATACGACGTACACTATTATAGAGAGAAGAAGACAGGGTAGTTCTGTATGACGGGTAAAATTGTATGGTGAGGTTATATCAACAATACATTTTTAAAATTAATTAAATTACAATTTTCTTCCATTCAATCAAATTAAATTCGTTTTCGCGCAAATTTTTGTTCAAATACATATTATACCGTATGTTGCATTTTCACATAATAAATTGGATTGTTCCATCCACGGGGCAAAATCGTTTACTAGAATACTAAAAAAAAAAAACACAAAATTCACATAGATTAAATCGGAATTTATAATAATCCTTTTGACATAATATCATTGACTAGTTTTGTGATTGAAACGTTCATTCTGATTAAAGTTATATCAATGAGTTTATATTTTATACAAAATTGCAATAAGTAACATGGCATTGCTTTGATTTCCCTTTCCTATGGTAACACTCGCGCAAAACAATAAATTAATTGGATAAATTCACACGTAAAAATCATTTATTAGAGAATACTGTGTACTAAATATTATTCATAAACGCGTATTCCCGTATTTTATATTTTATTATATGGACTTATAGTATTACGTAGTATTTACCGAATGCCTGTTTGTATAAATGAATTATGGTAATATATTCATTTTTGTATTATTTTCATATAATCACTGGGTCAAGACACGACGTAAACGTTACGTGTGTTTTTTTAAAAAAAAAAAAAAAAAACATTCATTAGAAACCTCTGCATTCACCGAGCATAAAAAAAAAATTATAAATACTTATATTTTCTAGGAATAATTCGTATTTTATCTTATTTTTAAACACAAATGTAATAAATTTAGTTTCCCGATAAGGGTTTATTAAAGAAATAAAGGCGTTCGTTGTAATATTATTGTTGTTTATGGGCGGCATCACAGTTTTTATCATTTTGTCGTTCATTATGTAAATACGCTATAAGTGAATTCAATAATTTGTTTTCATACTTGGATTTTTACAATTATATTAAATTATTGAAACTCACTGTTTTTGGTGGATATAGTTAATACACCGAGAGCGAAAATAAGCCATTGCAATCAAAAAACGATTTTGAGAGGAGTTTGGTAGATTGTAGTACCTGCGTATTGGTAATTGGTAGCGTTTTTCTCCTTGTAGCCAACATAACCCGGAAATGAACAAAAGTAAAACCGGTATAACGTCATTTTGTTGACAGATTTTTTAATTTGTAGAAAAATATTTTTACTCGTATTCAGTCGTATATCACCAGGTAAATATATTCGTATCTATTAATCAACGGCGTAGACAATTTCGGAGCAAAAACGAACATTTAAGTAAAACTAATAAAGCGTTTTTGCTACAAAAATTATTAGTTTGGGCATGTATCGTTTTTAAATAATGTTATGAATCAATCAATATTTTCCAAATCTATTTATCGATATCTGTTTTTTATGTTATTGACAATATTAGAAATGCAATTTAAGGATATCATAGAATATCAATTAAAATACCAATCAATTTGTACGCCCATTATTGATTTTTTTTTAAAAAACTATTTTTAATTTTCTACGCTGAATAAAAAAAATTTACACGTATATGATTTTCCTTCCTTGGGTTTCATAATTAGTTATTAAATGAAATATAACATTCCTTATAGGTTCATTATTGCTATGATACAGGATACGCTGTGTATTTGGCCGAGATAAATAATCAAGTACAGGTATCTTATTCAGGTATTTAGTTCATACAGTGGCGTTACACGTATGCAGATCATAGCAGTGTATAAAAGCTAAAATAACTCCTAATTATTAAAAAAAATCTATTACATAAAAAAAAAAAAACAAACGAGGAACTACACAAAAGACTTGTCGATATTTATGATCGTATAACTATGTTGTTAGCCTATAATTATTGAATAGTAAGTACCTACTTTATAATATTATACTCGTTATTCTTATATCGTAATATCGATAAAATATATTATGTTTATTAGCCATTTAAATAAAATACGTGATATGAAAAAAAAAATAAATTACATTAATAGTTGCATAATAAGTTATTAAAAAAAAAAAAAAAAAAAAAAAAAAAAAAATAAAAATAAAAAAATTGTAAAATGATTCATATAATAACGTACCTACCTAATTATATATAACGTTAATAATATTTGTGTTATTAACATCTTAAAAGACGTTTTAAATGTCAGTTTAACTGACACTTCGTCGTTGTGCCGGATGTATCCGAATTGGTTCCCATTTGAAAAACGTACATTATGAAGGTGAACCAAATTGGTTCTCATTTAATACAATAACCGCAGTGAATGTAGGTATTATGTAGTACATTTTTAAACTTTTAATTAACTTTTATCATAATACGGCGGGTATTTTACGGTCATCAAGGTAGTAAGATATCGTTACATCGGTGTATTGCCAAAATTACCGCAATCGATTAAGATAAAGGCAATCCATCTGGATATATGTATCTATATGGCTATATGTACCGAATATCAGAAATGGTTCAATTATAAAGTCTAAGTAGTTCTGAGTTGACACTCCTAAGAATAAGGTGGGAAATGTGCGTATTTGACTATATGCGAACAGTGGGAACCGATTCGGATACAACCGTTGCGCCTGAACCCGGTGGAAATGCAATTTAATCGACACGGATCGTTCATAAATTGTACGATCGAATGGCTGGGGTAGTCTAGGCTGGGTTAGGTTATCTGTTGGCAATTCGAAAAAAATATTAACAATATTATTATTATGTTCTATCTTCTGTTAACGTCCTCGTTGAAAATGTATTAATGCACACCTTATAATTGTATAGAAACATCGCATTATTTATTCGAGTTAATTAAACGTCATGCACTGATATGATTATTATGTTTATGTGCATGATAATAATACGATAAATACTTGCTAATACTAATTGTAAATTATGGTTTACGCCGTCAGCTAGCCGATTGTTAGGTATTTGTTTGCACCTCTATTATAACATTCTACGGGTAAAGACACAATAATAATATTACCGGAACGCTTTCGGCGTAGCCGTTTATTCACTAAGATAATATTCACAGCGGTGACGTATTTTTCGGAAAAATTTGAATTTTCTTAGGGATGTTTTTTTTTATAATAACTCGGAAAAAACCAGAAACAACGTATCATAGGTAAACAGTAAAACATATTTATTTATTTGAATTTTTTTAATTTTTGTAAACTACGTTTTCTGCCAGAAATATTGCTCGGATAGAGAAACGACAAAAGAACTTTTTAGTTGCACTTTTAATGTGGTTGGCTAACAAGAAAGTAGTATTTTTGATTTTTCCCGTTGTTTTTATTTTTTTAAACCGAGCAAAATGAAAGGAAATGTAAGAAGAGTGGGAAAATGTATTAAAATAATGATTATTTTATTTTCAATTTTGTTTTTTTGCTGTAATTCAGTTAAAATTATTCGTTAAGACTTGAAATTTTGACAGAAAATTGATTTTTACTTTTTATAACGCGGTAAAATGTTCAAAACATTTGCAAACATGTTTGCCTTTTCTTTTTAAAATATCTGAGCCATTTTTGAGCTATTTATAAATATTTTAATTTTGCGAGCTTTTTACGTAATTTTTATTTAGTAGGTATTATGTAGATACAGTTATAAGATTTATCATAAACAAAAATACTTGAAAATTAAACAGTAGGTTCGTTATAAGACGTAGTATTTTTTTTTTTTTTTTTTTATAATTTGAGAAACGGAAATTTACGTTTCTTATAATTAAGGACTCTTCCCACTTTCCAATGTCTTGTTCCTATACTTAAATAAGAACTGTTCCCAAGCTTCGTTCCTATGAAAGGAACCTTCCCAATACTACTCTTAATAATCAAGAGACAATAAGAAATCAAGACATTAGGAAACAATAAATAGTTAAAATCGTATTTTAAATAGTGTTTTAATAAATCGATAAACGCGCTGATTCGTAAATCATTACCATTTCAGTTTACCGGTTTTAGCATATTATACTAAACCGCTAGATGGCGATAGAATTATCAAATACGTAGCTATAATTTTAATTAAACATTTTGTGTAAAAAAATTACAATAGAGAGTTAATATAACATAATTATTTTATTTGAATCAATATTAAAAACAAAAAGGTTTGTTAATCATGTTTTGAAATGATTTATTCGATTTTCGTCTAAACGTGATTTCAAAAGCTGATAAAAATGATTCTATTTCACTCATTTTTTCCTTCCGGCTAGTTAAAATGTATTATTGTAAACTATGTGTTTAATTTTTGATAATTTTTCCCATAGCAATTTTATCCATATTAAACGAAATACAAATTAAATAACCTCGACAAATTTAAATGGCTATAAATATCTCAAAAATTGCCAAAATGTTTTGAAAATTTTATCACAACTACAGAGAACTAATATAAATTTTAGAGGTCTTTAGTATTTTTTTAAACTAAATTGTAACAAAAAAAAAAACAGAATTGAAAATAATAAAAACAGTTATGACAAAAATATTTCCGTTTTTTCGACGTTTGACATTTTCTAGGTTTTTTTAGTTTTTATTTGGCTTTATATGGATACAATTATTTGGCAAAACAGAAATGCTTGAACATTTAACACGAGGTTCATTCGAAACTCTACTTAGCGATTAAAGTAAAAATATTTTAGCGTAATTTATTCGTTTTTTTTTTTTTTATAAGCGTTTTAATTTTAAATATTGACGAAATTCGTAAAAAAAAAAGACGTCAATAACTTAACTTCGCTCAGAATCGTATTTCGTTAGCAACGATTTATCGTTTCATTTGTATATAAATTAAATAAGTTTATGTACTGTATCTTCTTAACTTCCTATCTATTCGTAAAACTTTTGCACGTCCATCAGCAGTATCAGATTTTTTTATTTTAAATCGTTTATATACAAAAGAACAAAATAATAATTCTACCTACCTACTATATAATCTCCACCTGTAAAACCAATATTTACCTCTCAGGGTTTTTGTTTTTGCAAACAATATTTATGGAGGCTCATTACGATAACGTGTTCGTTTTCATTTGGCCGATAAGCAGTTTTCATTGAATTTCATTGAGCGTAAAAGTTTTCTGTTTTTAAGAAAACACTCATATGTGTTTATAAGCATTATTGATGTGGGTGAAAATATCGAAATGAAAATCAATTATCACCGAAGTTTAGAAGGTGCATTTTTAGTACATTGAATTGTCGAGTGCGAATGTTATTATATAGATGAGTCCTGTGCTATTTTCGATTCAACTGGAAAAAATAGGTGTATTTTAAGTGTCAGAAAACATTACGGTATTTGTGTAACAATCATTTGTTTGTTTGTTTGTTTTTTTTTTTTAAATTACCGCCAAAGTTTTTGTTTGGTATTATTATTGCGATGTGGTTTTCGCACTATACACGATAAGTACATATTATTTTAGCCATACCATGTAAACTCTAAACGCTATCATAGTGAATAGCCGATTTTCGTTCATCATCGTTACGCATATTATACCTGCATTACATACCTACGGTTCACCAAAAGTTAAATTTATGGCTAGAGTTTCCGGCAAGCAGCGTCAATAGATTAAAAGGCGATATTTTTCGTTTTTGAATCGCGTCGGCCTTTTTTTTTTCTTTTTTTTTTTTTATTCGCGCGTTAATATTATCATTATAAAAGGGAAAATTCAAATTATAATCCTTGGCCCATATCGTCGACGTTATTATATTTTTTTCTCCCGACACGATTGTGACTACTCGAATATCGGGCGATATATCACATTGTATAGGGTTTAGGAAAAGTTAATTTTGTTTGTTTGACGATAATATGACACTGCCACCGAAATGCGGACGGACGGACGTTATCTACCCTTATTATCTACGCGACGTGGTTTATTGTTATTTATACTCTTACGCGCAATTCCGGTTGCCGGTTATAAAACAGCCGAGGGAGACTCTTAATTGATATTATAATAATAAACGTATAATAGGTACGTACATTTTTATGACCCTTTTTTTTTTTTTCATTTAAGAGCTAGGGTGCCGCGGGGACATTTCCCCGACGATTACCATCCGTTCGTAAAATCGAAATTATTCGAATAACGCCGCGGACGGATTCTAAAATATAATAATATACGAGTCATACGCGATGTAAATATTAATTATAATATTATATCGAGGAATGCGAGAATTCCGATAAATCATACGCGAATTACGCAGTTTCACGACGTAGAACGTACCTACTGCGTTTGTCTACGTGCGGACGAGCGTCTCGTGTACACAATAAATATTATATTGTGGGTGCTCATTATAATAAACACAATGAGTTCCAGGGCTTAACAATTCTTTACAATCGATCACTGGTAAACAGCGGCGTTACCATCAATTTTTTCCGAGAGTATACTATAGTAACGTTCCGCGGAGTATTTTGTGTCTTTCGTATGTTTTTCGAGGGTACCCGTAAATGACTGCTTATAGGGAAATAGAAATAAATTATACGAAAATCAAATTGAAATCGCCAAATTAAAACACGCTGAATTTAAAAAAAAATATTGTAAACCGTAAGAAAATATTCCGAAGTTTTTAGGTAAAATTATTGAAATAAAATAAAATAGTTTTAATTGTAGCATTATGGATTTTGTGTATGTTCACGACGAATTTACATGTTTTTTTTTTTTCTGAGACGTATATTTATTGCAGTACTATGTCACCCATGATTTCTCAACAAAACGTTCGGAGTTTGCGGAGTATTATGTAGTAATCCCCCTACGTGAACACCACTGCCGCTGCAAAACCCAGGGGCGGATCCAGGAAGAGATAACGGGAGGGTCGATTTTGAAAATTCATATAAGTCACGCATTTATCACGGGGTTAATGATGAATAAGAGCTATATTGGAAAGTGAACGGGAGGGGGCGATCGCTCCTATCACTCCCTCCCCCGCTCTTTGGAAATGCAACTCGATTGATTGCGATTTTACGATATCTAACTATCGTACGCGCGGAAAAAACGCATTTTTCCCGATAAACTCACGCGCCATGGTTTATCAATACGAAAATATTGCGACGCACGCCTAAAAAAATATATCGTCGAATTTTAACAAATGGTTCATAATCGTGAACGAAATATTATACAACATACAAAACAAACAGTGTTGTTAATTTTAGAACTACGCACGAGGAAAAAAAAAAAGGTTTAACCTAACCGTTGTTTGTTTAAAGTAACATTAAATAGGCGTCATGCTATCGTATTCGCGGTTATGGAAACGCGAATGGATGTCGACGATTTTCGACGAACGAAAACATTTATCTTTTTGAACAATTTTAGAGTTAAAACAAGTGGTTATATATATATAAAAAAATAATATGTATCCAGCGAACAATTTTTTTTCAGAGGTCACGAATATAAGTACAGAGATTTTTTAAAAGAAAGAAAAACAAATTATTCTTGTATTGGCGGTATCGAACTACATTATGTTATCACGGAAAAATTGTCGTCTTTATAGATTGTCGGTGAAATCACTTTGAACTCTGAGGGTTATTTTTTCTTTTTGCGCGCACGTGTTTTTATAAACAAATTTCACGAGTACACGGTAAATACTCGCGACAATGCCCGTTAATAGTCTACTTTATAGTTAATTTGCAAATTTTTGACTCGATAAAATATCGTATTTTAATATTATTTATTTTCCGTTGAATTTTCTTATACGCAACCCCTTAAATAACTATAACTCGCAGGTACGGTGTCATAAACAAACATAATTTCTTATATCGCCGTTTTTGTCTGTAAAATATTCATTAATACATGTTTTGAAATAATTTTATTAAACTCTGCTTATACTAAAAAGATTATTACTTTTGTTTTTATAGATGGGGCAATTAAAAACGGTAAGTAACCGTTAATATCGAAATAAATAATACGATTTATTGTGTTTAGCTCTTCTTGTTCGGATAAATAAGAATAATATGGTGAACTAAATGGTATTCAGTGGCGTGTTTACATTTAATTTAATAGTTTTAGACTGTTATCGAAACATTAACGCGAAAACATATACTATTCGTATGTTCAGTGTTCTATAGGCAATTTATTTACATTCATACGACATGAGTTGCATTGGTTATATTTCAAGGCTAATAGTTTAAAGCCGTGTAAACCGTTATTAACACATTTATTATTGAACTATGCACAACAGTATATTTTAAGCGTTAACATATTTAAACCGTTATAGCTTTTTAGAAAACAATAGTCTATTGAATTGTATTCGTATATAAATGTTTTCTAAAAATCTCTGCTATAAAAATTTTATAGTACAATTTGAATTTAAGTTCCATATCCTAAAAAAAAAAAAAAAAGTGGCAGATCATCGTGGGACACTGTACAATAAATTATCGAACACGAAAACAAACAATATATTTACTGGGTATTTTATGATGTTCGTTCAAACTACAAAAGAATCGGGCATCCAAAAAAATAATATTATAATATTTATATTTAGAGTTTGTAAAATTTCATTAATTATATTTTTTGAAATTTTTCAAAAACTTTCGACAAATATTTCATTTTGATGAAAACCAAAATAAAATATATTTATTTTTAAATTTAAAATTCAAATAGTAACCATGATAAATTTCTATAATTAAGGCATGAACTGCCTTTTACAATAATTTTTAACAACAAATTGAAATCGTCTGCAATTAACAAAATAGTTCAATCGGATTTAATTTTTGACACTATAGATAATATTTTTATTTCGGCACAAGGCCAGTTCGTATGAAAATGTACTTATTTATTTATGTAAATTTTAAAATTCATCCAATACTACAAAATCATAAATTTATAGTTAATAAAATATCATAGTTAAAAAACAGTTATAGAAAAAAAATGTATTTTTCAAGCGGCGTGGAAACTTCAAGTGAAACATTCCGTACTCATAACTTTACTTATATTTTACTGACCCCAAATAGTTGGGACGAAGGCGAAGGAGAATAAGATAAACCAATTTATAATATATGTACACGGGAATGTAGGAAAGTATTTAAAATTGTACTTCAACACGGACGATAATTAATATCGGGGACAGTTATGCAAAAAAAGAAAACTAACATAATATTATTATAATAATATGTCGTGCTATTGAGTCGGTGATGAAACGGCGTGCTAATGACATTGCGACAAATATTTCTGATTTCGTGTTCGTTATACCATATTGCGCTCGCGTGCCAGACAACTGGACGTGTATTCAAACAGTTATGCTGTAACCTGGATACAGAGCGATTCAGTATGCGGTTCGTCAAACACAATAATTTTTGTTGCATTCAATATTTTCAGGCGTTTTATTTATTTATGCACAATATTGCTCCAACACTGCATTGCAATATTTGAAACATAAAGTTCGATTTTTTCAGAGGTTGGTCACCTAAACGAAAAGTATACGAATTCTAATACGGTTAAAACGTAACAAATCCAAACATATCGATTTTTTTTTTTTTTACTTTTTATTTTAAGGCGAACTTTTAACAGCACGCGACGATATAATATCGTACAACGATAATTGCAACTAAAAAAAGGAAAAAACAAAAAAAAAAAAACGATTACGCCAAAACACCGTCAAACCGTAGTATATTATACGATACGAGTTTGGTATTATGTACGGTGAATCATCCAATGCACAATGATGTCTTATTTGGTCTTAGTCCGCATAAAATACAATGCAATTGGTTGAGTAATTGTTATTTATTTCGTTAAAAAAAAAAAAAAAAAAAAAACAAATGTTATATTGAAAGTTAATGTTTTTACCGATAAGTTATCGGGCCGATACCGACAAACCCGAAATCGCGTTGCGCGGCGATTCGTCCTGTATATCGCAATGACGGTGGCCGCGACGTGCCGCTGGCGCAACAATAAATTAGCGTTCTCGTCGCGGATCCGTCGTCGTCGTCGTCGTCGCGGGTCCGCGCGGGCGTTCGACCTCCGCCGCCGCGGACCTGTAGTAGTCGACGTTGTCGTGGAAACGCACGTCGACGGCCGGTCGCGGCAACGGTCGGACGGACCACATAAACGTCTGGGTGGCGGGACCGAGCCTCGCCGGGTACTTGTGTCGGTCGTGCGCGACCGTTTGCCCGTCGTGCGACGGGCGGTGCTGGTCGTCGCGGGTCGGCGGCGATTCGGTGCCGGCGGCGGCCCGTCTGGTTTCCGTTTCGCCGACCTCCGCGACGGGGGTCGCGGTCGTTCCGTCGACCTCCTCCGAGGGTCCGGCGGCCGTCGGCGAAACGTCTTGCGAATGGTCCCCGTACTGCTGCTTATCCGGCGTCTCGTCCGGCTTCTGCACCGCCGTCACCCCGTCGCCGCTGTCCGGATTCCGCGCCGGCTTTCCGTATTGTTGCGCCGGTCCCCCGTCGTCGTCGTCGTCGTCGTCGCCGCCGTCGTCGGTGACCGCGTACTGGTTGGTCGGCCGGTCGGAATTCTCGAAATCGCCCAACGTCCATTTCCGGTCGGGATCCGCGAAAAACAACGCCGGCGGCGGGAACCGGACGCCCGTGAGGAAGTGCACGTTTTGCTCCGCATCGTCGCCGGCTGCGGCGAACGGCGGCACCGGGCCGCTGCTGTTTTTCGCCGCGTTCATTTGCCGATAGGACAGCGCTGCTGCCGGAACCGCAGCGATAATAACCCCGGCGACCGCTACAGCCGTCAGCAACCGCCGGAACGTCTGCGCGAAAAAATAAACACTTACATTATTAGGGCCGATACACCCCGAAAGTTAGTACGCATATTTTTCGGAAACCGATCAATATACGGGATCTATTCCGAACGGAATTGATTTTGAGATTTTGAAATATGATGGCGTGTTTACGGTAGTCGGTAAAGTATTAACGGAAACGTAAGCATCGGACGAGGCGATAGACGAGACGTGAGAACTTGTGGCACTCAATCGTCGTATAAACTTAAAAAAACAGATTATTACGCAATAATTGTCTTATTGAACAATTATTGTTTATTGTCTCGAGTCCGACATAATAACAATTGATGTTGTAAATTACATGTTGAATTTTTGCAAAGAACATTGGCGTATAATCTCGTCGGGAGTAGAGTAGGTTGCTACAACCTGCTCTACTCCTATGTGGACTTCGTTTCATTCGTCTCATCGGGCGAGCCGCCATTTGTTAAACTACAAACTCCGGTGTACACCGCTTATTTTTAATACGGCGCGACTAATAAAATTCAGCTTTCATCGAGTAAAACGCAATCGTGCACAGTGTACACTCAGAAACCCCATAACTAGTGTAGTATTGCACGGTAGAATACGCAAGTTTTGCGACATAAAGTTTCACTGATATTTATGTAATTGTGCGATATAAAACTACGCTACATACTTAATACAAAATATCATTAATTTATGCTAATGCGAAGTAAAATTCACCTTAATCAAATCGATCGAAGACCATACACGGAACGGAAAAAAATTATCGCTGTCTGTAGTGCATTAAAAAATCAAGCCAATCTTGTTTTTTTTCTAACCTGTTAAAACCTGTTATCAACCTATTATATCCGGTATTTTTTTCTCACAATCGTTTCAGGAATATTTTCGATTCGTGCGTACGTACGTTTGGATGTCAATTATTGACACCTAAACCATTATAATAATCGGTGGTTAAAGTGAGAAGAACTTCGAAGGGGGATTGCATTGACCGAAAATTGAGAGGCGTTCCCGAGAACTAACTAAATCTAACCAAACTTTCAGGAAACTTGTTATGGAGACAAAACTTCCAAAATATTTTTCTATCACATATAATTGTTTATGAACATGTTGTATTAATAGGTTTTTAAAATAAACTATACCCATCCCCCGCTCATATTATCCTACGGGTATGCCTGCTCAGTAAAAATAAAGTAAACCATCACAGTTCAGTATACGTAAAATCTAATAGGTATTAAAGAATTTATTTTGAATAAAACTATTTAGGGTTTTTAAAATTTCATTAAAAAAATGCCTCAACTAAAGTGTGCCCCGGGCTGTGAACACTCAAACTAAAAAGAGACTAATAATTTTACCTGATATAAGACGAAGAAATTCTGTACCCTCCACTTTAACCAATGATAATAGATGTATTTATTTTTTTGTAATATTTCAATATATCTGTCCTTTAGAATATTCTAGAATCTATTGCGATTTCAGTTTCGTACCAATAGCGTTTCAAAACTAAAAGAATAATTACCTACAGTGAAACCTGAATACAGACATGTGTCCGTGTAGACACGTTTTAGTGCTTTTAAGTGGTGTATTCGTGGGGGTTTAGGGAAATTATGGCGCCCTTGAACTTTTTTTCGTATTTAATACTTATATGGCTATTTGTTTATTTTTTAGTCGGAAAAATCAACATTTAAATATGCTGGTATCTATGTATAGTGCATATAGTTAATATATATTGAACGTATGCGTTTTCTTGTTTAAAACGAAGCTAACCCGAACCACTGCATTATGAAGGAAGTTAGATTAGTACCTAAAGAGTAAACAAAATAAACAGTTACTCTACCTATAGTTAGGTATTCGATTCAATGACTTGATAATTTTAGGGTACAGATAAAATTACTTACATAGTTATGTAAATTATCAATAGTTGGTATCTTTTTAATCAGGGCCAGTAATCGGTATACATTATACGATATGACACAATTTCTAAATTCAATATCTCCCTCCTCGGCGAAATCCCATATACGTTACAGGTGATTTTTATAGTCAATCTTATGTAATACACAGAGGCAAATGTAAATTTTGTATTCAAATTTATGATTTGTTTATATGTTCATATGTATATAAGTTACCTAATTATAGGTCTACCTATAATTATTTTTTCTGTTGACTTACATACATAATTACAATACACATATATTATACACCTACGTCTTATATTACACGCAATACTTGTCTATAATTTATTTTTTCAAATTTCAAAAAACCAATAGAATCGATCGATCGGCCGTATAGTATTTAGGACTCTAAAAAAATGTCGGGTGAAAAAAAAAAAATAAAACACAGATCTCCGTAAAATGTTCGTTTCACTGAGAATCTAAAATCGTCAAGCGGCGATCAAATAATAAAATTGAAGAGATCGGTAACGACTGACGGTTGTCTAAATTTTCTTCAATTTCGTAAATTTGATTTTTTTTTTTTTTTTTTAATTTCGACGACCACCATATTATAAGACTTTTCCACTAATCTATTGACCCATAACCGTTTTAGAGGAAAGGGTATAGATGTTTATTTTAAGGAAGACTATGACGTTTTAGACCGTAAAGCCAGACAAAACTATACGAATTGTGTTTGACGGATTTCATTTATGAAAGCGTATTACGATTCGTTATTAGGTTCTTCATTAGGATATGCCAGAAATAGGAATTTAATTTGTTTTTAACGGAAATCGTAAAAAAAATGTCATCGTATTTTTGAAAAATGTTCAAAAAATTACCTCAAGTATTTTCACACCCTTTTCACACCTTATGATGTGATAAAATCGATCAAAATTAAACATGCAATTACGACGTGTTGTATAAGGATTTCGGCAGTCTAAACCGGCTAAAATACACACCGTCACCGAATCCCTTAATGTTAATTATAACAGTAGTAATAATAATAAAATGTAATTCGTTATCGTGATGATAATATGTACTGCAATAAATACTTACGGTTCGTACAAAGACGGGTTGTGCGATCATATTCGTCGTCGTGATGTTGGCGCGCGCAGCAGGTATTATAATGCTCGTACGGTCAAATCGGTCACCTCCATCGACGCCGGGCACACTGAATTGATATTATTAGGTGGGTATGCGACGACAGTGGAACTCCCTAGTTTGTGAAATACAAAAATCATTACCCGCCGTCGTTAACGATCGCGTTTAATTACTGCCCTTTACGCCAAACGGCTACGACAAACACCAATGGTAATAATTAATTATACGCGTACGAGATATTCATTTTATTGGTTTTATATAGATAGGTTCCGGCCATTTTTTTTTTCTCCTTGTCGTGACGCCGCCTGTTAATCGACTGCGGGCGCTTTTTCTTTAACGACAATATTATTGTGGCCCGCGTGGCCCGCGTCAGCAGTATATATTTTAATAAATAATATAATACATAACAGCGATATAATACAGGGCGATTGCCTACACGAACGTTTCGCGTGAATTCGGATTTCGGCGATTTTTCAGACATTTTAGATTGCGAGTGAACCGAGCAATGTATTGGTTTTGCAATGACGTTTATTTTTTAACGACTTTGTAAACAACATTTCCATCAGAAATCTTGTTCCGATTTTTTAGCGCAGTACCTGTTCTGAAAGGCAATTTTATCTAAGCCTAACTCCATGAGTTATTTTTCTATTGTCCGAGTGGGGTTTTCGTAACAATTGGGAGAAAACCCGAGAAAAAACGTAGGAAATACGGGAAATTTTCAATTGTGATTTTTTTTGTTGCGATTCAGTAAAAAATATTTGTAAACACTTGAGATTTGGACGGAAAACGTATATTTGCGTTTTCTAAATGTAGCAACATTTTTAAAATATTTAGACCACTTTTGAGCTTTTTATAAACATTTAAATTTTGCGCAATTTTTTTCGGTAGGTACTCTTTCTAAATACAATTGTTTGACCAAACAAAAATGCTTGGAAACTTAATTGGAAGTCCATTATAAAGTGTAACCATTATTAGTCGTGTATCGTGATAAAAAGAAAAAAAAATTGAATACTATGTAGAATTTTTTTTATAATAATTTTAATATCAAATTTTGACGAAAATCGTAAATTGTACGGCATTAATTAAGCATTATCGTATCGGAATTATATGGCGAGCTGCTAAACAATTTAAAAATTTAAAAATTGGTAATATTATTACATTTTTATTGTAAAATTTTGGAAATATTGTAAATAAAATAGAGAATATTAAACAGTTCTATAACAATGATAATGATCTATAAAAAAAACTACAAAATCAAATTTATCCAAACTCTTCGTAGATAAATCGAGACTGTTCATTATAAAATAATCACTCTGTATACACGAACATTACGTGTTCGGTGCCCACATAAGTACGTATATTATAATCACATTATTAATTTCCACCGTTAACTACAATCTCCGATATAGAAACAACGGAACTTTGCGAACAATATGATTATAATATCGTTTGTGGCACCCAATAAACGTTTGGAAAAAACAATATTAGTAATCCGATAATGATACCTACTCGTGGTTAATGAAAGATATCTATAAACCGGCAATAGTTTCGTTTAAATATTGTTTTCGATCAAGTTTAGACGCTGGGAAAACTTCTTATTGTCCACGAAGCATTTTGATTTTAAAGAGATATTTTAGATTTTGAGCGCAGCGAGGGATTGGTTTACTATGTGTGATTTTTTTTTTTTTTTAATTTTTTCTGTCAGTTAAAATTTTTTTACCAAATATTATTGCTTCAGTTAAAAACGACACGAGTGTATTCCCGTAGTATTTCGAAACTTATTCATGCATCAAGGAGGTAATTATTTGATTCTCCGTGTAGTTTTCTAAATAATCGGTAAAAACCGTAAACAATAAACGTATGAAAACCAAAAAGTTTATGACATTAACGATTTCATTCGATTTCGATTTTTGTTGTAATTCGGTTAAACATAATCGTATTATATTAGCTTTTTCTAGACGTAGTAACATTAATTTTAAAACATTCTGACGATTTTTAAATTATTTATAGGCGCTTGACATTTTCGAAATTTTAAATTTTTATTTGGTATTATGTGGATAAAGTTGTTTGGCTGTTGGGAAATTATTCAAAATTTAATACGAGGTTCATTATAGATTATGGATAGTGGTAAACAAAGTTTAGTGTAATTTAGCAGCGTTTTTAATAAGTGTTTCAAGTTTAAATTTTTACGAAAATCGTAAAAATTACAAAATTTAAAACATGTATAAACTGAATTTTGACCTCAGAGTGATGTTTATTTAACACCGATTTATCATTACAGATATAAATTAAATAACTATGTATATCTTACCTTTTTAATTTCACTTCTTTACCAATGATACGCCCATCAGCAGTATCAACGTTATATTTTATATTTGATCGAACGATTCAAAATAGCTGTTTTTTTTTTTTTAAATATCTACCATATCCCACAGCTTACACTCGCCCGAAAATGTGTTCTTATGAAAGGACGCTAAAAGAACAGTGCCTCAGAGCGCTAAGAATGTAAAAACGTCTCTGGATGCATACTTAACATCCGACAGGTGTTTATATATATGCACATATTATGTATAATTTTAATTTAAAATTGGTTCGTCGAACTCACGGAATAAGGTTAAAACATTAACATCATGCAAAATAGAGGCGTTTACTAATTGAACACATAATATTACTCGTTTATCCGAAAACCGACAAATCGTTTGCATAAAATAATAATAATAATAATAATGTTTACTGAAAAACATAACCTGTTTATTTATGCTATACGTATTCGTGGGAATCTCGACTAAATAATATGTTGAGATGTTTCTTCTTCGTGGCCTCACCCCTCTCCAAGATTCTTGACCACCACTGACACTGACTTCCATTTTCCCCTGTACTGGACGGTTTCCCTCCAATTTCCCATCACACCTAGTATATTATAAGATTAAAATACAAAATAGTTTTACGTATAGGACAATCCGTGGTCGTAGAACACCTATCTACCTGCCTATCCATAATTTTTATTGCTCCGGAATTAGAAATCGATAAAAATTAAAATATAAAATATATTTTATGAGCGGGAAAAAATCCGGGATGAATACAAATTAGCCAAAATCGTGCAGTATAAGTATAATATGGTAAACGGTTATAATTATTTATAAGTTTATAGATTGAGTATTCATAAATTTTAAATTTTAATCGCAACTATCATCATTATTATTATACTATGTATATTTATTGGACTTAATACAAACATTTTTATGTGTTTTAAACAGGTAGTATTTTTTTTTTTTTAGATAGGCATATAAAAATCAATAAAAATTTGTTTTATTATTTTTGTTTGTTTTTTACGTTCTATAATAGTTCACTTATTGCACTAGTATCGCGGCTGGATATAAAATCTTTTTTTTCTATGAACAACTTTATGCTCACAGTTTAAAATTTGGGTTTTCGCTACCATAACTATATTCCTCCACGTGTTGTCTCTATTTTGAACTATTTTTCTCCTGCAATTTTAACCATCAGCCTTTTCAAGCATTATTATTTATTACTGTCGATAATAGTTGTTACGACAGTAAATTATATACACTTATTAATAGGTAATTAATCACTAGTTAATATTATTTTATAGAAATCAACAGTACTTAGTTGATAACATTATAATAATAATAATAGGTCGTAAATGTGTTGTCTATGATTATTGATTATAATCATCCGAATATCCGATATTTATTTTATCGATATTTATGTTTTATTTACAGGTGCGATTGATGTTTTTAAATAGTTTGTAAAAAAAAAAAAAAAAACGACGGAATTAATTTTTATACAATAATATGCTAGAAAAATGGTAGTTTTATGTTATAAAATGTCACATTTATTATTATTAATTTTCTTATAACATTTATTATAAAATTATTAAGGTCATCGATGTAATAAAATATTTGTTTTACGTTAATTATTCAAACTATTATGATAGAAGACTTCCCAGTTCCTAGTGAGAATATAATATTTATAGAATACTACTGTAATACGTATATTATTTTTTTTTACAAATCGCTACGTTTATGTAACGTGACGACGTTATAAACAATTATTTTGTAACTGTACGATTTTACATAACCGGGTGAGTACAATAAAAAATAAAAAGTGTCAATCAGACGTTCAGACATGGAAAAAAATACACAGATATTATTATTAAGTAAATGTAAAAACAAAAATCTCAAAAGTTCAAACTATGGATCTTTCGGTATACTGTTAGTAGGTATTTATCACATTTTTGGAGAATACTAAAATTACATTGACTTGTAACTGTACGCAATGAATTGGCGTACAGTTTGGTACCCATGAGTTTAAATTAAACATTAAGTGATACAGTGAACTACAAATTAATCATTGATAGTTTCGTACGGCAGGTATATTTTTGAAGAAAATAATTAAACAAGTGGTTACACACTGGACGGCCCCAGTTGTATTGTTACTATTCTATTGTATAAGCGTACTAAAATGTATATTTGGAAAGTTTTCTCGAAACTTTTTTGAATTGTTTCGGTGACAAGCGATTCCAACGGGATGAAAGTTTTTTAGGCCAAATGAAAGTTTAATTAAAAATATAAGAAATATAATTAAAGCAACTTATACTTATGTTACGAATAAATTAAATGTATAGTGAAAAATGTATATTTTATAACTTAATCATTATTAAGTTATAAAATGAGATGGAATTTATTTTAAAAAAATACTTATTTGTCATATTCGAGTAGAATCACTGTAGCGTTTAAACAGTTGTACCCATGATATAAAATTGAAAATACATTTTTAGATTCCAAGCATAGCGAGGGAGTTATTGGTTTTAGTAAGATGTTTATTTTTTCTTTTTATAGTCCGTGGACACGTCTTTTTCTAGTAAACTTGCTCCGAGCTTTACGTGTAACAAATTTTCTGAAAACTCAAGTTATCTTAATTGTACTTTAATTTTTTCGACGCCATTTTTTAAATAAAACCAAATTTGTTGCCTTTTTGATTTAATTTTTTACGGTATCATCGTAAAAACTTTTGAGATTTTAAGAAATTTTAATTTTTGGGAGTTTTTTTGCTATAATTCGGTTATAAATACACGTAGAGACTTGAAACTAGGTAATAATATTTATATTGGACTTACCTAGACGTGGTAAAATTTCTGAAATCACCGGACGACCTTTTTTTTTTTTGAATAAGCGTTTTGAAATTAAATTTAAACGAAAATCGCAAAAAAAATTACGGCACTTGAAATTATGTACTTTCGAATTGCGCTCGGAATCATCTTTCGTCAAGCAATGGTTTATCGTTGCTTACAGATATAAATGAAATAACCTTATGTATCCTACCTCTCCAACTTCTCACCTACAACAGTGGCCGCTCCCATTCCCAGTATCATCTCTTTTTTGATATTAACAGTTAAAACAGAAATCACTTCAAGGTTATGAAGTGAAAACAATATTAGGTAACGAATATTGAACAAGAATGATGGACATAAGTACATATTCACAATATTATGTTTAAATTGTCATTTTAATAACTAATGTATTTTTTATGCTTACGTGACTTATTTGTCATTTTCTGCAAATTAACTAAAATATATTACTTACATAATTATGAAGGTCGTATTATTTTTTACAGCACAATTTATGCTATAAATTCGTTTTATTTACCAAATGGTACAAAACGTCTAATAAGAGGTATAAAAGAAACATATTTTTTTTGTGACATGCATGAGAGAACTACAGTGCATAATAAATAATAATAATTATGTAAGCGGAAATAATGTACTTTTCAAAAAAGAAAAAAAAATCATACCAAGATTTTAAATCATTTTTCATTATGTAAGTGTTACAAGTTTCCGGAATCAACAGTGATGCACATGGGAACATTTTCTGTATAGCGAGAAAAATATAAATTTTAATACCGCAGTAAAATAAAATTGTTACATTTTCCTCCTTGTCGATTGAATTTGTTACGATTAGAATGTAACGTGGGAATTTTTTTTCTATCACTACTCAACAGTAATAATGCAAAATACAAATAGGTAGGTTTTGTGTGTTCAATAGGTTCAATAGGTGTGTTCAATTTCGAATTCACTTAATAAATGCCATAAAATTAATTTGAAGTAAAACCTAACGGTGGAAAAACGTAAGAATTTAAACTCCGGAGTTTCACTAGTGCGATAATTATGGTATTCGAATAAAAAAATAATAATACACTATCCGGTACTAAAACAATGTGATGTGAAGCGAGACTGCTAGTGTTTAGCTTTGTTTCGATATTTTCGTTTCTGCATCCTTTACTCTTGAAATTACCTCAAATTTGTAATATGTTGCTGCAAAATTATGTAAAAAATTACACGCCGTGTTGAAATTGATGAATTTAAGTAATTGTTTATAACTTATTAGTTGGCATGTTAAGTCTAAACTACTTACAACTATTATACTAAAGACATCGTATGTATGAGTAAAAATATGGAATTAAAAAGTGCTATAGAACTATAGCAAAGCAGCTCTCAAATATAAACTTTTTCTTATTAATTTAAGTTGTTTTTATACGTCTCAACATGAATTTTCATTTATGTATGAGTTTGGACGAAATACAATCTAAACGGGTTTTGTTGTCTTTAAATTTCTATATAAATAATAGAAACGATCTGAAAGTAAAGTTATAAAAGCTCAAATAGCATTTTTTCACCTAATGTCACCAGACGTACACCAGAAAAAACAAAAACCAATTTACGATTTATTAATTTATAATGCGCAATAAGGTACACCTACACTGATTTTGTTTTTCATCAAGTAGCTATACTTAATTGCTTTTGCAGTATACGTGTGTGTACAATCGTTATTCTTTTGAAACATTTCGCTGTTTGACTTTCTCAAAGTTTTTATGCTTTGTAATACTGACGAAGAAAATCTATCTAGATATTATAGTGATGTACCCCTCGTAATATTGAAGTTCGCGTTTCTGAATGCAAGAGGGTCGCATCGGGATTGGTGTAGGGCTATACTTGAAAACTCGACCATTAAGCCAACCTATATATATAATATACTTGTATACAGAATAAGGTGCGCCCACACTATTTCTACCCATCAAAGCCCGAAGATCGCGATCATTGTTCGGAGGCTTAGATTCTGCTGACGCGGGGAACTAACTTAACCGGGCGTCATTTCCGTCTGGCGTAACACCGCGGGAAGCACGGCGAAGTTGCTATTAATATAGTTATTATTATAATTATCATATTATACGCTGTGGAATATTTTGCCGCTTTTGCGCCGCGTTCAAAAATACTTACCGTAATATTAGTAAGTTTTCATCATCAACGCCGACGAGATTATTTTAATATAATATATAGCGTAAAACTTATTCGTATAATAATAATAATAATAATAATAATAATAATAATAATAATAATAATAATAATAATAATAATAATAATATACTGTCGCGTTTTAATTACGTCGTTTAAAATATTGTTCACACGAAATCGATTTATTCGGTGAATATTATAGAAAAATTGTCGCTTATAACAGTGCGTATCTCATTTTTTTTTTTTTTTTTTTTTAGTTTACCTACTGATAGATATCAATAAATTAGTGTATTTTGCACTAGATAATAATGCATTTATAAATTTATTTTTTCTCCAAAATACCATTATTATTACCTATGTGTTATCGTTTTGTTATAAATGGCGTTATCGTTTTCGTGACTTACAGTGAAACCATATGTCTAAAAAAATAATAAAATAAATTATAGAGAATTTGTTTTAATAATATCGATAATAATTTCGTTTTATCAAATTTTTCGATACGTACTGTTTTAGTATAAACGACGAAATGTAACACGGTTTTTGAGTAGGTATACTGTAGAAAAATTGGTAGGTGCCTTTAGGCAATAGTATACGTCGCCGTTGTCCTTCGGTGCAATATAATAATATTGTTCCCTCATAAAAAAAAAAAAAAAAAACAATATAAATAACGTCCATTTATTAGATTATTTATTTTTGTTTATATGTATGGCAAAAAAAAAAAAAATTGTCTGTTAAATTTATATTTTAGCCTCCCGGCCACCGGGGTATGTTTCGACTTCCGGGTGTGTATCGATGGATTACAGTGCTGGAAACATATAATATTTTGGCTCGTTTGACAATGCAAACGCGCGGTCTTGTGTCCGTAATTAGATTAATATAATAATAATTTATAACGTCCTCGAGTTTTCGTTTTATATCATCGTACATTGTGACCAGCTGAAAATCGGCCGCAGGCGACACGTGGGTTTTTGTTTTTTTAAATATAGGACGATTATTTTTATCGTGAAACCAGTGACGGTAATTTAATTATGGGATATTACAATACAATATAATATTATAATATTAAATTGTATAATGTTAATGAGGGGGGTGACGGATTCGCGAGGAAACATTGTGGATATACGATTTATCAAAATTAAATTGTACGCAAAATGTTCGTACCGTAATATAGATAACCGCTGGTTTGCGATAAAAGAATCATCAGAACGTTATTTCTTGAGGATTTTTTAGAAACACGCATACCAGACTGACGGGGTGGTCGGGATGAGTATTATAATGTTTTATGTAATATGTGGTGACCTTGGCCCGAACAATTTTTATTTTGAAAGTTTCGTGCTTATGTTATTATTATAATAATATTATGTTTACCATCGTAAACAAATAAAACCGCGCATTTTTTAAGTTAAGGTCGTGCAATTTTTCATTTAGAGCTACGCGAAATGTGTCTAAACGCACGTTAAAATAATCATTGATTCAATCACCCTGCATAGGTACGGTATTCGTATATTATAACACAGAAGTGGATCTGCCCCAGTGGTGTAATTAAGACTTGGTTTTTTAGATGGTGGACTCATTAACATAATTAAGATGGCAAAGGCGCCTACACCATATCAAGTAAACTGATATTATAAAAGTTGCGAACTTCGTTATATAAAATCTTGCTGGTTTGCTTGTTTGTATACAAACAAAATTAATAGCAAACAAAGTCTTAAAATATAATTTTAAACTTGAAATTTACATTTAAAACCATCAAAAATTTCCCGAAAACCTTCAAACGCTCTAAGCGATAATTACTTGAGAATCAACAATTTTCGAATAATCTAAATTAATGAGAATATAGTATCATTTAAAAATATACGAAAATAATTTGTAGAGGAAACGAGCACAGCACAGAAAGTGTAGAAAAACCAATGCGATTTGTAGTAAAATCCTAGCCGTAATTATACCATTCATATTTGACGTCAGCCCAATTCTCAATATTATTGTAACTTTAAAAATGTGATTTTGTGTTTACGATATTTCCAATTAAAACAAACAATAACGCGTCATTAAAAAAACATCATGTTAACTTTAACAAAATACAAAAAAATATACAACGAAAACGTAAAGACTCCATCGTGTTGAAAAATAATGTAATTTCGGATTTAGTCTTAAATTTTGCGACGAAAACGGTGTTTCGCCTCTCGTCCCGAAAAGTTGCCATTTATCGGCCGGGGCCCGACAAAAATCATTGCAGGAATTAGGCCCAAGTGGTTTTGCGACACGATTTTCGCGTCTGTATACGCGCAGTATAATATTGCTGACGTCGTTTTCTTTCGTCGCGACGATATTATTATAATAATATTTCGACCGTTGTACCGTAAAGGCGTACCTATTGCCGGCGTGATCGATCGCGCGCGGACGCAACCGTTCTCGGTGCTCGCGGCGAATATCGGTATATACACATAACACATTAACGGATACCTACGAGGTGAAAGGTTCCGCCGGTGTCGGATATAATATACGAGTATTATATTATTATTATTCTTATTATATTGTATATCGTGTATATGTATGTATACACACACACGCATACATACATACAGGTAGTATAGGTACTGTGTATAACCGTGAACGCGAGCGCCGGTGTACATTGAAGTGTCACTAGGCCTTCTATCGGTATCTTGTATTCCGGTGTGTGATCCGTCAATTATACAATATACGCGTAGAAAATGAAAAAAAAAAAAAAAAAAAAACCGTTTTTAAAGGGGAAAAAAAACCCCATCCGGAGTCGAACATAGAAAGAAAAAAAAAAATTAATAAAAAAAATGTCCGAAATTTAATAATACAACAATCTTCGAAACGCGTATTATACGCCTATACCTATGATTATAAATATATATATATATATATATATATACATGTACATATACATATATATTATACGTAATTAATATTATATTTTGGGGGCCGCAGACGTTTCCCTCTTAGATAAAATCGTGTCGTTTTTGTTCTATAGCTGAACGCGAAAGTATCATACAGATATTGGTGTACAAAGTGTAATCATTTTAGTACTTACAATTATTACCACAGACGATCGAATTAAATATTATATGTACGTGCGATATGCCGTTGGTTTTTTTTTTTTTTTTTTTTGGAAACAATATCATTAAAAAAATAAACAATAATCTCTACGAGGGGTATCTATATACTCGCGTGTATTATATAAATCATAATAAAACAATGGCTATCAAAAAAATTAGGGACGGGTCGGTTCCGGTTATCGGTTCTTCGGTTCCGTCGGTTTTTTAAGGAACCGTTAATCATAGGTTCCATCTTCTATCATAATTATACGTCAGTTATTATTTTTATTTTTTCTTGTGGTCGCACTGGTTTGAATCATTTGTTTCGTTTAGTAAATATAGGTTTTTATGGAATGACGCATTATTATGATTGTATGCATTTATTGTGTAACGCGTGCGTGTTTGAAGTCATTATTTGGTTTTTTGCGTTTTTAAAATTTTTTATTTTTGTTCCCGGTTCCTTAGATTTTAAATAGATAACGAAAATAATCACCTATCCCGTCAAAAAGAGTTATTTTTGAAGATGTTACATACCTATACCTGTATGAATATATTTTGTTATAAACAAAATGTTAGTCCACAGAAAATTCGTGAAAAATATTATTATGTTAACACATGTTTATAAATTGAACATTTGCATTTTTAGTTTCAGTTATTGATAAGTAAGTGAGAATGATTAATAACACGGTCGTCAGTTTTGGGAGAAGATATTACGTTTAATTTTTCTATAAAATTGATGATATCAAGGACATATAGGACTTCTACGTTTTGAACAACTTTTGAAAGCGCATGGATTTATGATCTACGCCATAAAATTCTTCAAATATGCCCTTAAAAAATGCACAATCGCTTAGTATAAATATTATCAAAAAAAAAGCACAAAAAACCAATTGTTTTGATTTTTAAATTAAATGGTTTTTATTAAAAAAAAAAAAAAAGAAAAGAAAATGTATTATATATTTTTATTTTTTTACTGTAATTTATAGTAAAACTAAATGTTTATTTATTATACTAGATTAGGTGATATGTTTAAAAATGAAAACTCAGTGTACACCGAAGAACAATAGCTAATCAGTTTATTTGTTCGAGAATACATTATAAATATTTTATTTAATTAAATTTATTACCAAATACACGGACGCAGAATGCATTTGACGTGTTTATATTTTATCATAATGGCTTGCCGAATTAACTAGAATTCGATAATTTCTGTTTTTTAATCATTGACACTGCCGAAAAAACATAATTTCTAATGGGTGACTGCAGCGCAATAAACATAATGCCTATACCTACCGAATATATTTCAACGCAATAATATTACCTATATAATACCGTAATATTATAATGTATTACTAAATAGGTAATATATCCACCGGTCAACGGTTAAAAGTAAAGTAAAAAAAAATGAACATACTGTAACACCGACAGTATCACCATAAAATTGTAATTTTGTTTTTACACTTTATTATCGTATGTAATTTAAGTTAAACTCGTTACTTTTTATTTATGTTAAATTCTATTGCCATATTGAAAATGATTAAATCTATTTAGGATTCGGTTAAGATTTTTTTTTTTTAAATAAAAATGCGAAACACAGGGATATCATGTATTCTTGTGTAATATGGATTCATTGATATCTCCCTTTACCGACTCTCCCCTAAAAAAATATTCATGACAAATCTTTATAAAATATGTTGTTCAAACAAAGTGTACCTATAGAGAATAAATTTAATATTGTGTTAGAATCAAAATTAAAATCGAGGAGGTACGTGTCACTCGAAATTACTAATTATTTAATAAGTTGATTTAAAAATAAAATTATCTTGATAAAAAAATCAATGGTTAAATGCTAAGTTTAAGTTAAAATTAACTTGATTTTTAACTCTTTACTGTCCATCGTGGCACAGTAGGAATAAATTATTTAATATTATTGTTATGATTTTTAAATTTTTTTTGACGAATAAATTAATTGACTATTGCAGTAAGGAAATTGAACAATAATATATTATACAAAATTTAAAAAAAAAATTGCCGTGGCAAGTTCAAAATCATAAGACTTTTTTAGCCATGTTTTTTTTATTTTTCAACAATCCATAGTATAGTAGCTATTATTATTATTACACGTACATCTTGAAGATTAATTTTTAAGCATACCTATCAAAAAAAAAGAACAATAATAATAATTAAAAAAAAAAAAACCGGTCTTTTAATAATACGATGGTCGCATGAGGAGAGAAATAGTCGTGATAAAATATAATTGACGGGAACTTAATAGTGCATTGAATCGTGTGTTTAACTGAGAGAAAGTAAAAAAAATAAAATACGTTTCAATAAGGACTTTTTCAATGATTTTATCTCTACAGGTGTCCTGCAGCTCGGAAACACCACTTTACCGGAACTTTCGAGTGGTCTATTTTTTCTAATATTTTGGCAATGTAACTGTAGGGGGTTAACCTCCAATATACGGCGGAAATTTTTCCACCCCTCTTTTCTTTCCCTTTATCGGTATTAAGTTCGTAAACTCTAATGAAATATCCAATAAAAACGCATACAATTTATTGCCTATTATATTGTTATGAATAAAACATTACCAAAAGTGTATTAATCCCGCGTATACTTCATACATTTATTATCACATTTCAAAATTTAAACAATTAGCTTATATTGAATTTGCAAATAATTATCAATAATAATTTAGAGTTTGTAAGTGTGTTGATGTATTTCTTTAAACGTACACTCAATGCTGGAATAAATGGGCTGGAAGGAAGTTTAAAAATAAACGGACAGACTTCGCACGATTAGTAGGCCACTGTTGTAGGTGAGAAACTGAGAAGCTAGAGGGAAAATTTAATGTATATTTTTACGCGAAGATTAATCATTGCTAACGAAAAACGATTCTGAGTGGAGTTTAGTTACACATGTTTTGAAAGGCCGTAATATTTACGATTTTAAAATAATAAATATTGTAAATTTTCCCATTTTTTCTATGTTCTTTACCGCTGTAGTTAGATTTCCTTTTAGAAAAAGTGCTACGCTTAAATTTTAAAACAAAATGTCTGGTAGAAAAGTTATTCCCAGAAAAAAAAAAATAAACATCACTGCAAAATCAATACATTCCTCACTCCTCTCAGAATCTAAAATATACGCAGTTAACATAAATAAAACTAAAATTAAAATTAATGTGTTTTAGAATGCAATGAACTGTTATAAAATTGGCACTGAATTTCCATATGATAACAGAACAATCAGGATTGTTATGTTGATTTACATAAGGGAGACGTTTAATCTGTTTAATGGTAATTTCATATTGATTCGTATAGAATATTGTGATAATGTTTATGAACAAATTGGATTTTTGTTTAATTTTGGTAATCACGGTAGATTGAATACAAAGTAATACTTTTATAACTAGTAATCTTAGAAATTACTGACATTTATCGGATTTTTTTTTGGAAAATTTAAGAAACAATATAACAGCTTTAAAATATTATACTGCCCTAGCTTATTTTTTGTTGACCTTATTTGTCATGCTTACATTGTATTGAACACTTTGTATAACTAGGTAATATAACTTCTTATTATTTGGTAATATTTACAAACAATTAGTGTATTTATATTATAATCTATAGATGTTAATAACTTTGAATACCGCGTTGCGATCGTTTGATGATAAAATGATAAATACGCCCATAATAATTAATTATTGTTTATTGCCGCTCCTGGGAATAAAAAGAAAAAAAAAGAGTAAACAAAGTAAAATAAAGAGTATCAGACGTACCTCTATAAACACTTGAATTAATTACGAAATTTTAAAAGACCGATCACAGATAAATATTCCGTCAAATATTTATCGTTCGTTTGTTTAAAGATTAAATACATAAATAAATGATGAAATCCTTGTTGCCCGACACTTAAAAATACATTGAAACGTTATTGATTAGCCGCAGGCGTTTGGATAGTGACCGAAAACCTTGGTTTTATGCAATAGGTATACACTTCCAACACCCGAGTAGGTACTTGGGCGAGAAAAACCTAGGCGTTTACTACCATTTTGAGATCATTGAGACGGAGTCTGGATAATATTTATCCGTGACCTGCTGGTAATCAAGCGCAGAGACAACCGATCATACGGTACAGTAGAATGATAAAAACCATAAATTATAAAACAGCTTGTCAATCCGTGGAGTAAACCCAAAAGCGCTTAGATTCTCCGACACAACCGCGATATAAGTCCGATCGATAAGTCCTTAATAATAAATAAATTGGTGCAGGTGCCTACCTACATGTATACCGCGAAACAATAGTCGATCTCTGACCCTGGTCAGTAGAACAATGTTAAGTTAAGAAGTATAAGATATATTATAAATGTATGTATAATAAATATGAGATGTTTTTAATAATATTAACGAAAATTCATTCTTAACAATAATGCATATTTAATGATTACCATATTATTTAGTATACTTGAATATATTTCATTTCACTACGACCATCTGCGATGCAAGTTACAATATGGATATAGTTGCAGTGACCTTATTTTTATTTTTGACGTTCATACGGCCAACATAGTTTAAACATATAATTGTACAATTTGTACAGTTTGTGTTTATAATTCGGTTCCACAAATATGATTTTTTCACTCGATTTTTGTTTGAAAAAAATAATATTTTCACGTTCGATGACCGTGTAGTAATATTATGTTCTAATAATTTTGAAATTTTCATTATACAAACAATTGTCGAACTTGATGTTAAAAACAGTAGACTAAACATATTAATAGGTTTTATAATTGCATAATATAGAACGAAAAAAAAAATGTTTAACTAATGTGACTTTTCATTTCCATATTCGTTCCTACACGGCTAACCGTTGTTATCCGATAGTTAAATTGCAAAAAAAAAAGTGTTTTTTTACTCGCAGTAACCAAATTAACTAATGAAAATTGTTATTTTCATCCATGTTAAATTAACTCATAAATAATAAAAAATAATTCAATTTTTTTTCCAAAAATACCAAAAACCCTGCACCAACCACCACCCTTTAAGGGTTGAACTTTGGAAATCCGTTTTCTATAGGTATATACGCACCCATTCATCTGCTCCTGTGTGTACATTTTCAGATTTGTGTATACAAAAGCAGCGGTTGTGCATGGTGCCTAGACAATCAAACAGGCAGACGCTTCCTTTTATCAATATAAAGATAATAATTAACTTGTTAGACTATTAAAAAAGCAATTTCATTATAGAAAAAATATACCTGAATAAGATAGAAAAAAAAAAAATAGATGATACTGGTGACGGGTGTGGCCATTGTTGTAGGTGGGTAGTTGGTACGGTGCGATTCCGAGTGGAGTTTGGTTGTACATGTTTTGAAAGGTTGTAATATTTATGATATTCGACAAAATTCGAAGTAAGACCATGTAAGACTTATAATGAACCTCCTGTCAAATTGTTAAGCATTTCTGTTTAGTCTGAACATTTTATCTACAAAGTACCTACAAAATAAAAACTATGTAAAAAAACTATTAAAATTAAAATATCTATAAATATAGCTTAAAAATGGCTCAATGTTTTAAAAGTTTTACTACGTCTAGAAAAAGCAAATATCAGTTTTTTGTCAAAATTTAAAATCTTTACGAATTCTTTAAACTGAATTACATTAAAAAAGTAAAATTTAAAAGAATAAAAGAATTATTTTCGTAAATTTTCACGTTCTTTCTATGTATTTTTCAGTTTTGCTGAATTCTTTATAAAACTATAGAGATAATAAAAAAATTAAAAACTTTCTTACTAACCAACTAAATTAAAAATTCGACAAAAAGGTTTCTTCATTTCTTTTTATTGGAGCAATATTTTTGTAGGAAACATAAACCATACAAATTTTAAATAATGAAACCGTTGTGCTGTAAAAAATCTTATTTATTGTTTTTTCGGTTTTTCCCAATTATTATGAAAGATACTTTCGATATAAAAATACGACTTTCATTATCAGTGACTATATATTAATATACGGAACAAAATTAATCTCTCATTATTTTTCAATTGGAACAAAATTTCTGGTAGAAAAGTTGTTTACAGATAGAATGTTCCGAATCTAAAATGTACCCATTGGTCTGTTGAGATGTATTGAGTTAGAACAACATCCTCTTTCGTAAAATACCATTGAAAATATATACTGCTATAGCAGTAATATTTATAATTGACCCTTGACGTCAAATTTCAACATTACTGCTATAGCAGTCTTATTGGCCTATAACTGTCCATCAACGTGTTATAAAGTTATTGCGATAAAGTGCGAGCCTTCTATTGGACTATAGGGTTATATTGAAAGAAATTATTGTAGGTAATAATATTGTCCTTATCGTTTCGTATCAGGTTGTTCTGTTGTTTGGTAAGTGGTAAAAAAACAATCTAAAAAAATTGTCTTCACACGAAGACGTGTAGAATTACACTAGAACTCGATATTCGAATAATATGTTTATAGTAAATTATATAACTGTCTTAGACGTTAGACAATTGGTAAGAAAAAAATTAAAAAACCCCGGCAATTAAATACGAACTTGGTTGTTGATAAGCTGACTAATATTACCTATACGTATTATATAGGTACGAGACAATTTCGCATAAATTGTTTTTTCGTAAAAGTAGCATTTTATATTTTATTATAATCTGTAACGTAATGACGTTAATTTCACCATTATCAATTGCAATGATTCAATTAGCGTAGTTATTTAATCGGCATTTTTGCATACCTTATATCTGTATTTTAATTATTATATTATGTGCTGCAATTTTCTATACCCAATATATTATGGTAAATATTGTTATGCGTGTTACCTAATATCGTTAATTTCGTACGTTCGTGCGTTTTAAAAATTACATGTGTCGCCAAAACTGCCCGAAGTAACGAACAAATAGCCGTCAGTAGTGTTATTATGATATTTTAGCGGCGGTTGAAAAATGTCCGTGGGATTAGTGGACAGAAAAAAAAAAAAAAAAACAATTTAAAATATTTTGTCTCGTACGCGCACCGATGCAACTTACAAACACGAAACATATTATTATGTAACCGATTGTAGCCAATATATTATTATTATTGTTTTACTCTTATATTCTTACGGTGATATTATTATTGCTGACGGAGAGAAAAAAATTCGGTGTGACTTTCACCCTGTGGGTGTTCTCGCGTAGTTTTGCAGTAGGTAACCGTTTTTTCGTACACACCACGTGTGACAAAATTTTATTTTTCGTTTGTCACGATTATTACGATATGGGCTGTTGTCGGAGAACCTAAAAAACGCAACCGGCGCGCGGTCAGTTGTAAAAGGACAGTCATCGCCGGCTAACGCAAAAGTTAGATTCAGCGGAATAATCGGGAATAATATTATATTATCCGAAAACAAAAGAAAAACAACTAATTGTCTTATTTTTCTTTTAGAGGTATACACGTGTGCACTGTCTACTCGGTGCACGGGTTTACAAATTACAGGTCCGAATCGGATGTTTAAAGTTTTTAAATTCGTTTTTATAACTTATAATCAATAATGTCGGTAAAATTCATGAATAAGAAAAAAAAACAACTATATGATACGGTTGACCCGATCGATGTGCGGTACCGTTCAAGGTTGCGGTAATAATTTAATTTTCTAGTTTCCGCATGGAGAGCTCGTTTAATGTCCGTAATACAAGATGACTGGTTTTGCGAAATTGAACCAAACTGTCAATTTACGAAGCGAACGTGTATAATAATATTATACTATTTCCCTGTAAAATATATATTTCGGTGGAAATTGGACGTTTGGTTTGTTCAAAATGATTCATTCAGTTTTGATTAAATATTACAACAAATCAATTTGTAAATGTCTACTAGGCATTTCTGACATATACGATGATAAAAACGAGAGATTATATAAAGTTCACGAGTCCGGTTAACTATCTGTTGGTTGGGATAATAATATCGAAAATAAATTCGTTATTGTTAGTCTATAGCCGTAAAAATAACGTAATAATATCATTAGGTATTAATTTTGTTTTTTTTTTTCGAATCTAAGGGACAAGATTTTAAAAATGGAAATATACGATTAAATTTAGCTTTGATTCAATTATAATGTCGCTTGTTAGCGAAATTCTACAATAATGACGATCAATCGTTAATAATAATATAATGACTTTTACGAGAATATAATATTATTTCATTAAACACTAAAGTTATATTGTTAACAGCCGTTCAAGAAAATTAAATTTCGTTTGTGTGTCAGCACGCGTACGCACAAAGGTGAAAACGGGAAAAACTTCGAAGGGGAACTATATTGACCGAAAATCGAGGGGCGTTCTCGAGAATCAACTAAACCTAATCAAACTTTTATGGAACCCATCGCGGATACATAATGATTTTCTCTCTTATTTATACAAAAATGTTATACTTATAGGGTTTGAAAATAAACAAACTGACCCCCCTCCCCCCAAAAAAAAAATATTTCCCTATTTCAGTAAAAATAAAATAAAACAGAATCTTATTAAAATCTAATAGATATTAATTAAGAATTTATTTTTAATAATACGAATTCGAGTTTTTTTAAATTTTACTAAACATGTTTCGGTGGCAATAAGTAAAGCGTTCTTAAAATCTAAAGGGGTCTGATAATTTTTCCTTAATCTCTTACTCTTTCCTACTCTGTTAGAGAACTGCATACGTAGTGGGGGGCATTTAAATAACTGCAAATCCGTATATAGTCAGATATTTGATACCCTACCTTTTTTGGGGCGAGGATTAGAATAATCCTAATATACATTCTATATGAGAGTGGCTTATTATACAGAATTTCAGTTTTAGAAGGTGACTGTGGACGGTTTTTGAAGTGGGATAAGCCTTTCCCATTTCCCCTGTAATCTCTCCTATTTACTGCAAATCGGAATAATTTATATGAATAGTGTGCCTAATAATTATAAAACGTTTGGCATCCATGTGTACTCAGAATACCAAATTATGTGTACTATTACTCGTAAGTCGCATTAAACGCATTATACTTGCCGCAACGCTCGTAAATTTCAATATGAAAGTCATACGCCATAAAAACGTTCGAGTGTGCGTATATTGAATATTAGCTTTATGCATTTAACATAAATATAATAATAATATGTGCTTACAATTTAGAATATTCATACGCTTATGGATTCCGTAAGGATATTGTACACACGCTACAGCCGGCCAAGGACAGTTTTTTTTTTTTTTTTAATGTTTCAAATGGGTCTGTACCGTTTGCAATTATTTTTTCGATACGGCGTGTTTTATTATTATTACAATAATAATAGTTATACATGTATTATTGTCGGAAGACGTCGTCGTTGTCGGGCTGACTCGGTGCCAGCAAACGGTTCCGATGGGTGTTCTAAATTGTTTTGTTTTTTCTTGTGGTCCTCGTTTTCCGATAATTTTTTATTTGTTGTGGTCAAAAGTTAAAACGGAAAAAAAAATCAAATTTCGTTGGCGTCTCAAAAATTTATCGTACTGGTTGATATGTGAAATTATTAATATTTATTATAGATTTCCGAGTGTAGCAAAGATTTATTAGTTTTATAAATCAAAATGTGTTTTTTTCTCGAAAAAGACATTTCTCGATTAGTAAAACCAAATTGAAAATGTTTCAAAACTTTCACACCGTGTACTGCAAAAACCATATTTTTTTTCCGCGTAATGTGGTGCTTTATTCAAAACGTTTGAATAAAACTAGAGTTATCTAGATTCTCGAAAATGTTTGTAAAAAAAATAAAAACTCAATTTCTCAATCTATAGTGCATTTTAGAGGTCTGGAATTTCGAACGTGGATGGACAAATGGGTATCCGTGAAATTACGAAAGCAGACTTTTAAAGTTCTATTTTCAAGTATATAAAGGCCTACATTTGAACTATGTTTTTTTTTTTGGTATTTATGTATCCTTGGTTATATGTAGTCACCTAACTTATAACATGCAGTTAACTGAACTTTATTCTGAATGGTTATTTTTTAAATTTAAGTACTTTTTAAAAAATTCTTACTTACAGGCGTGGCTTACTTATTGTGTGAATTAATATGTCCCTATAGGGTTCCGTAAAGTAAGGGTTTAACTACTTCCACGTTACCGTACGGACATGCATCCGCCTGTCAGAGCGGGTTACTACTTCTAAACCAAACGAGATATTAACTTAAAACTCCCACATAATAATTATGCAAATCGTATTAAATACGAAACTTGTAATTAAAGTTTTAAAAAACTTTATTTGAATTGAACGCAGCTATGCGTGCAAACAAGAGGGAAATTGTTTTTCAATTTTACCGGCTATACTTGTGGGATATCGTTGGAAAGAGTTTTGTTAGCAGAGCACAGCTATTATTAAATTCTTCTTTAAAATAAAGAATTGAAATTTCAACTTGTCACTAAGTTGAGATAATTTCTGATCGTGATTAAAATGTTTTATTATAAATATATATTTTATGTTCAAAATATATATTTCAGTTTTCCCTAGTACATGGAACTATCAGCGTGCATGTTTTTTAAGAAAAGATGTACATTTTGGGTACCTATACATATAACATATTTTAATTTTTTTTTTATGTTGTCTAAAAGATCCATAGTCGCTCATTCGGGTTTTTACACATTTTGATTTCATAGGGTTCGCATTATTATTAAATGTAATTAATAATAACTAAGTACTATCAGCTGTCTCTATTCTATAGTCACTTTAAGTCACTCATTAATTCTAATTATAATTGGTACCTATTGCATTTTAGTTAGGAAACACGGCGTACAATAATTACGATTTTAATAATACAAGTTCAATGTACATATATATATATATATATATATATATATATATATATATATATACATTATATCTTCTATTAGTATTTCTCATTAATAAAACATTTTGTATGGTCGACAAATTACAGTTGTATACAATCCTAAAAATAATAATCCATTAATGCAATTTTAATATTTTGTTAAGAATATAACCGTACAATTTATATTTTTTTTAGAAATTAGGTAATTATTAGTAATTATCATTTTCTGAAAAATAATTGGCATTTACATACCTGTTGTAATAAATACTAACATGTATCTATTTGATCATGTTCAATACAAATTTAAATGTGATAACTATAATTATATTGAAATTTGTTTTAGAACAATATCACCATAGAAAGACGTCTTGTAGTGAATTGAGGGCAATTTAATGTGAATCAGCAAATTATGAAAATTATAGAACACAACTTTATCTAAGGAATAACATCATTTGAATTATGAATTCAAATTTTTAATAAATCACAATTACCCAATTTGAACAATTCAGCTGATGACATACTTTGTAGGGCTGTTACTAAAAAGAGCCGTACTAGATAAAAAATAGAGGACTAGAAATTATTTGCTAATTATAAGGAACCAAGTGACACTAATTTCAGTAAAGTGGGCGGGCTACGTGAAGTTAGGTCGATTCACGTCGTGCCAACCGACCTACCTATGCTATGAGCGTGATTATGCAAGTTGTAACTCCTGCTTAGGGGTTCAAATCCTAACCATTAAGTATATAATGTTATAAATGTGAATTGTATATAAATAACTGTAATTTTTCATTCTTATTAATTTTTCATTATTTGAAATTGATTTCAACCACGAATAATACCATGATAAATGTCTTAGTAAAAGAAAGAACTGTTTCTAAATATTTATTTTTTAATTAATTTATAGGCATTTAAATTTTTTTAATCACGTAAGCGTAAAGCGTAAGTGGCGAAGCGCGGTGCGATAAATTTGTAACAGAGCATGAGATGGTAGTGTAGAATGGGTAATTTGGGCAGCTGTGTAGAACATCTGGTGGTGCTAGTGGTGGCTACGTTTGTGCTTGTGGTGGTGACATAGAGTGGGTGATTCGGGAATAATTTCGAGCATTGCTGTTCTATATACGCGTTTAAAGTTTAAATTTGAATGGAAGTATTAAAATTCACGTAATTTCAAAACATAACTGAACTTTACTCAAAATTTAGATTTATTTTGATGGCAGAAATTTGTCGTTGCATACAATTGAATTGTTCTTACCTCCCTAACTTTTCTCCTACAATAGTGTACACCCATTAGAAGTATCAGTTATTTTTGTTAATTTTTTTTGAGTTAAGTCGATAGTGTTTTTAAAGTATTACTATTTTGCATCTTCCGGTATTGCGTATAACAATAAAAGTTTTTATTTTATGATATACACTATACAGGATGATTTTCCTCTAAGCGTGCTCACTCCATTTTTTTTGGTTACATTTTGCATAAATTAAAATTCCGATTTTTGGAATTTTTAAGTATAGTTAAAGTCGATATTTTCGAAATAAACTTAGATTTTTTACAAAATTTATGGAGTATCATGTGGCGATACCAACTTTGATATTTCAAATGAGAAATTATATTTAAAATTTCCTAAATAGACGGAATATTACTTTAAATAAATTTTAGTGTCAACACTTTTGATTTCCGCTAACCCGTTAACGGGGTATTCCATTTTTAAGTTTAGGTCCGGGAAGAGTAGTGGAGTATCGTTGGTGTGTGGCGGCACGGCGCGCGGTGTTCTATAAGTGCTCTACTACTCTTCGCCTACTTAAATTTAAAAGTGAAATATTTCGTCAATGGGTTGATGGGAATCAAAAATATTAACACCAAAATGTATTTAAAGTAATACTCCGTCTGTTTGTGGAATTTTTAATGTAGGTTCTCATTTGAAAAACCAAAGTTGGTTTCGCCACAGGTTACTCCTTAAGAGTTGTGAAAAATTTAAATATTCGAAAGTATTGGCTTTAACTACACTTAAAAATTCTAAAAATGAGAATTTGAGCACTTGCAAAATTTAACCAAATAAAATGGAGTGAGCAAGCTTAGTGAATCACCCTGTACATATTATGTTTATGAAAAAAAAACATACAATAATTTTGTTTTTATTTGAAATATTCGTTTAATAAACGTATGATAATAATTATGTTGCCTAATCCCCGAAAAATATATAATAAATATATTGTAAATCTGAATTTTTTCGAATAATTTTTTTTAGTAAAATAATTAAGTAAAAACAAAATTATCAAAATGTTTAATACTCGTAAATAAATATATAAATAAAAAATCTATGCATATTTATTTACTTTATTTGTTTCTTTTTTTAATAATTTTGCTTTTTTTTATTCGTACACAATGATTATCATGTTTAAAACATCTACGCAGGTAGATCTCGATTTTTTTTTTATCATGTTCAAGGTTTTAAATTCGTAACTTATTTATTTCTAAGCAAGTATAGTATAATTTTACTTAATGATGCGTAGTATTTTTATTATAATATTTGCTTATTTTATTTTAAACACGTTAATTTTAGATTAATACTAGATAAAACCAGTAGGTAAATCCATTAAATAAAATATTTATTATTATGTATATTATGTATTAAAGCTGTTGTAGTAAAGTTAGAAAATATATAATTGAGGTACTACTGTAACGTATACTAGCAGGCAACTCGGACGAATGTTTGAATAGACCTCTTTCTCAAGATGTTTATTTCTTTAATACTACTTATAGATATTTTAGCGAAGTTGTAATTGTCAACTCAATAAAAAACAAGTTTGGATTTTGTTTTCATAGTGTTTTATTGGCCGATATCATATTATACCTACTGATATCAAACTCCTGTGTCTAGATTTTCTGATTTGCATATCGCGGGTATGGTAAATTTGACTATTTTTTATGTATGATAATTTATGTTATTTTACACACACAATCATATACCAGGCCATGTTCGGCCTGCCACGCGTGCACAGTGAAATATTTACACGAACCATTTGAGGCCCTTTCTGATCCACTATTTATCTCCAGGGCTAGTTATTTTACAGTACTGATTTTGTTAGGAAGATTAAGGATTAAAAAAATAAGTAATATTCCAAATTTCGTTTTATTTAACAGTTTAAACTTGTCACTCATATAGATTATTCTGCCCGAACATTTTTACATTCGCTCCTTTTTCACGTATATGTTTTTGATGGAATATTTTATTAAGGACCGGAAGTAAAATAAATTGCAAATGTAATCATTAAAATAAATCACATTTTATAATTTTTCGAATTTTGCAAAAAGTTTAAAGAAAGAGTAGGTACCATGGGCATTCGCACATGGGGGGGGGAGGTTTGGATAATGTAGATTTTCATGTTTAACTGATATTTAGTAGTAATCAAATAAATAAATATTTTGTGACTCGTTATCATTTTCCACACGATTGGTATACGAATCTACCATTGATTTTTTCGCAGTCATAAAGTCGGTATAGTAATTATAACTATTCGTATTTCGGATACTCGTTCCGGTTACTTACAATAATTGTCTTTATTACTATTATTATATTATTTCATGGATAGTTCACGGTAAATAATAATAATTGTTTTATTATGTTTTTCGTTACCCGAGCAGAATAATACGTTGCGTGGCCGTACACGTTTTTTAAATGCAGTTGTTCGGCATTCGTAGTACCTAGTATGCATCGATAATGTATATAATTTAATAAATTTACTACATGAGTACAGATTACACAAAATGTTTGAATTTTCGATATTTTTTCTGTTAAATCTGATAATCCCGGGATTGGTTTATATCAAAATATGATTTATCCGTAAATCTCTGCCGTTTGTCGTGGTCAATAGCTTTTTATAGGAAGTAATTCTGTTATTGTTCGGTTTACGATTTACCTCATACCGGGTTTCTTCTCTCGACCGACTGCAAGTACCTTTTAACATTTTTTTCGGTTAAATGGCTATGCATCATCATGTCTCAGACTCTTGGCGTATGCCTTACCATTTGCCGGCTTTTTCTTTTGATTAAATTTACCGGTTCTTCTTCCAACACCACATTTCTATGGCCAGCTGTTGTATCGTTTTGTTTTTTATTAATTATTATTATTACCCGAGGTTCGATACAAAGCCACTGCTATAGTGTCGTACGTTTAAATAATTTAAATCCCTTGTCGGTGTTTTACGGTTTATTTTGCGGAGACAGCAGAGGCCAAAAAAAAAGTACCCAGGTATTGGTTGGTGCGTACTTCAGGAAGTATCGAGGAAATCGTTTTTTTTTCTACTCCGTAACTATAACTAACAAACAAAACAAACGGATTTTGTTATAGTGTACGATAGAGTACGATACCTACCTAGGTATAGGTATATAATATACGATAGTATATACCTAGGTATTGATAACAAAAAGATGCAGCGGATTCAAGGACTCTTCAGAGGGATCACATAAGCCCCTAAGCACGACATCAGTTCGTTGTAAAACATGTGGTAGGTAGATACGCGATAATAATATATTATTATATCATGTTATTATTATCATCATCGACATATTATTGTTCGCATCATTGTAAATATTATAGTGTCGGTTATACAACGCGGCACCGCAGACAATATTGTTATTATATTATATTATTATTTAAACGCGTTGCCGGTGTTCCCCTCCATTGGCGGTAAAAGCACAGGGCACACACCGCACCGGTGCCGTGTCCTCTTCTCGGCGCAATAATTGGTGCACTCGCCGGCCGCTTTATTCAGTCACATTTCGAACGTGTACCTCGTATACCTCGGTACCTAATATAATAATATATATAAATGAAACAACAATCTCTGATCCTGTGCACACTCGTGTAAAACGCACACGTTACTGCAAGTTTCACGCGTTTTATTTTCATTGTTATAAGAATATTGTAAATCGTAGTTAATTTTTTGTTTTTCTCTACGAACCATAGTCACTGTTCCGCCGCGCACAAGACTGCAGAATATTATATTAATATTATAAGACGTATTTGCAACCATGACGATCATACCGACTTTTGTGATCGATAAGATATTTTCGAAAATATTTCGCAGACAGACGAAAAACTATACCGTCGAACGTGAGTATAATAATATGTAATATTTTTCGGTATATTCACTCAGTCACTCAAAACAAAAACATCGTGGTCTTTTTAAATCGAAAATTTACATTAAAAAAGTGTACGGAATAATATTACAACCAAACGATTAAAGAAAATCGTAGTCAACAGTCACATAATTAAATATAGTATTAATTTTATATTTGGTATCTTTTTTTACGTTGTGGTGTTGTCAGAAGAACTGAAAAGCTGCGCGCAAAATTGATCAATTAACGGGAAGGGCATCAAATTATTAAATTAATACATTTTACCCATATACCTATACAGACGGGATGTTGAATGTAACGGAACCACCTATTGAATATCTAATAAATTTAATATTTGTATAATAATTATTTCGTTGGTAGTTTTATCTCGAGTTACATATAACAATGTATATAGGTTTTCGCTTGTAAGACATCTGTGTCTACGCCGATTTAAGATAAGCCAAATACGAGAAATCTATGTTTAATCAGTAAAAGGTACACTGTCGTTAAGATTAATTGTTACCGTTATTAAAGAGCACAATTACAGTTTACTAGATAGACAGAGGAAGTTATTAGTAAGGCGTAACGAATCAAAAAATAAATTAATAACGATTTTGTTAAAGGGTATGCGTTGATTTCGAAAATGATTACATTTAACATGGACGTGTTGAAAATTGATTTTTTTTCTTAGTTATTATCCCGTACATTTGTATATTAGATAATATTGTTACATGTATTAGCCACAATAAGCGAAGAGAGAATGACTTGGTTATCCTACGATATGTATTTTTTTAATTTTTTGGCAACTTAAACCTAACCTATCAGAAAACTTACCGCGATCATCGACCGTAGTATATTTCTCTAAAAGAAAACTGTGTGTAGTTGGTGCATTGAGGACGCAATTTTTTGATTTTCCTTGTAATTTTTTTTATCCTTGGGAACATCGGAAAATGTAAAGGTTTCCATTATTATCGAATTTATTTTTGTTGCGATTTCGTTAAAAATTATCGTTGATAGGTACCTGCAATTTTCACAGAACACCTATATTAGCCAGTTAAAATGCTTCAAAACATTCTGAGCATTTTAGAACAATTTCCAGTAATTTTAAATTTCTAGTTAACTAGTTTTCATGTGGATGAAATTGTTTTAGTTAAAAAGGCAAACATGTTTGAAAATTGAACACGAGGTTTATCAAAAGTCGTACTTAGTAATAAAAAAAAAAGATAATCTTCAAGTAATATTTTTTTTCTGAGCGTTTAAAGTCTAAATTTTAACGAAAATCGTAAAATTCACGGCATTTCAAAATGTGACGTTTATTCGAACTTCACAAAGAATTGTTTTTTTGCTAGGGTAAAAATTTATCGTTGCGTTAATAATTTACGTTCAATTACTCTACATATCCTATCTTCCTAACTTCTCACTAACTGTTGAGATATTGTTGTGTCATAGCCATCTGCTCTTTTTTTCTTGAATAATTTCCCATGATTTAATTTATTTTTTATATTTTGGTGTAAAAAAAAAAAAAAAAAATACGTACAGGTATACATAATAATAATCCATACAAACTTGCGTAATTAATACATTAAATAAGCATGCAACCGCTAACCCATTTGTCTCCTTTCGGCGTGTACTTGTACTATTATTACGTTAGCAATGAGATTTCACTTTTCCGCTATACATCCCATTCGGGGTGGACAGTGAGTAAATTGCAAGGTGCTTTATAAAGCAATGAATCATAATTCATTGTGAAGTTCGTCAAGTACGTGTAGTTACCTAGAAGTAAAAATTTATATTATTTTATTATAAAGGATTCGGGGTTGTTTGTTTTTTTTTTTTTTGCAAGTCGAAACAAACACACTGGACGGAAATTGATTACCCATTATGTTTGCACTTTGTGAATAGAGAGATACTTAAACCTTTAGATTTTTTGTTTTTGTTTATGAAAATAAAATAAAAAACCTCGATAAACTATTGTATTCCATTAGTTGAGTGCCTGCTAATAGCGTTAGTTCAAATTTAACATATACCTACGCAATACTATTATGTTTAAGCATAATTTAATGGTCAAATTAATATCATTCGATTAAGACGTATTAGGAAGCAAATTAAAACGTGATATTTATTGCTTATAGGTATCTAATCGTTGAAAAAAAAAAATAGAGATTGGCGGTTTACTCATTACATTTGTTAATTAAATTGTTCAATTTAATTTACCTAATTGTTAAATAAATCGTATATGTAACCTCATTGGTACTTACGTATAGTAATCAGTTCGATACGAGCATATTATATTACTACACAGTGACTTGCAATACAGTAATATTTGTGTAATCGTACAACATTATGTCATCGCTCGGGTGAATTTTTTATTTTTATTTTTTCTCTCGTGAAGAAATGTTTCGTGTATATAAAAACGTTGAAAATATTTGTAAACCACTGTGTAGTCGTTTGTTTTATATTGCAGGCGTAATTTTCGCATTTCAACAAGTTAAAATGATGTACATAGGCGATTGAACAGAAGTCGTAGTTAATTTTTCGGTGTCAAACAAATTATAATTTGTAAATTTTATCGCGCGCGCCGTCGTGGCGTATTTAAACCGTATTGCGTAGAAAGAATACCAAATTAATTTCCAAATCCCTGCAATATGTCGATTTTGTCCAATATTGTTATTGTTGTTTCGTTCGATTATAACGTCCGAATCGACCAAAATACTAGACGGTGTTAGGCACGCGTGTTTATCGCAGACGAAATATTTTCAAAATTTGCAATACGTCACGTACACGGCGGGGCGGCGTGGCGCCGCTGTTGCGATTCATATTATATAATAAGTATACGTGCACCTCAAAAATAACCTTTGTTACATTTTTCACTCTCCCCGTATAGTTATGCCCCTCGAAGTCGTGTGTATGCATATATATATATATGTGTGTGTATACCATACACGACACGACAGTTGGCCGTTCTTTGTATACGCGTATACATAAGGCGGCAAAAGTCGAAGGACGTGACAACATTTTTTTCTTTTTTTTCGTTCCCAACACGCACACGTGTGTTCAGCATCGCCATGATATCATAGTAGTGGTCGTGTGTCATTCGACGAATCGTGTTTCAGGTCAGAACGCTTAGGTACATACGATACGATCGGGGTTTTTTTTTTTCATATTATTTATTTTTGTTTATAATACCTCACCTATACGTATATACGTATGTATGAATTCCGTCCGATCGTATTATTATATATTTTATTAGTTGAACGTAACTTGCGATTTATCGTTCGATACGGGTATTTTGTTTTGTAATATTTGTTGTGTGTCAACAAAACATGTAACGACGCGTCGTTGCTGGTGTCTCCGACGCCGCGAAACGTCGATTTTTCCATTAGCGATTATGTACGTTCCGAGTTTGTTACCAACACGTAATGGGACAGATATTGAGGAATGAGAGTAGGTATTCTAATTTACTTGACAAGGGAAAATATTTGGAAAAAAGAGGACCTGACAGAAGAAGAATATCATGGTTTCAGAGTCTAAAAGTATGATTTGGAAATAGCTCATCAGAGTTGTTTCGCGTCGCAACCGACAGAGAGAGCATTGCTAGAATGGTCGCCAACATTGGGAATCGGATAGGCACCCGAAGAAGAAGAGTTTATTTCGAGTACTTATTCCGGGTTTCACGAAAATAATAGTTGAAATTTCACGTTCCGACGAATTGAAAAAATAAAGAACTCTTAACATTTCTATACTTTGAAAAATACATATATTTCAGACTCTTATCGCGGGAATTAAGTTTTTATTTATTTTTTCGACTTTACGATTTTACGACTTTATTTTTTTTCGGCAATATGCAATTTTAATTCTCAACGATACATTTCTTTAACGTGTAATTCGTCTTTTCTGTACAGAATCATGGTTTGAAAATTTAGTCGGTAGCTTACGACAAGGTCGCGTTAAATTTCGGTTACAGATTTAATAGATAACTAAATTTCCATTAAAAATATAATAATTGGCATAATGCGTTTCATATAGAAAGAAAAGTTTTTATTCCGAAGCGTGACAAACGTGACGCGAGGTTTTAAATTGGGTAGGTTATGCATTTTTAATTGTCGTCAATGAAAATGTACCTATATAATTAATTAAGTATGCGGTAAAGATAGTGGTACTGTACATAATATTATTATAATGTGGTTTTCGTATTATTTTTTAAGTTTGCGGTTTCGGGTCGAGTTCAAATAATGAAATCTCGACGAAAAGCGTAAGGAAATTTACATAGTAAGTGTAGGTATAGAAACGTATTTTATTTTTTTTTTGTTTACTAAATAGGTTAGCGAACACTTGATGGTTTATCATGCGACACGATTATCGAAATAATATAATAATATTGTGTGTACCTGCCCATTGTCATACAATACGATTGTATATACAATATATACACACTCGCAGTTAACTACGAAGGCGTAACTCTATACAATTAGGTAGTGATTTACATCCGAGTGTAATTATTCGCCGTCAAAGAAAATACGTCTCGAGTACCCATTCTATAAAAAATTTCACATCGATCGAAACGTTCTATTACTTTTCACTCGGTTGGCGTTGGTCCACAGTTCCATACACAGACATACGAAAAGAAATTTAATTTCTATAGATAAATATTGTTATAAATTATAGCATATTGTATTGTTGTAATTTATTTTTTATTATAATTTAAATGGACGCGATAACCGCATGTGCTGTCCCTGTCTTATAAACGTGCGACATAGTAAATTTTCGTTTGGCATTAACAACTTTGTAGTTTGTGCTGTTGGTTTAAGTATTTGAGTGAATTGACTTATATTGTCAAACTTAAAGATAAGAACATAATCTGTGCAATGTTGGTGCTATTTTTTTCGATTTTTTAATTTTCAAGCGAGATAAAATCATTGTTAAATTGTGATATTTCACTTAAAAATGAAAATGACGAAAAAATAATGTCAGCGTGCACGGATTTATGTTCATATCTTTAATTTTGATAATGCCGTAGCTCAATTTACTGTAATATTAAAACTAACAGTATAATGTTGTCCCAGCTGAACGCGAATTTGATGTGACGTATGTTATTCGTAAGATAGTGGCAGCCAGTGTTGAATCCAAACAATTTTTTGGAGGAGAGAGGGTTTCATTGGTCATTTCGATGTAAAACTTAGAGATTAAATAACGAGTAATAACCACATTTTATTGACAGTTGTTTTTATCGGGGGGGGGGGGAAGGGTGAATGAAATTTCAGGATGAGCATTTGATCCCCACTACCTAAAGATTACGTGGATTTAACACAGCGATTCCAGATGATTAAATAGTACTATTGTTAACTGTTATATTATTGTTATTAAACTTTTGAATTGTGAAATATATTTTGTTCTGCAGATATAGGTATCGTTTTAACGACAGACACATAATACGTGAAGAAATTTTATCACCGGGTATAGGCTAGCGTTAAAACAATAATATATTGGAAATTCGAATACAAAATTACTTTTATTTTCACGGTTACACCATGTTTCTTTTGCGTTATCTATGTACAACGTTCACTAGATATGTCGGAAGTAAATTCAATTTGATTTATGTTACCGGAAATTAATATATCTAGAAAGATGTTGTAGATTGGTTGTGTACATATACTTTTACGATTTTACCATTGGCCACCCATATAATATACGCTATTAAATTAAACGCAATGAAAGTGTAGGTACTCAATTAATCGAAGTATAGTGTATTAAATGTATTTTTTTTTTCGTCGAAGGTAAACTGGAAATCGGTTTTTTTTACAGATATAATCCACTATCATCAACGTCATCGTTAAATATAATATTTAGAAGTTCAAATTTAGTTGGAAAATACATTTTTATAATAAATACAGTTATTAGGTACTAGGTATTTACACTCTGAAACATAACTGGTACCTGCAGTAGACGGTTACATAAATCTAATTACGATTTCTTTATGAACATTTTGCAATTTGAGTGAAGAAAATAAACATACAGACGTTTGATATACCTAGATAGAGTCATAAAGGTCATTGGACTGGCAGATACCTTTCTATATAATTGCTTAAAGTAATTTTGAATTTCGTAATTGTTTACAGTTTTTAAACTAAATTATATTCATGTAAATCTGAATACGAGTATAAGTATAAGTATAATTGTCTGATTTTAATCAATATTGTATTTTTCACTATTACACAGTTTTGTCTTATCTCGATAATCTTACGTCAAAAACTAATGTATTTATGTACTTACCTACCTATTTCTATTTCACTATCTATTTTGAAATGTGATAATCCGATTTTCATTTTGTTTTTTACAACATAATTTTCAAAGTTTTTTATATCCTTTTGATTTTTTTTAATACTTAACTATTATTTATTATTTTTAAATTCATATTTCTTTTACTTTTTTAGTCAGAAAAATAAACAATTTAATGTGTTGGTACATGGTATACTTCCTATACCTTTTTATGTATAGGTAATTGCTATTAGTTATATATGCTAGGTGTTTACTATATGTATCCAATTTTATAAAATTGACCTCCGGTCGTTGAATTATTTAAATACATACAAAATTAAATAAAATTATTACTATTAATGCATAAAAAAAAAAAAAAAAACCAGTACGTATGCATTTTTTTCTTAACCGATATCTATATCTATCCGAATCACTACTATGAAGAAGGTTAGATCGGTATTCGAATAGTAAATAAATTAACAATAATTATATAACACATCGAGTTATTTGATTTCAATGATAATTTTAGGGCCGATTAAATTATAAACGACTTATAAAAATATATCAATTAATTTTTTCTTTTTAGCCTGAGTATATGTCTGGTTATACAATATGTAATAATTTACAAATTCAATGTCTCTTTCCTTGGTAAAATTTTAAATACGCCACTGAATCGGCTTAAATATTACCCACATGATGTATATTATACATGATTAACATTCGTGTTTCTAATTTTATACTATCTTTAAAATAGTCATGCATTATTTTTTTATTCGCCGCACCTTATACGATACATAATATTATTCCAAAGAAAAATTTAAATTTATCATTGTCGCGCAGTTATCTGCGGGTACATCTTCATTGTTATTGTGGCTTATGCCCAATGCCCATGTATACATGCGTAGTATATGGATATAGACACGCTCGTGAATTATAATAATGTTATTATTGAAAGTTATATTATCCATTGAATAATTAAGTAACACAGTCGGTTGAATTTTTCGTTCATTATAATTCAAGTCTTAAAAAAAAAAAAAAAAATAATAATAATACGTAAAAAAAAAACAAAAACAAACAACTATAAACTTTTGACACTGTTTTTATTTTTAAAACATTATTGTTTTCATCAGAGTAGGTGTACGCTATCGTGTTGGTGGTATGGTTCACAATAAGTTATTGTATTATCTTATTTGTATAGTATAAATGTCGAACCAGATAACGGTTAAAATATAATATATCTAGACAGTTGAAAGAAAAAAAAAGACCAAATATCCGAGAAACACCAATAAATTATAGAAAATATTATGACATTAAGATTATTTTATAACGAATGATAACTTTACATTTTGTTTTCGCAGACATGGGTAGTATTTCAAAAAAAGTATTCAAAGTACTTTTAAAAAAGTATTTTAACCAAGTCCGCAGTTTTGGTGTTTTACGTAAATATTTATTTTATAGCGCGAAAAACTGCGTCACGAAATTCGTAGAAAGTAGTCGGACCGGTTTTCATTTCATTTTATTCAAATATATAAACTATATTTGTTTACATTTGTTGTATTTCGACACTATAATATTATACGCGCGCATCATTAGTAATTTTTATATTTTTTTGTTGTTATATTTATATTATTATACATTTCCTTTTTATAAATGCTTTCGTTTTTTTTAATAACGTTACAGCACAGTCTAGTTCATTAAACAATCCAGTTCAGTAAAAATAAATAAAAATATTATGGAAATTATTATACGACGGAGATAAGTACCACCTACCTGTACATGAATTGAGCGATAACCTAGCGTCAGTATTTATAATGATATTACGTCGATATTATTATGTCGGTCTTTATTAGCACCGGATAAATTATTATATTTCGGTGTCTTGTTTCGAAATGACCCAATGTACTTAATAATATCAATATTTTATTACACATAATAATACAGGCACTTATTTTATCGCGGCTTAGTGAAAGTAAAACGTGGGCAACTGTATTTTATTTTTTTTTATATATATGATAAATCGTATCAAATAGATTGTTGAGGTTTGTCGATGTGCGTACAAGAAAAATCGTATTAGTTTACCTTTGTAATATTATAACAACTATTGAGGTAATTTACGAGTATTCGTAAGTAGTAATAATTGTTTGGGTAGTGCCGGATTGGAAGATTCGCACTCAACATCCAACCGACCCAATGCATGGTTTATTTATTGGAGATACCACCATCTCCCTAATTTAAAATTGTTGGAACGTGGTCTTTTTTTTTCATCAAAGAAATTATCAAATCATTTATAAGTTTTAATCACTCCCACAAACATTTAAATCTAAATACCTGACTAGGAATAATTTCCAATTGATCATCCAAACATCATGGAATCTGAAAAAAAAGATGGGAAAGGAATGTTGATCGCAACACGAGAGTCTGATGGCCAATAAACAATGAAACACAATTGTATATTTATTAACATGTGTTTGCAGATATCTTAAAATATATCATTACTACTATCGTCAGTGTCGGATTATTTGAATAGCCAAGCTAACGGTCTTTTGTGCTTGAGGATTCTATAGCCATAATCTATGAATGTTCTTTCAACTAGGTGTTATTAAGTTTATCCTCTTCTTATAAATAGAAATTCTCGGAACATCTCTAGGAAAAATCAATAGTAAATTTTATAAAAAAAAAAAAATTAAGCTATAATTTTTTAAATTTAATGTAGTATTTTTATACAATTCTTTTCTAATCTAATCTATATGTTGGGGTTTTATAAGATTATATGATTTTTTTTTCTTTTTCTTCGCTCACCTTCATCCCGATTATTTGGGATTACTCTTATATATATTCATACTTAAACCGATCCTCCACCTCGCATACATCGGCTGTCCTCATATAATTCTCAATCGTATCGAATAACTTCATTTTTGATCTTCCTCTCCATCTCTTTCTTGCTACGTTTATTTTTATTACAATTCTTATTGCTTCAGATTTCTTTTTTCTCATGATATGTCCAAAACATAACAGTAATACATACTTATACCTTATCTTATCTTTCCTCATCATTCCACTCGACCATTCAAATGTTATTATTACTGCTACACTAATTTACTGTTCTCTTGTCCAACACTCCGAACCATACAACATATTTAGAACACTTCATACTGTTTGATAAAATTTCACAATAATTGTTGACCCGACTTAAATCTATTTACCGCTTCTTACGACAGGTTTAGGTACCATGGAAGTATTATGATCCCCTTTCATAGGAAAAATGGTATTGTTATAAAGTGACTTTTTCCACCCTGCAGAAACAATAAAATATGCTTACTGAAACTTTTCACCAGTACGAGCTCGGGGTCTTGGGTTCGCTTAACCCATAGAATCATATGCCTCCCTGAAATGATATATGATTCTTATAAAATAATAAAGTCATTATGTTTGACTAAAAATTAGTTTTTCTAAAATCTACTTTTATTTTTCACAGAGATTTATTAAGAATATCAACTTTTGAAAAGAGAGTAAGGAGTCTATAAGAAGTACCTAATATGTTGAAAAATGTACCGAGATTATAATAATATGATTTCAGATGCCTAAATAACTATTAGTTCCTTTAATAATAAGGATTTTATTGAGGATTTTTACGAAATACATTTTATTTCGAATGGCTCATGCATCTAGTATATTTTTCAATATTTTTTGAAAAATAGCTCTTTAAGATAAGCTCAAAAGTCTAAATATTGCAAATTTTATACTTATATTTAATTTGATTTTTTTTCGTCATACATCAAGTGGCTCCTAATATACATTATATACTCGTATATTATTTCAAACAAAGGTAGACGTGAGTGACGTATTTCACAATTAATTGTTGTTAAAACTCTAGTAATTTTCCATAAACTTAGATGTATCTAAATAGGTGAGAAAAAAAAATTCAAAATCTTATTCTATAAAAATCCTCTTTGGCCGCAATCCGGTGAATAGAGTTCGCCCATTTTTAAGTTTAGCTCATTGACATTGAAATGTTACTATACCTAGCTGTGTTACGATAACTTATAATACATACAATAGAATGTATTAATCTCGCTTAATGAACGGATCGTGGGTTGTGTTTCAATGGCTCGACAACCTCGCGGCGTTATTGTTATTCGTATAATTGTAAGACGACTAGACGACGACGGTCTTTGCTCGATTTCGCCCAAACGTTTGCCATGAATTTTTATTGTAAAGATTAATTTAATGTACATAGATACATATATATGTTTTAAATTTCAATTATAAATGTAAATCGAGAGCTGTGCATTTTAAAATACGGGTCACATATCGTTTAACGTCTTTTAAACTACAACCATACGGATATAGCAGTTAACGCCAATATAGTGCAATATAAATACGAAACGTTATACTGGTCCATTTTTTCAGCTGGTACCCACAATTACACCTAAAGTGACAATTCAATTATTGTTGTATTGACTTTCGCAAAATATTTATTGTTATTAGTCCGTGATTTCACGAATTTAATGGTTTTTCAGAAAAAAACACGTTTAATGTTTAATACTATGTTGTTGCTGTTACTATGGAAACATATACTCATGTTATTCGCATTACAAACAAAGTGTTTGTCGAAGTTTTGACTCATTTGTAGCCAAAATGATACTAGTGTTGTTTGTTAATATCTATGTCTTGTACAACAGATTTATTTTATTTTATCACGATTATCTACGAAGATTTTGAGTATAAAATTGATTTTTATTAGTTTTCGTCAGCTATCGTTGTATAAAATCGTTAACGGTATTATTTACAAATATTTTTAAAATTTTACTATTATTTGCACACACACTTACACATACACATAAACACATAATATAGTTATCAATTTTTGATTTTCGAATAGCAACTAGATTCGACAATGGAATATTTTTCTAAACATTTTGATACGCGTTACATTAATATTATTAGATACACCGTTTATGAGCCTTAAAATTTTAAAAAACATACCAGAGCAGTAGGGTTATCGTCTAAAATTGGACGTGAAATTACCCTTGCCTATACTTTTCCGGTCTAAATCAAAAGTCTATATGTGTTAAATATAATATAATTTTGTATGATGAACGGAATACGGGTGAATTTTTAAAAGTTTCGTCATGAAGACAGAACCGTAGCTAGAAGTATTTTTCTGGACAGGCAAGATGGTAAAATAATATAAATGTTTGAATGGGAAAGACTGCTGCTAACACAAATTTTCGATTTTAAAACTGTGTTAATTTTGGGAGAAAAGTAAGTCCGGGTCTACCAGGCCAGCCAGCTGGCTATGCCACTGCACGAAGGTTTTTAAACACGTTTCTATAATAATGTAATGATCTACAAAAAAAAAAAAACAAAATCCATTTTATTTCAAATCTTCTTCTGAATATTTGTTAGATCGTGATAACAAAAAAATCATTCTGTATACGCGAATATCGTACGAGTGTATGTATACTCTATGATATGTACGTGTCAGACGTATAAAATGTCGAGACTGTAATATTATATTATATAAACTGGGTTATACTGTAAGGCACAACTTATATGATATATACGGATATAATAGCCGAAAGTTGACAGCGTACAATTAAGGGCGTTTCCGGAAAGTTGTGTTGACAATTTTGGCATATAATACTCCTCTGCTGCAGAAAATGCATTCAAACGATATTAAAATATCTCTATATAGATTATATTATATTATATTTATGTGAATTCGTTGTTAGCGGGGTTGATAAAATTGATTTTCGCGAATAGATATAGGTATGGTACAAACGGGGAGTATAACAATATTCTAAAGTCCTAAATAAACTCAGAGCATTCACGTGGATATCTATCAACGTCGTTTTTTAAAACTTCTACATTACATTTTCGTTTGAAATTTATGTTTATAAAAAATGCTATGCGTGTATGATCTTGGGAAATATTGTATTGTTACTTAATATTTCAATAATTTGAGTCGTTTATTTTTGATCAACATATTTTAATGACATTATACAGGCCGATGTTTTTTAATAAATTATCACCACTTTTGTATGGTTAAAAAAATTAATTATAAATTCATTTTTTCTCTTAAGAATTTCATTGTTCGAATTTTGATAACAAATCTCAGAAAAATTATTTGAACAAATATCGGCGTTCTCATTTTTATTAATGAAAGTTTATAAAGTATATACTTAAATGTAGGTTTATTTTAAATTTGAGGGATGGGACATCGAAATCACTGAACAAAACAAATTGTGTTGATCCAAACCTAATATTGCTCTAAAGGGACTGGAAAACATTAAAAAAAAAAAAAAAAAACATTAAATCTAGTTCTTAGATGAAAAACCACGAGGAGTTTTAAAAAAATTGAGGAGAAAATGGAAAAACCACTCTGAGTTGTTGGTTGCGGAATTTCTCATCTTCAGTAATAGTACAGTTCAAAAATTTAACATGAAGTCGCCTGGATGAAGTTTTAAAAACGTCTGCAAGCAGACTTGTTGATAGCTATTATGATAAATTATACGGAATTATGCAAAATAAACGTGTACAATATTATGTAAATTTAAAACGAACAACGTGTAAAAAAAAAAAAATTCAAGGCAGACGGAATGTCAAGGCTATATTACACTATTATTACTTTATACATTACAGTTTAGAATTTAGTAAATAGTAGTAAGTACAACCCAAAGATGACAGTATTAATGTATTTAGAATAATCATTTTGAAATGTAGAAAATATTACGCTCGCATATTTTATTTTCGAGCAAATTTCACGGTCTGCGTGTACACTAAAATAAACGGCCGTGACTCTGAACAGAATAATCGCAATGAATCACATATTATTATTTTCACTTTGGTTATTTTATAATGATCGCAGTTATCTATTTATGATGATTACTGCGACGCAGGACAATTATAATTAAAAAAATAACAAAAAAACAATTTATTCTATAAGTACTGTGCCTGAATATTTTGCGTCGTGCGAAAACTTTTATTTCACCGATTTAGTTTCGTTTTTCTATAATTTCACGGGTATGCACGCGAGTCAGTTTGAAATAATAAGGGTGCGGAACGCGGCTGAGATTAGGTTCCCGCTCAGAGTAGTGCTGGCGACGTTTTTATTTTTAATGACCTCGATCGGTCAGCAAACCAATGACACCGGCGCGTCTGTAAATGTTGGTTTGTTTGATTTTCGGTCGTCCATACAGTGTGTACTATTTCAAAAAGGTATAAATGCATCGCAACCACGGTGAATATAATAATTATAGTCTATGAATACGAATACGGAGTTTTAAATTGATCGTTTGCGGTTGGGGTAGTCGCATAATAATATATTCTGTAGGTGTAAGTTCTCTAGGAAAACCGACGAGTAAGCGAGAATAACGGACGGCACAAAACCCGAGTAGGTAATAATAATAATAATAAAAATGATGTACGTTACGTATGTTTATACGTTTTAATGCAGTTTTAATTTAGTCGTGTTGTGAAAATACAGCTACGGTTTCCGCTTGTTATTACAAGTTGCTCGATAATAATATAAAGGTGCGATTATGGTGTTATTGTCGTATATTTCGTATATTTATTTTGTTGTAAAGTTTATAGAAAATGGTTTTCTGAGTATAACGACGAATGAGCTTTATTGTAGTTTTACCAAGATGTATTTTCTTCCTCTGCTCCTCTCCCCTACCCCGAAAACACTTTCGGTTCTCTAAGAACGTTCCGAAACTTTTCACCACGTCTCGTACACCTTAAAAGATGTGGATATTATTCCCGGTGGTATCATTAATAGAAACATGTTTTCCCATTAGATTCCAAAAAGTTTTTCGAAACAATTTGTGTACAAGCTGATAACAAATGACGACAAACCGGTTTCGCATAAAATGTATTCTACGGTTGGTGGAGATCTGAAATGCTGAATCAAAGTACAATAATGTTTTCAAACATACCATTCTTTATAGGATGGTGTGCTCTTGAGTTTTGCTCACGGTTTTTTTGTTTTGTTGATTTTTAGAGTTCCCTGGTTTAAATCGCGGGGGAAAAAACCGATACATACTTAATAACCTAATCTAACCCCGGTTCCACTCAGAATCGTTTTTTGTTTGTAATACATTTCGTCATTGCTCTACGTACCTAACCCGATTTACAAACTCATCCGATCCTACGGGCATATTTTGTATCACGATTCACATAATATTGATAATGACTATCGGATACGTCCCGGGGACAGCTTCCCAGCGGTCGACACGACGGCGGAGGATTGCCCGGGGAGTTCGGCACCGTCGTAGTCGCCGACAAACGGATTTTCGTTACCTAAGCCGTGTTATAGAATTCTCGCGGTTCGGGACTTGATGGACGGACGCTATTTTGGAGGTCGACAGAGACGTCATATATGTACTTATAATACCGCATTCGATTTATAATAAAATAATAATAAATATTATTACGTACGCGGTCGTATTATATTATTATTATTATTATTATTATTATTAGGTATAATATTATATTGTACCGCAGCAGCACAGGCCGTATCACACGACGAAGGCAGGTACCCATAGGTAGGTCCATAGCCGAGTCCGACGTATAGCATACTCGACGATAATATTTATACGTGTATGTGTATATAATTTTTTTTTTTTCTTATCCTTGGCACTCGGCGCGAACAATCGCAACAATATCGTATTAAACGTTACTATCGTGTCGACGAGCCTTTCTCCGCTCTCGTGTTACATTAATACTATTGCATGTAGTGAGCACCTGTGCGTACGCATACGCGAGTTACGGTTATGACAATAATATAATAGCGAAATATATCAATGCGCGCGCACGGGTGCGGCAGCGGCGTTCAAAACCGATACGATAGCTAATAACTGTACGTCGGCATAATATTTTCAGCCGACGCAGTCGCGATTTTCGCCGATCTACCGTATCTAAAACGTAATAAAACCGATAACCTATATTCGTGTCGGAGGTTAATCGGTAATTTTCGATTTCGTCCGTCCGGCGCGATCGCGCGATCCGTGTAAACGTTACTTATATAACATTATAACGAGTAACCGCTTATACCGCGTGTCCGGAAGTCTGCGATAATGATATTCGTACAATCCTTTCCGTATCCTCCGGCCGTGCACGCGTTCGCAGAAGGACCACTGAGTCCGTCGTCGGTTCAATAATAATAAACGATAATATAATAATATTAAATTGCACGAGTTTTATCGGTATGTTTCTTATTGCCCGCGCACACTCGCCGGCGGACGGCTATCGCATCGTATCAAATACCTACAGCACTTTACGCGCCACTGTTCAAGGCGACCATTGGCATAATACAATTTTCTCGCGGAACTATTATCGTTTCCGGCCGCCGGACGGTAGAAAAAATAATGGTCGAAAATTGTTTAAAAAAACAAACGTCACTGTTGTAAGTACAAAGTTGCAAAGGTAGGATGTAAAGGGGAATTTAATCTGTACGCCACGATTAACCAATGCCAACGAAAAACGATTCTGATGAGCGGAGGTCGGTTATATATGTTTTGAAAGACCGTAATATGGATAATAATAAATTTCGTATATTTTCCCGTTATTTCTACGTTTTTTTCCGAGTTTTTTCTCAATTATTGTTAAAACACTTGAGGAAATCAAAAAATGATTACCTTAAAGTACCACTCCAGGAAAATTTCTATTCATAAAAAATGATACACAAGAAAATCTGAGCGAAATTCCAAGTAGAAAAATTTTTCTCCGAAAAACAAATAAAAAATAAACGTCTTCGTAAAAAAATGTAAAACCAATAGAAAATATCCGGATCGTTCGGAACTCACAAACGTATAATTATTGGCCCTATATTATTATATATTGTGTTTATTGAAACATCATTACTCACGGTAAAATATATTTAAACGAATAATGTACGGATATTGTCCAAATAATAAAATTATCGAATTATTTCCAAGGCGTAGTGGTAAACCGCCTACGTCCAAAATTATGACGTATTTACTTCGGATTACTGATCATCAAAATGTTGCATATTGATTATTGTGTGTAAGTGGTTAATTCCTCAAGGGAAACCGCAAAACTTTGTACGTTATAAAGTGCGAAAATTATACTTAATATTGTTTTTGAATCAGTTTAAATAATTGTGCGTATTATTATATAAAACCTGTTTTTTAAACCAGTAGATAACCAACCCGTAAACGGAGGTCCCCAAACCTTTTTTTCTATTCCATACTTTTGACATATAAAAAAAAAACCAGTTTATTGAAAAAATAACTTGTATAAACTATTATATAAGTTATTTTTTTAGTAATAATAGTAATTGCGATGGCCTGTACAATGGTTAGTACAATATTACATGTCAATAAACATTCTGCTAGACAGACATACAGGTAGCGGTATAGGAGGATATATTTAATTTATTTAACTATGGTTCAATATAATATCGTAATTATTAAAAAAAAAATAAAAAAAAAAAAAACAACGCACGCTATTAGTTAACTGTAATTGCATTTTGAATGATAACTTCAAAAGATAATTGTGATACTTAGGTTATAATATACATTTTTAAATGTTTTATTTTGTATTATAATACAATAGCATTATAATAACTCAATAGGATCTAAACAATTGTTGAAAAAACAATTTTAAATATCGCGAATAGAACAAAAGTATTATTGTATGTTGTCAAATCATATCCAAACATCCTGCCATATACACATATTATATAGTTATTATGATTGCAATTCTACTTTTCAATAAGTAAATAAAATTATAGTATTTTCATCTACAAGTATTTAAAATCGAAATGATTTGAATTTAAATTTCGTAAACTTATGCGAATTTAAACCTTACGAGATCTTGTTGGGTTTTTTTTTTGTTTTTTTTATTTTTATCAATGCACATTATTTTCATTACTGTTGATTGATATTTACATCTGTTTGTATTATATTTTTGTCACTTTTTTGTATTATAGGCAATGTCGGAGTTTTTAAAGATGATAAACGAACGGAGAAGACTACGCACGCCGATCCGGTGTCTTTGGCAATCGGCGAATTCGGCCGATGGCAAGCATTGCTCACATTAATTTTGTCTTTGCTCAATTTGCCTTGCACGTGGCACATATACGTACTTACGTTCCAAGGGGCGGATACGGACTTTTGGTGTGCACCACCACCGGGTGTACTGCAACGGATATCCGTTGACCAGTGGAAGAATTTAAGTGGCGTGTTTCCCGCCATAACGCCGACCAAGGTAAAGCCTTAAAAACATACAATTGAAAATAAATCGAAAAAACATAATGTTCGCTAACTTTCGATGAAATGTACTATTTAGGGTTTTTGTAATTGACCAGTTGGTAGCGTTTTCAGTGTAAAGTATTTAGTTTATATTTGATGGAGATAACAATTTTAGACTTTTTGTATTCTGCTTTATAACGGTGGTATCGATGTATATCTTATATTATAGAGCAAAAATGAAAAACAAAAAATTACTAGTTAAATGGACGAGAAAAATTGAATTTCTTGGAGAAAAAATAACATGTTCTTAATCGGGAGTCTTTGTGTAGTATTGCGTACAAATAAGCTTTGAAGTTAAAGTAATAAAGTATTGCAAAGCGATAATGTGATGTGAATAATAATATTGCATATTATTATCAATTTTTTGGTTAAACTTAAAATGGGTATTATGTACTGCGTAAATTATGATAATATACATAAGTATATTATCAAAATTTACGCAATTTATATCAATTAAATATTATGTCAACAGTTAAAAGTTGATTTTATATTTTATATTTGTCAAATTATAAACAGTTTTTGAAAAATAAAAAATTAATAATTATATTATTTTAAAATTATTGCAAACTCATGTTGGTATGTATATATTTTTTTGTATTTTGTGAAGATGTCTTAAATTAAATTAATAAGGCGTAAACTTTCATTTAAATAAATAAATACAAATACACAATAGGTATGTGAATAAGTATTAAAACATATGAAATGTATTTTTATGTGATATATTTTACTATTTTCATTGTATCGTTTATAGTTTAATGAACGTAATTTTTTCGATCACTATTTAACAGACGCCAGTGTACAATCCCTGTTATTATCGCGACCTAAATTACGAGAGTTTACTCGAAAAAAATAATTACAAAGATTTACTGCAGACATATACCGACAAAGACAAGATTAAGGCGTGCACTTCTTGGCAATTCAATACTTCCGAGTTTGGTGATACAATCACTTCCGAAGTAATTTACATTATTAATAAAAAAAAAAAAAAAACAAAAAAACTATTGATTAATGACGGTACTTAATTGGATTTATAGTGGAATCTCGTGTGCGACCGGAAAGATTTGAAAAACTTTGCCGAGATGATGTTTTTGATGGGCGTAGCTTTCGGAGGTTTCTTCTCCGGTCTCGTGTCCGACAGGTAAGCCATATCTCGACAACACGATAACGCTAATAAGTAGTAACAACTATTATGAATATTGTAGTTTGTGTGACATTGTCTCCGTACGTACCACGAGAAAGGTGCAAACGTGTAAAAGAATTATATATGAACCGAATGCTATAAATAATTCTCATACGCCTACTTGTTTATATACGGTTTAATTTTTCGTACGGACGCACGAAATTTTGTTATGAGAGTTAAGTTGGGTGGTATTTATTTACCGTGGGTATAATATTATTAAATAATAAGTAACAATAGAAAGATGGAATTTATCAATAACATAAGGTCGATGGTCGAACGTCGAACATATTATTGTTTCGTATCACTTTTATCCGTTTCGTTTTCGTTTTATTTTCTCTCCTCGACCGTTTTTACTATAATAGAGGTAATTCAATATCCTTATTATTATCCGTTATTGGGGAGGGGGAGGGGAAAGGAGTGTAAGACGAGGGTACTTATATATTATATAAAATTCGTTTAAAGATCACGTTCCGATAGGCATTATTGATTATATACATAATTGTCGGTAGGGATACTTTTAAAGTTTAAATTCGATTTTCGAATTAGAAATTAAATTTTGTTTTATCCGCTGCCATAAAGAATTTAAAGGAATAATAGTAAATTATTTATCAAAAAACTATTTTACGGGTGTATTATGCCAATATATAATGATATTATGATGATTTATTTATAGTGGATGAATTTAATGTGTACAATAATTAATTCAGGTTTATTGACACATAACCATTTTTAAAACAGTTTTTGTTCAAAAAGTTTTAACATTTATTTTTAGATTCGGGGTGGTATATTGGTTTTACTATACGTGTTGTTTTTAAATTGTTTGCATCTTTTTGCTACTTTTATTCCAGAACTTTATTTAGAACAAAGACGAGATACCTTTTTGGTATATTTTGAATGTAGTTGGTGCATTGGGATGGGTATTTTTTTATATTTTTCAAGGGGTTTTTTCAGATAATTGGGTAAAACCAGAAACAAAATTATAGTTAAAACGGATAAATATTTACGGTGCGCTGAAGTATTACAGATTTTGTTATTTTTAATTTTTAGTTTTTACACATTAGGTTTTCCACCAGAAATTTTGTTGAAATTTAAAAAGCCATTTTAGATCTAGTTCACGAGTACCTAAGTAATTCGTTTTTTTAATTTTTTGTCAATTTTTATTATAACTGAGAAAAACTGGAAAATAACGAAAAATGAAACCTAATAAATTTACGGCGTAAGATTTAACTAATTTAAATTTATGCGCAATAAGTTTTCTACTAGAAATATTGCTCCGATTTTCAAGTGTAGTATCTTTTCTGAAAGAAAATTTTACCTGAATTCTAGGGAAGTCATTTTTGAATTATATCGACACATAGATGTAGGTTAAGTTTAATGATTTGATAACATGGACTGAACATACGAGTAGTTTCGTAGTTAAGTTTTTTTTCAACCCTCATAGTTATAATTCATCTCGTTTTATTTTTAACTGCGTGTACATTTATAACTGTTAGCTATTTTTAGTACATATGTACTGTTTGTGTGATTGTAGATTCGGTAGAAAAAAGACATTGATGGCTTCTTTGATCATGCAGTTGGCTCTCGGAATTTTAGTTGCCATTTGTCCTTGGTTTGAAATGTATCTGGTATTAAGATTTATATTGGGATTCGTTTGTGTGAGCATTGTCTTCAGCGGTTTCGTGTTGTGTAAGTGCTGAAATTTAATTTACAAGGGTTTCAGAGTGTATAATGTTTATTGTTTTATTTTGTTCATATTGTAGGCATGGAATTGGTCGGCGGTAAATGGTTGACAATCGCCGGTGTACTCTATTTGCTTCCGGTCCCGATGAGCTACATTATAATCTCCGGTATCGCATACATTTGCCGAGGTTGGAGACTTTTGCAATGGTGCGTTACATTACCGGCCGTGTTTTTCTTGGTGTTGCATTGGTGAGATATTTAAAACAAATAAAAACCGTAGTGTAACGAATATTATAAACTAACGATTATTTGTTTTAGGTTCATTCCCGAATCGCCGAGGTGGTTGTTAGCGATGGGAAAAGTTGACGAGGCCATGGAAGTTTTACAAAAAGCATCGAAAGTCAATAAACATCCGCTGCCGGCGAATATGGACAAAATCCTCAACCAAGTAAGCTGGGATGAATTTAATACTCATTTAATTTGATTCGCCATTCAAAAATATAAAACAATAATATAATGAATCATAATAATATTTTTTTAATACATTTACCTTGTTTAAAACATAATTTTTGTTTTGTATTTCAGAGTATTAGTAAATTTGAGATTAACGGCAAACCCAAAGTGCGCGTTTCGGATTTGTTTCGTACCAAAAATATCAGAAAAATTTCATTGGTTTTATACATACTTTGGTTCAGTCTTTACTTGGTTTACTACGGTCTTGTACTCAATCTGTCCAATATCGGTGGAAATATATTCATAAATACTATATTATCGGGTAATTATATTTTTTCCTCTCTGAAGCGTTAATAATTATTGTAACTGAATTATATTGTATACATATATTTTAAGTTTATAATTTATTAAAATATACTTACTGTATAATAGAAAATATTTGAGACGTTTATTAGAATTTCTCATAAGATTATCGAATACGTTTTAGGTGTCGTTGAAATTCCATCGATATTGATTAGTGTTGTAATACTGTTAAAAATGGGTCGACGGATGCCTTTATGTGTTACCATGGTGGCAGGAGGAATAGCGTGTTTGTTAACTACGATTCTTCCACCAGGTATGATGTACTCGTATAGTTGTTTTTTTTTTTTGTGATCATTTTTATCTGAATTTTTTTTTAACATCGGTGTTTTTTTTTTAATTTATCAGATACGGAAGAATGGGTATCGTTATCGTTGGTAATGGCTGGTAAATTTTCTGTATCCTCATCGAATGTCATTATGCCTTTGTACACGGCTGAATTATTCCCGACGGTCATACGGAACTTAGGCGTGGGAACTTCGAACATACCCGCGGGAATCGCTCTTATCATGGTTCCGTACCTTTGGAATTTAGTAAGTCTATAATATTATTCTTCTGGAATTGAAATCTACAGGATTATTATTCTTGTTATTATTTGTCTTACTACAGTCTCCGGTGAGCAATGTTTTACCTTTAATGGTCTTGGGAACGGTCAGCGTCATCGGTGGGTTGTCCGTACTTATGTTACCGGAAACGGGCAGTCATCTATCGAACACATTGGAAGAAGTGGAAGAATGTATAAAGTGAGTTTTTTAAGGGGTGAAAACTAAAAAAAAAAGAAAAGATTATACAATTTTTTATAGTTTCGAATATTTATAATATTATGTTTTGTTTCAGCATATCGAATAGTTCGCAGAAAAAATACATCGATACGATCAGTAATAACGTACAAAATACACCACAGTCCGAGAAAGAATAATATTTTATTCTATTAACATCATATCAATTATTATACCTACAATAATTAATGGTTCGTTCGTTTTGTCTTCCTATAATCTTTTTATTACATTTTTGATAAGTAAGTATAGATACTATATAAAAATAAATTATTGTTTTTATTCGTTCGATTTGTTACTGTGATAAAAGATATATACACATATACGCAGGTATTATTATCAGTGGTAGGGCGAATATTTTTTTTTGTTGTATGAAGCAGTTTTAGTTAAGTACAAAAAAAACTTCATAACATCCAAGCCTAGGAGCTGTATTTAAAGTCACTAGACGTATTTCACCTTTTTTGTTAACACAGTTAACGATAAAGTTCCATATATAGACAAACCCATCCACCCACCTAATTTGGTTATGAGGCAGCCGTCTCTTAGAACACCCATTCATGTCACCACTGATTATTTTAGTTGATGAATAAGTTTACAACAAAGTATTACGCAGATAAATGTATTATATTACGTTAATATATTAAAATAAAACTATTGTATTAACTTATGACTTACAAGTTAGACGTAAGTATTATAAAATATATGATATATATGTTTTACAAATTATTTCCTATGGATAATATTGACATTATTATATAGATATTGTTTAAACTAAGAATATTCGCTTTTTTATCATTATAAAATGTATATATTTATATTATTATATTTATAACTGTACTATATACTATTGTGTGGGTATATTGTTTATACTCTAACTATAGTTTATATATATATATAAATCAACTAGACAAACGACTGTATGATAGAGTTCCATAAGTGGCATAAAGTTAGCAGCCATACTAAGAGGACAAATTATATTATTGATTAACGCATGAAATTCGTACGAGTGTGTTTATGCCATGAATTGTACGATGATATTTTAGAAACAATATTGTGATTCATTCCAAATGTTATTCGTGTTATTACTACACATATTTGCCACGTTATCCGTGACTTAAGCAAATATTATCGTGGTGATAATTGAAATTTCGCTTCGCGGTATACACCTGCAATAGCATCATATTTGCGCATATAGTCGGTTATCTAGTTGTTTTAAAATTATGTATACGTTTAATTATTAAGGATATACATCTGTGCCTATCTACAGACATTTTAATTTTAGTCGTGTTATATATTTTATAATTTATATTTTTTAAATACGATTTGGATACAGTATAATGTATTGTGTATTATCATATATTATTATTCTTAACCTTAAATTAAGTGCATATTATAATATACGAAATGTATAAGGTATTAATCGATTTATTATAAACAATTTGTTGTATTAAATTACTATGATAAATCTAAGAGCATATTATATAATATTGGAATAATTTGACCAAGACTTAATATAAAAATATTGATAAATATTGTTGTTTGATTTTTGTTTACTGGCTAGTTGTCTACCTGCGAGATATCTACTTCATTTCTTCAAAACCGTTGTCTATTTTTAATGGTTAAGCACAGACTAAAATACATTATTTATTATTGTTAATATGTAATTTTGATTCGTAAGAACAATAGAATCCAGGTGTATGTAATTTTTTGTATTCGTGGATTTTAACTTTCAACTATAATTTACTGCTAACGAGAAAATATATAACTATATAATTATTTTTATGCTCGGATACGAATATGCGGAATAGTAAAGTTACTAGTACCTTTATAATATATTATTAAATTTATTGTTCGCTCGTATTACAATCGACTTTTTGGTATTGTTTATTTTACTTATTATGCCAATTAAAAGTTTAAAAAAAACGTTACAACCTTTATATACGTGTATATATAAAAATAAAAAAAATGGATTACAGGAATAGTAATTTTACACAAACAAGATTTAAAGAAAATAAAAATGAATTAATGATGTCATTAAAATGAGTAGCGTAGAAATTATTATTTCCAAAATAATTTAAGTCAATGCCGCCGATTGTCTCATGTTAAATTTTCGAATAGGAATTTAAATACAATAAATCAATAGTTGAGTATTTCTGTATTGTATTCAAATGGTTTTATGTAAAATAAATAAACAAGTACAAACATATATATCCTATAAATTACTTTAAGTCACTATAAATAGCGACTTTTTCATAAGTTAGGCAACCACATCAACTAAACGATATCAGATTTAAGATTTATTTTAATATAATAATAATTAACTTACATAAACATGTGTACAGTTGATTTGGTTGCCTAACCAATGTTAACTGGTGCATTATTCCGATTTAATATCCATTTTTTTCTTTCTATTTATTTAGTATAATTCACAATAAGTGATTGGACAAATTTAAGGATGATTTTCGTTTTTCAACAGTGTGTAAACCAAATCGTTGTGGAATATGAGTGTTCGGGTACTTTTACTGAAGCTTTTCGGGACCCACTATTCCGTCATATACTGCGCTGCTTACCCGTTATTATTCGGCACGTTCTATAATAATAAACGTCGTTTAATCTCAAAAACAAAAAGTCGAAGTTATTACCCTATAGTGTAAACTTAAGTGGCTATTAAGTAGACGATATATAGGACGTTTTTATTTTGGTTTTATGGCTTTTTATAGTGAAGCTCTTTAAGAGGGTCTGTTGTCAAATTGCCGAGGATACCGTATATAATATTATTATTTACTGCTGCCGGGATAGAAAGGAAAATAAAACTTACCCCCCCACTTCCGCCCCACATTTATTTTCAACGTCACATTTCGACAAGTCTAAATAAAAAAAAAATATTGCAAAAACGTATGTGGTTAAACACAACACACGTCAATATAGATCTAATTTTAACTAAACCATTGCAGATTGTTGCACAGTTTATATTTGTAATTTGTTTTAGATCCAAATTTATTCATATAACTATTTAATCTTAGTATGCATATGTATAATTCAATATTAATATAATGTGAAAACAAAAAATATTTAAAAACGAACGAAGTGCGTGGGCAACATGAAGTTGGCACACCAACCGATATGGCGGACCGGTAAAAGCTACTCGCAAAATGTTGACATAATTTCAACTTGATATGTAGGCAGGCAAATTTCGTGAACGTTTATTTTTTTGCAAAATGACAAAAATATATGTGTTTTTGTTTTAAACTTGCCTTTATTTATGTTGTTGTGAATACTGAAAGTTTTGGAAGTTATGCATGGTAAAAATAACTGCAGTATGTCTTCAAAGTACCTATTTAAAACACAACGACATTTTTATAGTTTATACAATTAATTTGAACTGTATATTTATAAAAAAATAGTTTGCATATTTTTGTATCATTATCATATATAGTTACGAGTATACAATAAACTATTTAGAATAATAAAAAGTAATTTCTCTGACTTAGTTCGTATTGTTGAAACGTTTTTACGACCAACAGTTTATCATGTAGGAAGGTAAAAATTGAAAAACAATTTCAGATATAAGTTTATAGTTTTATTAAATTTCTACTTTGTAGCTTTTACAAAGAACAGAAAAATAATAATGCGAATGGATATTTGTAGTGAAGTGAATTATTATTAATGTTTATATTTTATATTTCTATAATTATTTTATGTACATGTGTCATGTACATTACATCTATTATTATGTGACATCAAACATCTTATGAAAATGATTCTCAACGATCTAAACTAATATTTACAAACTGTATGCACAACAATTTGTCGTAACATAATATTAACATGCTAAATTAATTAAATTAAAAATATTGATTGTTAATGAAATTAAATTAACAACCAAACTTCTAATTAAAACTATTAAAAATTAGCCCAAACACATAAAAAAAGAACTCGGTCATTTAAAAGTTAATTACGCTCAAAATAACTCGAAAAAGTTTTTCATCTGTACACATGTACACAGCGCATTATACAGGGTCCAGCCTTGTTTATTTGAATGCAAATTCGAATATTTTAGAGAAAAAACAAACACTCAAATATTTAACTACGCGAAATATTCAACTATACTTATAACATAATTGTGCGTTTATGAAGTGATGTACATTTTCAAACTAAATCAACCAAACACAAAACATTAATGGTTTCAATATTTTATAATGGAATTTTAGTAACGAAGTTTTTTTTTATCAGTGTATACACTCATGAAAACAGTTGTGATATTTTCATTCTGATGAAACTTATGTACCATCTGTGTTCCGTTTCCAGTTGATAGACATATTAATACAATTTATGTGAATTTTAGAACAATTCACTTATACACCAAAACATGTTTTCCAAAAAAAAAAAAAAATAATAATAACAACTAACCTTAAATAATACAATAATAATAAAAATATGACGTCAGTCTAAAAGTATGTTTTAACTATAGTTCCCATTATTTATCCTTGACGTCTTATATTAAATTAAATTGACGAAAATATATACCAAAAAAATCTACATCCTGTAGTCGATGTACGCTATATGATGTGGTACATAGTATTCCATTATATTTAAATCGTGCGATTTTACAGTGTTATATCACATAATATTGCCGTGATTGGCTATTACAACATATTGTATCCCTTATTTTACCTTGGCCATTTTAATATTTTACTGTGGATAAATTTTTAATATTTATTTAAAAATTAATTTTAATTGATATATTTGTTGATAAAGTTTGACTAAACACTAAACAAATTAATGATTTTTGTGAATCATACGAAAATAATAAAAGGAAAATTTCAGAATATTGTTATTAATAAATCAAGATGATATAAGAGACACGTTGGTTAATTATATTACTGAAATTGAGCAAGTTGACGAATATTATATCAAATAAGTTAAGTCAAATCGACTAAAAAGATAATAAGTTAACCCAATAAAAGTCAACATTTTCATTAATTAACTATTATAATAAGATGAGTTAAAAGTTAAATTGAAATATCAATTAATAAAATCACCCAAGTTAAAATAATTTGTTTTTTGTTATTATCATATTATAATACGTAAATAGTAAAACTTATTACAACTAAAGTTAAACACAGGTCAAAGCACTATGTTTCATGGAACATGTTAAATTATACACTCAGCACATATTATTGAGTAATATTGTGTTGAAATTATAAGTAATTGAAATTGACTGCGGTTATAATAAACTAAAAATTGACTTATTATTTTATTACTTAATGTAGTTAGTGTAAAAAAATGTAACAAGTTATGTTAATCGAAAATCAAATGTTAAAGTAAAAAAAGTAGAAAAGCAAAAAACTGTTTAACAAATTGACTATTTCAATAAAATTTTTAAATTCAATATTCTATAGGCTTGAACGTATTCCATTAAATAAATATAATTATCAACACGAGCTCAATATTATCTATAATATTGTTCATAGAAATAATTTCAATTTAAATACTAATTTATTAACTAAAAATATTCAATATTGTTAATTATTCTATTAAAGAAATACAACTCACCAAATAATTTTGTTAAATATTGTAGTTGAAATATCAAAATAATGCGTCTAATAAATTCACTAAAATTTTAAACAATAATACAAATAATACGAAAATCGTTTTTAATACTAATAATAATTTAATCAAACATGTAAACAATAAAACTAAAAACTTCACATAAAATCCTTTTTCTTTTGAAAACGCTGTTATAAATATAAACTTAAATGTAACTGTAATAAATTGCGTGTAGGTATAACAAATAGAAATTTTAAAATAAGATATAAAGAAAATATTTCCAAAATAAAATTAAAAAAGACTGCCCCTAATACAAATTTCGCTAAACATGTTTTAAAAAAAAAAAATAATATAAGTTTTGATATTGACACAGAATTAGAAATATTTAATACCTAAAATAACATTTACATTAATTCAGTTTTAGAAGAATTTACACATACACAGTGAAATAAAGGAAAATAATTTTAATATTTTAAATGTTCCTATCAATTTTAAAAATTACATCTTATATCATTGTACGCATTTTCAACACATTTTAGATAATAAATAATAACCAAATAATTCATATTTCTTAACACAGCTATGTCTAATAATAACTTATTTTAAATAATCTTCCTTATTAAAATAAATTATTCCTAATATTTCCATTTAAAACGACCAATTCGCATAATTTTTTTTTATTTAATTTTTTTATATTCAGTCGCAAATTACATTTTGACTGTGATATATCTGATGATGAAATTTTAAATCGAAACCGAAATACATTTATAATTATACACAAAGCGACTATCAATAATTTTATAATTTATAATTTATAATTTATAGATTTATAATTTTACGTCTCAGCGTTTTCTGTTATGTACATTTGCAAATGAGCCGTTTAGGGAATCCATTA